CGAGATCCGGATATGTGACAATTCCGGGATTGCCATTAGAACAAAAATCGGAACTTTGAAGTGAGAAATTGGATCAGAGAACCATGAGATCTTGAAGCATAACAAATGCAAGTTACAAAAGCAAAAACGAAACCGTAAACACAAATCAAGGCATAAAAAAAACGTTTTTTTAGTTGAAACCCAAATTTGTACTCCACAAAGAGAATGAAATCTAGAGATTCGATGGAAGAAGAAAAAGGAAACAGAGAGAGAGAAGTAACCCTAAGAGTGTGGAGTGAGGAAAGGCAGTGAATGGATTTTGCCTCGAGATTGATATGAAGCTAAAGCAGTGATGAAGTAACACGCAAGCCACGCGGGAAACCCATGAGAGAAGAGGTAGAGAGAGTGATGATTATTGGTTATTATATAAATAAATTTCTCTAATTATTGTTGTTTTCTGGGGTTGGAGATATTTTTGTTTCTTTGATTTGTCAGTGGCCAGTGTTAATGGAGGATTGTTAAAAAGGGAATTTGATTGGGACTGAAGAGACACTAGTAAAGTTTCTGTCGGCACTGTAACGATGAAGAAGAAGAAGACGAGAAGATTTTTTCTTTAAAAGTTTTCATTTTTAGCTTTTTCTGTTGCCGTTTTAGATAAAAAAAAGACCACATAGTTGGAGAGAGACAGACATATTGCATTTGTTGCCAAAAGGATAAGGAAATTACAAATTTATTTACTTTGTTTTTTAATTTATCTAACTTTTTGTTTTTCAGGACCGTTTGATTTTAGAAGTTACGATAAATTAAAATTGGTACGAAAAATAAATAATTATTAAAATTTTGTCTGTTTCTTCCTCTAAAAAAATGTTCAGATCTTGACAACTATTAGACATACCGACATGGGTTTTTCTTTGAACCTGGTCTTTAGATCATACAGTAGGTAGAAAAATGATTGAAAAGGAAAATCTGGAGGACGAACAATCGAACTCTAAATTGTTTATTACCACTATTTCTTTTTTTACCGGAATAATTCGGTCACGAATTTAAGTGAATTAATGACAATTAATTATAATGGTTGTTGCCACGCTGTCAAGATCCTAACGGCTAGCTGAACATGGGACTTCTATAACTGTCCTAAATGCTGTGATTCCTAATAGCACGCGTTAAGCTAGAGAGTGAACAACACGCACAAATGATATCCAAGAGAGGAAGATAAGAAGATATTCATTTCACACGTGGTGTGGACAAATTATCTGTGTTACACACCCGCAGCGCGTAAGATCGGCGGTTTAACCCATTTTAGAACAATGAAGTTGTGTTTTGACTTTGACCTCTTTGTGTGAATCACAAGGCCAAAAATATATACACGTGGGTGTACATAATCATATAAATATTTTATTTGAAATGATATGGATATGATCCTGAGGCAACGTTGGGAAAGTGGGTAAGGTGAGGTGTTCCATCACAAATCCACTTAAATTACTACAATTAGAATATAACGGAATCATCATTCAATAGGAGCAAAAGGAAAAAAGTTTTATCTCCTGAAACTTTACAAATTTGCTTATATACCAAACTTAAATGTGACATTAGTAGCAAAATGTGCTTTGGTTTGATCCATTAGAGTATTACAGGAACTTAACTTCTTAAAGATATACTGTATGAGTCCATTTTTTATATAAATAAGCTTTTTGTTATTTATAAAGTTATTCGTGAAAATGTGTATCCGTGTATGATCCAGATCCATATTAAAGGAGTACATAAACTTAACTTCTTGAAGACGAACGTAAAACTAAGATTACACCTAAAACCCTACGTACACACTATTTTTACAGTAATTCTTTAACCAATCCCACTCGATCAGTCACAAAACAAACAAATGTTGGCATTTTTTTTTTACCAAAGTCTAAAATGTTAGCATGTTTATAGACCCATTCCGTGAGAAAGTAAAATTTGTGTCTCAGAATCTATATATAATAGCAAACCCACTTTTTTAGTCCGCTGACATCAGCATTTTTTTATAGGAAAAAAAAATAATAATCCAACGGTTGAGTTTGTTTTGATTATGTAATCTAACGGATATTATTGATTTTGTTAAACAGATCACACGTCATCAATTTATGAAAAGAAACAGCGTCTCTTTTGCTTCCTTCAATCGACGCATCTATCAAATTTGTAATCTAGAGTCGCAGCTTTTAATCCACAGTCGCATCTTTCCATCATTGTCGGTGTTGCTTCGTTATATCCTTATTTTTACTTCTTTCAGATTTCCTTTGTCACTTTTGCTTAAATCAATTTTTCCGCTGCAACGTGATCGTGACCGTCCGCAATCAAATTTTTAGATTTGCAAACAAACAAACAAAAAAAACTCTCATTATCGATATCTCCTTTCTCCGATTTTGCCGCTACTAAATCTCATGGGTTATCTATTTTTCCGATCAAGTAATGTGGTCTAGGTGACGGAAAACAGCGGACACAAAGGATTTCAATTAATTAGTATGAAATTTATGTATTAGTTTCTCTCTTTCCATTTATGAATCAGCGAGGCCAACGACTTCCTACAAAGGATACTTTTGAGAACGACAAGAATATCAAAATTGACCGATGTACAACACCAATATCAAAATCAGTTTTGAGGCCTGTCATATCATTAAGGAAGTTGATGAATGTGCCTACTATCTAGATAAATTTGTCCATTCTTGTACAATGGCAAGTTTAATTAGATCACAGAGGTTCATTGCGAAGAAACGCTTCTTTTCAACCAGAGAAACAAGTCCAGTTAATCACTTGAAATTTATCAAAAAGGTATGATCTGTACTTAAGGGTGCAATCAGAAAACGTCATCTCTTTATCCTGTGACACAACGCTTCTCTTCAATTGTAAAACATGAGTGGCATCATCTCACAATTTCTTTATAGAATCATTGTAGTAGTTTTTGATTTCATACTCACTCAAACTTCTCACAACTGTCGTATTAGTTGGTTGTGTTCCTGATCATTGACTGGGCCTTTCACTTTCTCTCATTATCTTTGTGGTTTCCTCGGCGTCTGTCACCATATCCCTCTGTTATTCTCTCTACATCGTTTGACATTGATATCGTCTGCCAGACTGTCACCACCATCCCTCCGTTATTCTCTCGACATCGTTAGTCCATTGATATATAGATTTCATACATGTTTCTCACCACCATCCCTCTGTTTCTATTTCTATTACGTATGTGAGTCGATGTAGAAGGAATAAAACTCTTCTTCCATAGATACTTAAAACTCTACTTATAGGTCCTGATTGGCGTTGTGGCTTTGAGGACTGTTTGGTGTTTAAAAGTCTTGAAAGTTAATTTTTTGCCACTCAGATTTTTGCTTTCCTAATATCTCTCTAAAGCTCAACTGCTAGACTTTAAGTTTTTACTCTTTGGCTTTAGGCTTTAGGTTGTCACTTTTGGCTGTAGAGAATTTGACTTTAAAGACTGTGACTATTATTTTTAATATTTATAAAAGTCTGATTGATAATAAAAACTGTAAGAACTGTTGTTTTTTATTTTTTTTATTAATATTTTTTATTCTTTTCATGAAAACTAATACTAATTATATATATAAAATATATGAAAAATGGATCTTAAAAGAATGAGAAAAATGTAATAATTGTTAATTTGTAAAAGTTTCATTTTTATAAGATTAACATAATGGTTAAAAAAGTAGTTTCAATTAATTTGGGGTGTGAAATAAGAATAACAATAATTAAAAAAGAAAACAATAAAAAAAAGTGGAGAGGAGAAAGAATAAAAACATCGTAGGTGTGCTTTCAGAAATAAAAAAGGAAAGATAAAAAAAACTGTCGAAAAGACTTTAGAGACTTTAGAAAAAGATACAGTTTTAAAAGTCTGATTGATAAAATTATAACTTTGAAGGCTTTAAAAACTCTAAAAGTCCTGACAGTCCAAACGCCAATCAGTACCTTTAAGAGGCTTTAGGATTTGTTTTTCTTTTCTTCTTGTACGAAGAAAACTTTTATTTTCCTTTTAGTTACTTTTATATTTTCTTTTTTCCCCCAAGACATCAAAACTTAGTTTTAATATACAATAATTATTTTTTTATCATTAAAATTTGACTAAATAATTATTATTGTTTTTTCTCATTCTTTTAAGATCCACTTTCTTATATTTTATAACTAAATATTATTATTAGATCAACAAAATATTGATTTACAGATATTTTAAATGCTAATAATATATTTAAGATAATTATATTAAAAATAATAATATAAATAAATAAAATTTCTTTATCATCTGTTATTTTTAAGATAATTTTTTTTTTATGATACTGAAAAATAAAAGTGACAGCTTTCACAGTTTTTGTTACCAATCTGACTTTTAGAAATTTTAAAAGTAAAGTCACAATTTTAACAGCCAAATTCTCTACAGTCAAAAGTTACAGTCTAAAGCCTAAAACCAAAGTCCTAAACAGTCAGGTCCATAATTTACTCAAATGTTTACTAATTTGAATATTGTTTTTTTATATCACGTATTTGATGTTCGCAGTTTCATTGAAAGAGAGTGGCCACAACTTCACTTTTCCGTTTCCTTGTCGGCTTGTCCTTTCTAGGGTAAGTGTCTAATTGCTCGATTTATATAACTTTACTTTAGTAGAAATAGATAGATTTTACTATAACTATTATGTCTCCCTTCACATTTACAAAGTCTCAGGATCGAAGTAGTATATGGGTACCTTTTAAGAGTCACTTGACTATTACATAGTCAAGAAACTTTACTTGTTAACTAGATTTAAGTCCGCGCTACGTGCAAGTGGTGTTGTTATTTTTTTTTTTTTTTTATATTTGTAAAATTTTATTATAAATAATAATAATACAATGGTCTCTCCGATGCAATGTTCTATTTCTCGAGTTTTTTTCGATAGCGTTTGCCGGAGCCTCTTCGAACACGTGGAGAATTTGCTTATGGCCTTCATTCTTGAGGTTGCAATTACATTAGAAACTTAACTTTTGCATAAGAAACATTCGGTTTGTCAGTTGTATCTAATCCACTTTGGAGAACCATTATCGACAGCCTGATTTTAGAAAGAAAAATAGAAGTTGTCAAATTGAGTTGTATATGTAAAATGTGGCTAACATCGAATAGCTATCTGTTGTGTGAGTATAATGCTGTAAATTTGGAAGAGAGATAACCATGAAGTTAAGAAGCACAAACAATTATGTAATTGATGAACATATAAAAAAAGAAAAATGCATGCAATGTTCCACGTAACCATCAAGTGTAAAATACCGCTAAACGGTATGCATTACGGTATTGTAACTATTTGTTTGTCACCTATATAGTTTTGTAACTATTTGTTTGCAAATTATAACTCTTGGTATTCTCTTGTTATTTTTTATTAGGTGATTATGTTGTGGGTTCTTCTCTTTGTTTCTGATGTCACATATATTAATTTTTGTTCATATTATATTCTGTAATATTTTGATTAATTTGGTAAAAGCTAGAATGCCCTGAATTATGTTCATAGTTAGTCACAATTAGAAGAACCAATGAAATCAATACTTGTCGGATTTGGATTAGAAAATTAGTGGCCACAGAGCCAAGGTCAAAGAAAGTATATTTAATAGAAACATAATGCATAGCTATTGATGCAGGCAGTAGAATCAGGAATCTAGGGAGCGCGTATAACTTGGTACATCCAAACGTGATCCGAAATTCGGAAGGAGAGGATAGCACTTTAATGTTTGAATAAGATTCGTTCCTCTTCTCAGTCGCAATCTTCAGCTCATCTTCAAGCACTTTAATCTCATCTTTCGAAGCATTAATCTTTTCACTCTGCTCACTAATCCTTTCTGAAATCGCCTGCCTCTCCTTATTAAATCCGTCCAGATCAGAGCTCATTGACTACAGGAAACATCACAAAAACCATATCAAAACAGTTTCTTTTTTCAGTTCCTGTCTAAGAACTTACACTTTTGCTTGCTTACCTTAACTTGATCTTGGATATCTTCTTTAAGACCAAAAGACTCAATGATTCTGGCTCTCGATGCCTCATTAGCAATGACATCACCTCTCGTCCTCTCAAGCTTACTGATCTCTTTGATAAGCTGCTTCTCCTCGTTTAATGTATTGCTCTCGTGTTGACTTTGGTATTCGAAGCTGCGTATCTTCATTTTCAACCAACAATACAGGAGATTTAGCAAGAAGAAGAAACAGATCAAAACCTGGAAAAATAGGAACAATCAATCACAATACCTTATCATTAAGCTCTTGCTGAGACGAACATAGCCCACTGTCATTGCTCCTCAACCTCCCAAGTGCTTGCTTTAGCGGCTCCATTTCTAACCTCCTCTCATTGAAGATGTCACTCAATCTCTTATGCTCGTATTTCAACGATTTCAGAAGTTTAAATAACTCAGATCTCTCAGCCTTAGCAACACAACAACAACAACTTCAAACCATCACAACCAAAAATCATAACTTTTTTAGTATTCTTCTGAGGATGCGGTAAGTGGTGATTGCTGCTATAACAACATCTCCATGTCTAACCTGTGCTAGGTGACGTTATAATTGAACTCTGCAGCCTTAGTCTGTGCTTCTTTTGGTACAGCAAAACCCTGGAAATATCATAGATAAGTAGAATAACTAACCAAAAAGTTTGAAAAGTGGAACTAAATTAAAATACCTCTTGACATCATACCTAATCTTGTTCTAAAAGTACAGTAACATTTGCTCGACGATGACAGTTGCAAGAGCTGAATTCAGAAGATGACCTTGAAGGCTTGAGTTTCTGCTTCTGTTTCTTTCCTGGAAAAAAAAAAATCCCCTAACGAGAAATCAGACAACTTTTAAGTTCTCAATTCATAAAGCAATCCACTTTCCAACGGGATAAATTAAAACTTGGAAGACAAAATGTGGGATAAGAGGATAAAACACTCAGATAAATACATATTTGGAATATATAAGCTCTAAGCTCATTCTATGCTCTCGTATACTTCTAGGAATGTTAATGTTAGCTATGCAACAGAGATCAGCTTTTAATTCTATATTCAGTGGCAAAGGAGAATCAGTCAACCTTAATGACCAAACCAGAGTGGACACCTATGCTTCTCATAAGCATTAGGAGAGGCTCTCTCATAAGCGTTCGTGGTAAAACCCAGCAACGATTGCTTCCTTCCCTGTCGCCTGCAGTGAAAGACAGTGGATGAAACATATATGTCATGGAGTAGATAAGCCAAATGATATATCTCTTACCCTCACATATTGATGAACGTTCTCCGTTGTTGCCAGAGGAGGCCGCCTCTTTATATACTCCCTCAACAATTCTGGTTAGATTAGGTCGTCGGAGATGGCGGAGGTTGGTTTCAAACTGGAGCAGTTCGAGACGATGATGGGTAATGTTGAGGAAGATGGTTTGTCTCATCTCGCGACGGATACTGTTCACTACAATCCGTCGGAGCTCTACTTGTGGCTTGATAATATGCTCTCGGAGCTTAATCCATCGGCTGTTGCAGACCCGGTTTTGCCTTCGCCGGAGATTCTTCGACGATTACCTCGATTGGTGGTTTTTCGGCTTCGATTTTGACCTGAAAGCCATTCCCGGAAACGCCATGTACCGGAGATGTAACCAATTCGCGGCGATTGATTCTTCGTCTTCGTCGTGGTCGAAGAGAGAGAAGAGAGATATGAGAAGGCAAAAATGTAGAAAGAAAAAAAAAAAGGAAAAATCTGTGAAAGCGCCACGTGGCCATCTCTCCTGTGCTGACGTGGCGGTCAGCTGGAGAGAGATGGCCAAGTTTTATTGTATAGGATTATACGAATGTGTATAGGTTAGTTAGACACTTTATTTTTATGGTTTGCATATCTGAAGTAACAAATTTGGATTTTCTTAACGTGGGAATAAATGTTTCTGAAATGTGTTTTTCAGAAAAGCTTTGTGATTAAAGTATGACGAAACACCAAACCGAACATCTAGAAAGAGGAGTTCATAATTTTAGACTACATGTATAATTTTAGACTAGGATGAGGACATCCTCTTCTTGTGCTTAATTCTTTCGTGAACTGTAGTTTTTTTTTGGCAAAATAGGTACCAATTTTCATCTGACCATTCTTCTCTGAATTGGTTGATATGTTTTTCACAAAATTTATAATCTTGATATTTTTCGAAACTTTTTGGAAATATACCATTTCACGACCCATCGTTAGTGTTTTTGATCATATGTGATATATTATTTGCTGTTTCCCATACAGAAGAGGTACTTTTTTGGATCTTTCATCGAAGAGAAAAAATTTTCGACGTTCCTTTTCATGGTTTAATCGCGTAGAAAAGCAATATATAAGAAAGTTCTAAAAGTTGGATCGTTGAGGTTGAATATTTCAATGGTAAACTCATCAACAATGCGTACACAAGTGGCTTTTGTCATTAATTGCTGTGTCACATAATTTTTTATTGATTTTTGTTAAATGCATTGTGATTCTCTTTGGTAATTTATTTATCTACCAAACCATAAAAAATTATATGGAGAAAGAAGAAAAGCATATATTTCATCTACTACAGTTTGTCATGAACAAACTCATGAAATAGAAAAAGACCCTTAACATTTATATGAACATTAAGTTTTATTTTATATGGTAAGCTAGCAAAAATGGATACATTTTACTTGTTCAGGGTCATAATGGAAGCATGGTGAATTTTTACATATGAATATGCTGGGAATGACAGAATTATATAGGCAACACATCTATGAATATGAAAAACATTAGCTAGCGAACCACATTTTTTTTAAAAATATCTATTTTATAATTAAAACCTTATGCATCTGTTTTGGTCATTCCAATATTTTTTTTTTGTCTGTTTTGGTCAATTATCTTATAAACAATTTAAATTTTTAATCAAAATTTTCAATTTACCGCGCGTCGGATGCGCGGGTTTATTACCTAGTCTATATATAATAGCAAACTGATCAAATGCTTTTTGTAGTCGTGCCTTTTTGTTTTTAACCGTTTCGCATGTAACTGTCATATAAAGAGTTGTGTCTTTTCCAGTCGCATCTTTTCGTTTATAACCGCTAAATTATTGAAAAGTTACACCTTTTAGTGATTCATTTTTATTTCTATATATATGATGTGTAAGATTTTTTTCTCTCTGATTTACAATCTTTTGATTTTTTTCTGTCCTATTTCTTCTTTGATTTGTGCTCTATATGGCGAGAAAATAGGATGAAACTGAAGGAGTGAAGATTTGTGAGAAACCATTTTCTGTTGGTATCGTGATCTATAAAATCGTGAATCACAGTCACTATATTCTGTTTCGTTCTTTGTAGTTGATTTGCCGTTTCCCATTGATTAACATTTATTTTGGATGTTGAATGCTTCTCATGTTTGATATAGTGATTGTTTGCTTCCATGTGAAGATGATCATAATTTAGACTTGTTAGAAAACTGATCCATGATTGAATCATGTAATAACATAATGTTTTACTCAAAAGAAGGTCACGACTTGAGATTATGGGTTTTTAAATTATGAAAAGTCACGTACCATCACGAATAGTTACAAACGGCGAACGGTTACGATGTCTTTACGTTTGTTCATGTACATTTGTTCATGAACGGTTACTTTTGTTCATATAAGTTGCAGTCTTGTGTATATGTAAAGAAAGCGTCACAAAGCGTTTGTTCATGTACATTTGTTCATTTTCCTTTGAAACTTTTCCTTGATCATCATTGGCATCGTTTTGCTCTGTGTATTAGGTTTTCTTTTCCCTTTTCATCTTTGTGGCATGTGCATTTCCAGAATTTGGATTAGTTTCTTTGGTAACCAAAGCTATTTTAAACCTTTTTTAATTGGAATACGCATTGGAAGTTCTATATGTCTGTTCTGTCATTGATTCGATCGGGCACTGGAATTTGAAGATTGTTGTCTATTCAAAATTACGGTTATGGAGTTAAATTTTGCTGAGTGTGTGTAATGCGGAATAAGTTTGCAAACAAGTATGCATCTGGTTTTGGATATTGTTTATTATCTTAATGGTTCATTCACCCTGTTAAGTTAAAGGCCATTTGTTAGCTTCTGTTTCATAATTTTCACTTGTTTTTCAGTATTTTAAGCGTCGAAGAGAAATATTTGTTTTTTCTCAAGAAAGGAGTGTTGTTTCATGATGTGGGATCTGTGCAGCTAGCTTGTTAGTCACTATGTTTTTTTTTATTCCCAATAAAAAAAGAAAAGGAAGAGAAGCTACCTATTTGAACATTCATATTTGTCAATTTCATTTTTGCAATGGAAAGCAACAAAATTTAAACAAGTAAAAATTATTCAAAACTGCCGCTTCTAATCTCTTTCACAATTTGCGAAGTAAGTTCACGAGTAAGTTGGATAAACCTCTTTTCTTTGTCCAATCTTACATCGGTCTTTCTTTAGTAAGTTCTATTGTTTTGTTCTCTTTAAGTTTTGCGTGATGCGTGCCAGGGGACATCTTTAACTCATTGAAGGTATTGTTGCAACTTATGACATTTTCTACAAAATATGACTGAATTTCATAAACTTATGACACAAATTATCAACCATGCAGACAATACATCACTTCATTTTGGTTCCAAGTGAGAAGCTGATATCCATATACCTTCCAAGTTAGTAGTTCAACATTCGAAACATAAGACACATGCTGTAAAATCCGTTGTTTTTTTTTGTTATTTGATAAATTTAACAAGAAATTCAAAATAACAAATATAGTGGTAAATTGCTCGTGTTCTTTCTCTTTGCGGTTAAACAGTCTTGAACCAAATCTATAAGTCTAATAAAACTAATGCAAATAATAACCAAACGCTGTGGCTCAAGAGAGAAAAATGAAAGACAAAAGAGACATGTCTATAGTAAGATTAATCATTAATTCCCTCCCATGAAATCATATAGATAAGTTTGTAGAAATAACTCATTTTTATTTTCACATAGACTTAAGTTGAAGTTTGGAAGTTGAACATTACATTAGTCTCAATTGCCTTCTAAAGATGAAAAAGTATGGAACTCTTATTATCTTTTATTTTAAAACTCAAATTGTTTTTATTGTTCTAATTGTAGAATGAAATAATAAGAATTATACTTTTTGACAAATCATATACATAGATATAGTAATTTCAACATACATATATCTGAAAACATAAATCTAAATTCAAGTGTTTATGGATCATATAGCTTATTGGTGTTGTATAACATCTAATGTAGTTGTTTGGGATGGTTAAAAAAAAATGGAATTGGATCATATCAATCTCTTTATGCTACATCTTCATATTTTTTTTTCATTTATGAGAAATTTAACATTTCAAATATATAAACATTTTGGATGTTCATATTTTTGCATTATTCTTTTTCGTTTTAAAATTTCCTTAATAAATATAACTTGATAATTTTTTGTTTATCTTTTAGTATAAACATTTTGCCCCCGCGAGTTCGCGGGGGTTCAATTCCTAGTATTTTTAATAGTAATTGGGCATGTAACAATGTTTGTAAATTTTAACCATATTGATAATACACAACGGTTATATACAAATAAAACATTTCTTGTCTTCATGTTCGAAAAAGAAGATGTATTTTAATATGACCCTAAAAAAAAAAGATATTTTAATGTGTGAACGTAATACATTTTCTTATATACGACCAAAAAGTAAAACAATATCCCCCTCCTGCAAATTTTCTTCATCTAATTTCTATGGGTCCATCTTCTTCACTCCTCCTTCATCATTCTTATCTCTCTCCCTTCAATCCAAAATTTGGGAGAAGACCTTCGCTTTCTTATCCATTAATGCGGAATCTGCAAAATCGCAAACCAACTCGAATATGTTCAAACAAGATGTACGTTCCTGGTATGTAATATAAGACATATTATTCGCAAAGTATGATTTTGATCCATACACAATTTTCTCTGTAGGCTAATGTCCATTTTCCTAAGTATTGTTTTATAATTTGGTTTAATTAATTGAGTTAGGTTTTGGAGAAGCTTCACCGGAGGCTAAGGCAGCGAAGCATCTTCATGACTTTTTTACTTACGTTGCAGTGAGGATAGTGTCTGCTCAGCTTGAGGTCAATTTAGAGAAAATTCGTAATTCGTATTAACTTTGCTGTTTAAATTAAGATACTTAATTGTTAAATTAATTAACGGCAGAGTTATAACCCTGAGGCGTATATGGAGTTAAGAGAATTCTTAGATACAAATTCGGTTAGTGACGGCGATAAGTTCTGTGCCGCTCTCATGCGTCGCTCTTCACGTCACATGAACTTAGGTACCAAAAGAACATTTTCTTTTAATATCTAGAGATAAATTTGGTTATAATATTTTGTGGGAAGATTATTGTTTTCTTCCTAGTGGGTTTTAGACGGAATCTATTTGCTTTTTATACAAACACATTTTTCGTGGAATGAAGTTTTCTCTAAGCCATGACAATTGTTAACGCAAAGTCTTTCATTATATCGCGTTACGGAACACAATTCGCAATTTTCGGATTACCTATCAAAGCCAATTTTATATATCCTTATGGTTCGTACATTTTTAGAGTTTATATAGTAAGTAGAGAATACATGTATATGATCAAAAAATAAAACTAAACTTTAAACTTTCTTTTTTTTGTTTCATGACCTTATTGCAAGCCCTTCGCATTTTAGAGGTAAGCTAAGCTAATTTCACATCTCCTTTAAATTGCATATCCCACCAACATTTTAATCTCATGTATCTTTACTTATGTGGTTTTAATATTTTGTTACCCAACGTAGGTACGTTCTGCTTATTGTAAGAATGATTTTGAATGGGAGAATTTGAAGCGTCTCGCCTTCAAGGTACTGTACTATTGTCTTCTCTCCGTACTCTATCTCTCTGTATAAATGAGTGTAAGTTTGTAATAGTTGACGCTTCTCTAATCTCTATGACTGTAAAAAATGCAGAATGTGGATGGACACAACACAAAACTCATGCGTGAATACGTCTTAGAGACTAGCCATGTCGAAACTGATCCCGATAAGTGAAAAAGCTCTCATCTCTTCATATAACATTCATATATTACATAGTCTCGAGAGTATATACACATGAAACCGTTTGTACATATATACATATATACCATTGCGCTTGTGTTAATCTCAGTTTTTGTCTTCGTATCTTAATTCTAAAACCCTTTTCTTTTGAGAATGACCAAATCAAGAACCGAGAGAACCCAAAAATACATTTGTCACCATTTAGTTGGTTCAAATTTAATTTTATGATTAAAATTTAATTAAATTAAAATAGTATTTATTTTTTTGGTTTGAGAAACCCAGGGGTTCTCATGGAGATGCTCTCTTGGTCTCATGTTTTTATGTTTAGATATCTTTTTATGTTTTTTTTCTTCTTCTCGCAAAATCAGTTGTATTCTAAACGATGCCCCATTTAAGGAGAAAGAAGAAGAATAAAAGTAAAGAGGGGAAATGTGTTCTTTGATGAAAATTTCAAAATTAGATTATATACCAAACTTGTTGACCAGAAAAAAAAAAAAGATTATATCTCAAATGTCTTTTTATTTTATTTGTTTGAACAACACCTCTCTTTGTCTAATTAATTAGAGTGTGCATCTAAACAAAATAATTCCTAAAACGCGATTAATATTTAATTCATCAAGTATCCATTGCAAGGACAAAAACAATTTGGGTATCCACTGTTTATCCACCACCAACTATCCACTTATATTCCAACTTGGGCGTTTCAGCACCATGTGAGAAATAAATCCCATCTTCTCTACAATCCCAAAAGTTCTTTACACCGAAACGAAGACCACTAGTTTGTACGCCAATATTTGCTGTGAGGAGCTTTTTCATTTTTCTTGATTAATCTCGATGTGAGCTTTCTTTCTTTTTTTTTTTTTTTTTTTTTTTTTTTTTTGTTAGGTATGATATAAAAATAAAAGGTGGTAATTTATACTACCAGGTCAAGTTCATGCATTTAATTTTGCTTCTATATTTAGATTTTTACTAAAAGAATAACGTACGTTTTTTCATTTTTTTTTTGGACCGAACGAAGAATAACGTTCCTCGAAAATTTCAATTTTATTGGTAAGTTTCGAAAAAGAAAAGAAAATTCAGCGTTCAACTTTTACGTTTATAATTTTGCTTTAATGAAGTGGTTGTATTTTCTTTCCGATGCAATGCAAGCAGCCAAGCACATAACGTAACGTAACGACGTATGTAAATAAGCTTTGTTTTTGTTAGCAATAAATAAACCACAAACACATTTTAACGTATCAACAAAACCATTATATCTTTTATATATAGCCAAGATAGTACAGTAAGTTTTAACATAGTCTCGAGAGTACATACACATGAAACCGTTTCTACATACATACATAAATATATACCATTGACCATTGTGCGAGTGTTTATCTCAGTTTTGAGAATCAGGACCAAATCAAGAACCGAACCAATTTTTTAAAATAGATCAAAACCAATCTTCTCTCCGGAGTTACTTCTTAGAGACGGGAATGGATACCAGGAGAGGCATGGATTTTGCCCGACCCGAAATACGATTGAGCATAGTCTTCGATATTCTCTAACCTGTCATCAATCAGATCCAAGAAGTAGTTTAGAGCCAACAAAAACGAAAGCTTTGGTAGTATTCATAATAACTTCAAATATCAAAAGTTTAGTTTACCTATAGACATAGTTTACCATAATGCCTCCACTTTGATGAATCCCTTTCTCCGACCGATCCGCCATCCAATTTATTCTTTCAACCATCTATCAACACAAACATAAAAGCTTTATCAATATGAATCACTCTGTTTTGTCTGTAACACTATACGCATTCACTGGACTTACTGCTCCATTTTGCAAGTGGAAGTTAGCAACAGAGTCTAAAGCTTTCCCTCTCTTCTTCTCTTGCAAGAGGTACCTATGAAAAATTTAACACAAAACATTAGAGTTTTATGCATAAATGATTCATTCATAAGAAGTTAACCATAAGATTATCCAAGAATGAACATACCTAGCACATAACCGCATGAGAATAGGTTCCAAAACTGGCAACATGCGAGGCGAAGTAGCCCAATTGCTGTTCTTTGCCGATAGCAAATTCATCAGAACTTCCATGCCGTTGCTACCGAAAGAAGAATCACTGTGTAAACAAGATCCTGAGTTGATGATGCTTTGATCTTGATTTTTGTGTAAAATTCATAAAAAGATTAAGATTTTTTCTTACTCTGATAGACTCATGAGAGCTTGTTCCTCATCTGGTAGTAATACTCTCTCGCTGAAAGTAGATGAAGGTGAATTGCTCTGTGTGCTACCACTGTGATCATCTCCAGCAAATCTTGACTGAGATGATAACTTCGAAAGGAGCCATTTCATGAATCCAGGAATGGGGCTGAGTGTTGCAAATGTCTGCAACCAAACAGCACAATTTTGTTGAGCAAATTCTCTTTTTCTGGTAACATACATTGCATACAAATTAGTCAAAGTACTCACAGAAACATGTGGCATGTCTTTCTTCACCAACGTAATCACTCGTTTGATCAGAAACTTCCCAAGGTTTATCCCAGCCAAGCCAGGCTTCAAACACATAAGACAGCAGTCAAGAACAAAAAAGTATCAATGAGAACAAAATGCAGATATTCAAGAAGAGTGTGTACATACCTGAGTTGAAGAAATAGAGTAAAACAAAGCGGATGTTGCTTGGTTCTCTGGTATGGGAGGATTGTCCCACAAAACTTCCTGCAGCGGCAAATGAAACTTTTTAGTTACATAGCTACAGAATCCAAACTACGCTGCATAGGATCAAGATTAGTTTGACCTGAATAGTCTGAGCAACGGTTTCCATAAGAGCAACTTCGATAAAAATAAGTGGCTCACCTGAAAAAAGTACCAGCGCAAGATTGTCAAAGAATGCATTCAACTTATACAATCAAAGAAACATTGTAACCAAAGCAACTAACTAACCAGGAATAGATGGATGAAAGTATCCAAAGCATCGACGACCTATCCCTAATCTTCTTTTAAGATCCAAGAGGTTGCTTATAGGATGCACCGCCTTATGAATAAAAACGTTATCAGAACTGTTTAAACCATACTGTAAATGGGAAGATATACTAATGCAATACCTCATACGCGACGATTTTCTCAAGCAATGAAGCAGGATCATCCCAAGTGATTTGATGAAGCTCTAGAGTGGCAGGACTAAGCCACATGCCGAGTTTCTCCTTAAGATATGACTCTAATGTTCGAAGAGACGGCGAGTTTTCTTTTCTACACATTAGAAACAACAACCATCAATGGCAGATTCAACAAGAAAGATCATTCACATAAACAAGAAGATGGGAATTGCATTACGTGAGAATCGAAAGAAGATCAGCGCGGAGGATGGACAAGAATCTCAACCCTCCTGGATGTGTATTCAACCTCTCAAAGAGAGTTTCATAAGTTGGCTTGAGAGCATGTCTCAGATTCCACTCAATGCGATAGAAAACAGAAGACAAAGCCTCCTTCTTCGGAGAATGGACTTGTTGTCCTCCATCGTCACCTTTAAAGAGTGCTCGCTCGCTCATCAAGAGAGATCATACAGAGAGTATCAATCAAAAGACGAAAAGGTAATAGACTTACTGGATGGAGTTTCGAGTCCAAGATATTGCTTGACGAGTTCTCGGACTTGCTCTCTGTTAACATCATATTCTTTGGCTAATGCAAGCAGTAGTTTCTCACGGTCTTCAAGCGAGAGGCTAAAGTAACCCTAGAAGCATTTTTAACCATAAGTCAACAACACATCAAAGGACGTAATCAAGAAGATATTTTTAATAGTTTGTTGTTACCTCTTGAAAATCAGTAAGAGTAATGTCTATTACACCTGTCTTACTAGCTGAGATAGCTGAGTGCATTGTTTCACGAACTACATCATATGACCTTAAGCAATATAACACAAAGTAATCATCAAATTGTGAATCAAGATGAAAGAAATCTATTTTGTTCTTTTTCAGATATCAAATTTACCTTCCTGTGTTACCAAAATCACTAGAAGTTCCGATTCCTTGATTGGAATTTCGCACAATATGATCATTCTCTTGAGGATTAGATGGGATCTCCTTCTGACATAAAGTCAACAACCATTTATTTTAGAGCAAAATAACAGACAAATTGGCTTTTCTCATTATTATATTCATATTCTCTTTACACTAACTAGTACTCAAGCTCAAGAACAAAAACCTTCTTTTCTATACAGAAGCTTCAATTAAACCCCCAAATCCATTCCTTTCTTAACCAAAAAATAAAATGTTCATGTCCACATGATCATAAATTGGTGAATTAGGGCATAATCGGCGTTATTAGCAAAGCAATTCAAACAAGGAAGAGAGCTTACGGGAAATTGAAAAAGTGAAAGTTTTGTGGGATTGGTAGACCTCATCCTAGCACGCATCAGAATCGCCAGGTTTTTCTTGCTCATCTCTGTTCCAAATTGATCATCATCATCATCATCGTTAAGATTTCATCACCAAAACAGAGAAATTTAAAATCGAATTTTAAAAAGTGAAAAAAAAAATTTTGAAACCCAGGAAAAAAAAAGAAAAAGCGATTGGCATCAGAAATGACAGGAACCTTAAAATCTGGCCGTTCAAGGATCGCAAAAGCAGCAACAAACTTGAGATTGTCTTGTCTTTTCAACGGCTATCGTAAAGGCATAGACAATAAAACGGTGTCGGATTTGACCTCGCCGACCACTTCACTTGATGTCTTGATGATCCATGAATAAGATTATTTTCGTTTAGTTTTATTTTCACCATGTTTTGAAATTCAAAATTTGCTAATTTTTAAGTTTAAGTAAGAAATACTATATCATTTTGTTGGGTAAGGGATAAACTTTGCTCAATTTAAAATAATTCAACTAATAACTAATAAGTAAGGTAAATCATCTAAATATAATTTTCGGTGTATAAAATAAAATCGCATTTAACTAACCTATGGCTGAGTAAATAATAATCTACATAACTAATAAGACTTTAACACTTTCCAACATTTGACACGTGGCATTCTCCTCTTTTTTTTTTTTTTTTTTTTCGCCTAAAAACAAAACGACGTCGTTTTGCGTCTCTCATATTTTTTTTTCGCCCAATACCAAAACACCAAAACGACATAGTTTTCCGCCTCTCTTACCTGCTTCTAAAACGACGTCGTTTACCGCTCGTCCTACTCGCGAAATCCACACCGTCTATTCCTTGCTTCCGCCGAGTCTGCTCGCATCCCTGACTCCGCCGTTTCATATTTCAGTGTCCTTCATTAAAAAATTCTCTCCAAATCAGAACTCGATTTCACTTACGGCTCCATCCGGTGAGACTCTCCACCTCCCCCTTCCGCCGTTTCATTCTCCTTCACCACTATAAAACCCTGCATCCACCTCCTGATTCCATCCTTCGGCTAACAGAGATATCCCGTTCCTCTCCTCCCAAAAACGGTTACCTCGCTTCGCCCACCGTCGCCATGGTTCACGGCCGTCAATTCATCATCTTCCCTTTCGACGATTTGATATTAGATCTCACTGCACAAACTCTCATAGATCGTCTGCTGCAAGATCAAGGCTTTGGATGTGGAAATGGCACATGTTCTTCACAAGAGAGACAGATCTTATGAAAGGATCAAGATGCTGAGGATAAGACGAGACAAAGGGGTATTTGATCTTTCTCTCTCTGTTTAAATTTTTCTTATGGATGATTTAAAGAGATGTAATAACATGAAGTTATGTTTGTGTGTTTTGTTAGAATCAAGAATCCTCTTCACGTATTTCCAGAGCCTTGCTGTGATGAGGAAAGCTAAAGATTTGGCTGCGTCTGGAAACGTTAGAGAACTTGAAGTGTTTGCTAGCTCTGAGGTTTGTATTTGTCTGTATCTGTTCCTGACTGATTCTGTGTGTATCATCTGTTCCTGAGGTCTGTCTTTTTATTGTATCCGTTGATAGATTCATGACTCATGAAACAATGAAGAGGCTTTTAGGTGAAGAGGACCTCGCAGTCACTCCAAGAAAGACAGCTGAGCCAAGATGGGAGGGTTAAAGATGGTGAAAAGCAAGCGCATGTCAAGACTAGAAAGGAAGGTGTGGCGTTACAGAGCAAGAACAGAGGTGATTCAAGCTTGATGGCAACAGGTCGAGTGCTGAGGAGAGTGATGTTGTAGATTTGGTGTACGAGAACCCCAAAAAGGAAGAACAAGAAGAAGAAGAGGTTGATGAAGAGACTTTCAAGGAGAGGAAAAGAGAAGAGCAAGCAGAGAAAGCTCGGTTACCCATGGAAAGGAAGAGGAAGCTACAAAAGAAAGCTGCTGCTAAAGCTGCTATCAGAGCTCAGAAGGAAGCTGAAAAGAAACTCAAGGCAAGTTTTACATATTATTAACTCTTTTTCAAATCCATTTCTCATCATCTGTTTCTAAATTATTTGTTTTTGTTTTGTTTTGTTTGCAGGAGTGTGAGAAGAAAGCGAAGAAGAAAGCTGCTGCTGCAAACTCTCCTCTCCTTCAGAATCAGACCAATCACGAGAAGCAATCAGTGAAAAGGTTACGACTTTGGCAGTCTCAGGGAACGAGAGACACCAGAAGGAGGAGAAATTACTGTTTCCAACGCAGAGATCTTTCAGGTACAAACACCGTGGAAGAGGCACAGAAGCTCTCCCTAAATAAAGGTTGAAGGTGAGTTAGTTTCAACACTCTGAATATAATTCGTGAATCGTGATGCGAGAAAAGATTTTCTCGAAATCCTTGGCGGTTTAAATATAAATCTAAGAAAGCGGGAATATGAGACAATCTTACATGTCAAAGTTGTTTTGCAAATTGGGAATATGGTCGCAGCTTCTCAAAGTAAAGCACAATTGGAGATTCAAGCTTAAATCAGTGAAAGAGAAGAAAAAAGACCGAACAACGATTATTTTTCCAAGTTGGAGCTATGGAAAAAAGAAATAACATTTCAAACTGTGATTTCAGGTCTCAAGGAAAATGATTTTCAACCATTCTTTGTCATGCCTAACAATGCTAAAGCTAGAAGGAGCACAACTACAAACAAAACTCAAATCAGAGTCTTGGTTAATGGTTATGTTAGTCATGCTGTTCGGATCAGAGGTGATCAAAAGGACTGCAATGGGACTTCACATGGGATGGTATGAGGTGTTTGTCACAGTTCTTATGGTCTGGGTTGGCTTTTCTCAGTTTCAAATTTAAAGTTTGGCCTCTTTCTCATTGTTGTTAACGGTCTTAATCTGCTTACTTTTTGTTCATTTTCTTTTGTATAGTTGAACAGTAGTGATTTAATCTCCAACTTCTGACCGAAAATCAAAGCCCTTCTCGACGGAAAGTGATTTAATATCCAACTTGGTTACTATATACATGTATATACTTCTACAGCTATTGTTTTATTGTCTAAGTTATGTATAGCTCAGACTATGAAGTCCACAGTTCGAAAGATTTTATATCTTAATTATGTAAATTGTGTTACTTTTTTGGACCTACGATTTATTACTATAGTATACTCTTCAGTCTTTCAGAATTATCTTAACTCATATTATTATAGTATGCTCTTCAGTCTTGCAGAATTATCTCAACTCATAAGTACAATTGATATATGCATATTCTAAAAAATGCTTACAACATTGAAATGATTCATTCTTTAATCAAAGGATGTCAATTAAAATCAGAGAAACCACTAGAAACATTTTATCATGCTCAAATTAACATACTTTAAAGGCATTTCAACAAATTTACACAGATTGGCTCTTCCTGTATATTCTGTAATTTTTTATGCGTGAAGTGTATAGGTAAACACTAATAAATTTAACATTTTATGTACATTTATTAATTTATGACACATGAGACCAAAATTAGCTCCGACATAGACTTATATCTTAGGCATAATTGGTTCTAATAACTTAAGAAAACAAAATTAATGTAAGAAAAACCAATCCTCCGACCAGGAAGAAAAAGGTGACTAAAGAGACTGTAATCAGAATGAGATTAGAGTCTGTTTTGGTAGTTATATTTTACTCAATATACAATTTGTGTGCAGGTTCATACCTTATTGCAACATACAATTTAAAAACAAAATCCCGCGCATTGAGCAGGTGCCCTCCTAGTCTTTGTTAACGACTTGTATAGTTGTATTGTATGTAAACGTATTTCATCAACCAATTTTTTTTGTCATCGTATATAATCAACAGTTGTGCATATAGCAACCTAATAAGCCCAATGGGTCGAAATTTATGGTAGGCCCATAAACGTTCTGCAAGATCTACAAGACTTCGCGTACGGGCCACGCAAACAAAAAGGAAAGAGATTTTGCAGCCCAAACGTATTTAAACAAATTGAAACCTCAGACCTAATTTTCTTCTATTGTAGCCGTTTGTTGAAGCTTGAAAGAATGACGACGAAGTTGGATATTCCAAGGGATTTGATAGAGGATGAGATTCTCCCTAGGGTTTCGATAACATCTCTGAGAGCAGTGCGATCTACTTGCAAAGAGTGGGAGGCTTCTACCAAAACTCAGATTCTTGGTAAAGCAGCAAGAGCAAGCAAGCCCTATTTAGGGTTCATGTTGATGGATTATAAGGTTTGTTCCTTGAAATTCGATCTCCATGGACTCCGAAACAGCGGAGAGTTCGTTAAACCAAATATAAAGCAAGTAAGTATACTTGACCAAATCGAGATATCTCAAGTATTTCACTGCGCTGGCTTACTGTTATGCGTCATCAAAGACAACAAAGGGCTTGTGGTATGGAACCCTTACATGGGTCAAATAAAGTGGATACAACCAAGAGACAAATACGAGATTTCTGATGTATATGCTTTCGGATATGACGAGAACCGTAACCACAAAATCTTGAGGATTTTCTTTGACGACAATCTTAAAGTTTCGGGGTACGAAATCTACGACCTTAGCTCTGATTCATGGAAGGTAGTCTATGACACCCCTGCATGGGATTGTGATACATGGATTCATGAACAACCCGGTGTGTCTTTGAATGGAAACACTTATTTTTTGGCACAAGATGTAGAAGCAGTTATACCATTTTATGAATATTTTTGGGAAGAACATGCCGACGATTTTTTACTATGTTTTGATTTTACGACTGAGAGATTTGGACCGCATCTGCCTCTGCCTTATAACGACAATAACGTGTCTCTATCATGTGTGGGAGATGAGAAGCTCGCCGTGTTTTATCAACGTTCAGGTAAATGTCATGTTTTAGAGATTTGGGTCACAAATAAGATTGATCCCAATGGTGTATCAATATCATGGAGCAAGTTCTTGGGACGTTTTGACGGTGGTGTTAAGGTTTATGACATTTACGGTGGGAGTTTTTTCATCGACGAGGACAAGGAAGTTGCCGTAGTTTTCGACGTAGACAGACCTAAAGGGTACAAGACTTGTCTCTACCCAGCAGCTCACATCATTGGACAAGATGGATATCTCAAATCTTTGAGTATCGGAGAAGCCCTGAATCTCGGGACGCCTGACGAATCTGGATATGTTGAGGAGAAATATCGTTTCCCACTTGTGTGTTCTTCATATGTTCCAAGCTTAGTGCAATTGTAAATAAACCAACCGGGCTAAACCATCCCGGCTTTTTGCAAGACAAAGGTTCCAACAAAGAATGAGTTATAAAAAAATCTGAAAAGGGTACACTGTAAAAGTTGACCAGAAGCAAACTGAGTTCATGTTTTAAATCTCTGTCTCTCTCTCTGATTAAACTAACAAACTAAAAGCTGCACGAAAATAGCTTCACATCACACTCACAAGAAGCTCATCCTGTTCTTCTGCGTTTTGGTGCTGCCACCTGAACAAAAAAGCTGCTGTTAACACCATAACTTGCAAAGCAGGAAAACAAAAGGGTCTCAACATCAACAATATTTGTATCACAAACTCACCTCAACATCATTAACCTCATCATCATCAACCTCGTCACCATTAACCTCTTCATCACGGCTGTTGCATGCAGAACAGAAGTAGTGTTCCATCTTCTTGACTTCTTCATCCGTCATGCCTATGCATTTCGAGTGAAACCTACAATGACATAAGTCGCGATCCCGCAAGATTGGTTAGCTAACTTCCAAAAGCCAGTACCAACTCTTACAACTAATAAACAAGACTCCAAATAAGTTTATTCTGTAACCAGAGACTATCATTTAGACCATAAATTTAACAAGACTAACAAAAGCATTTACCAGTCATTGCACTTCTCACATTCCACCATCAATACATCCGGATTATGCGGTTGATAACATAAGCAGTACCTTCATTAGTCAAAACAAAATCCAAAAACCAAAAAAAAGATAATCAAAACTCATGAAGTTAACAAGAGAGAAGGCTTGATTCACACACACCCAATTACTAAAATATACACTTACACCTCAGCGCTCTCAGGGACATAAACGGCGCTATGAACCTTATACTCCAACCTCCAATAGTAATCATGCTCTCTAATGCATTTAAGTTTCATAAAGTCGTCAAGGGTGTGAACGATGCATTTGCCTTCAATAGTTTCCACACTCTGAACATCATCGTGGTCAGACAAGAGGAGCTCTCTCTCTCCATAGAATTTTTTCCTACCGTGATACAAGTCATTAGGACGGTAGTACCATAGAACACGCACCTTCACCTCGTTCTTCTCCACATGCAATTCGATCTTCTCAACAAGCGCCACATAAGATGGCTTACGAGAATTCGGTGAACGCATAAACACACTATCTCCCGCTGCATCAAAAAAGAAAAAAAAAAAAAAAACATCTCAACAATCACATTTCCACACATATTGATAAAGAGAGAACAATCTCATAAAAACATTGTTTTTTCCGGATATATAACTCATAACATTCAACTAATCACAATTCAATCCTAAAGAATGCATTTTTTGCAATACAATTCAGTAAAATGATCCTTCATAATCCAAAATATCACATTTTGCATCCAAATTGATAAATTGGTTAACATTTAGACAAAAGATACATATATTTCCCGTTTTGATAGAACGTTACATGGTCAGACCAAAACATATCCAAAACAATTAAATGAGATGATAAAGATTCCATAAAGCTAAATTTGTGAGGAATTAATTGCTTGTTTGAATCTAAACGCAACCCAATTACACAAAATGAACATTTAAAAGAGTGATGGGACATGAAATGGTACCTCGAACGACAATTTTGGTGCCTCTGATAGTATACGAATCGAGAACTTTCTTGTACACCTTACTCTCTGAAAGCTTAGCAGCTTTTTTTTTGTTGAAGGGTTTAGCAGATTTTCGAGTTTTTTTCGACAATTTATCAGTTTTTTTGGGCATGATATCTGTTTTTTTCCCTACTGACGGGCGAACTGGATTTTGTGTGTTGTCTCTCGTTATAGAAATTTTCTTGAAGATCGGAAGCTTGAGATCTATGGGAAGAAGAAGGATGAAAAACAAATCTGAGGGGAATGGAGAGATAGATCTGCAACCTAGTTCCCCTCTAGGGTTTTTTTTAATTGTGTTTCCCTTTTTTTGTTTCATCCATTTTAAAAGGTGATTACGAAACTCGCCGCCAAACAAAACGACGCCGGAGCGAAAAGCCCACACAAAAACAATACCGGAACGAAAAGCCCACACGAAAGATATAAAAGCCTAAAATAGGAAAACTTATAAACGCAGTACAAACTTGCAACAAAGGAAATAGCAAAGCTAAGATCCATAAATAACTTCTTCATATTGAAGTTAATTAAGTTTAGAACGAATAAACAGTCGGAAATCTTACTTGAAGAAACCAATCTAGAAAGACTCTTGCATTATTGTTTTTTTTCTCATTGTAAAGATTCGTTTCTGGATTAACTTCTTCATATTGAAGTTAATTAAGTTTAGAGCGAAGAAACACTAGGAAATCTTACTTGAAGAACGAATCTTTATGGTAAGAAAACTCTTGCAATATTGTTTTTTTTCTCAAAATTCGCTTCTACAAGTAATATATTTAGCTGTTTCTTTGTTCCGGGACTTAGTTAGAGTCTGACTTTCAGTCTTGAGAAATTTTAGTTGCTAGCTTTGATATTTCCTTTGTTGTAAGCTTGTAGTATGTTTGCATGTAAGCTTTCCTCTTTTGGGTTATATCTCATTAGTGTAGGTTTTTGGTTTTGGTGTTGTTTTGTTTGACAACGGATTTTGTAATCTCCTACACTTACAAAGAGTGTTGATAACGGCATAACGCACTATGAATTTTGATGAGAATATACATGTATACCACATTTATGTATAAAGTTAAAGCTAACAAAGATTTTAACGTATATCATTTAATTAAAAGGAAATTAAAGGAATTTGTTTTTGGCAAACTAAAGATTGTAAGTTTATTTTACCAAAAAGTGAATATTTTAAGTTGTACGCTGCTATACTGCAAGATCACTTAACGAGAGCGCGCGAAACACTTGAACTTGTTATTGTGTAAAAGGTAATTGGTTTAATGTCATTGTAAAAAGTAAAGTTGTCAAAAATAGTATGAATGATGCTTATACCTTTCACAAACATACATTTTAAAGATATCGAACAAACTATTACGCTCTTGCCCAAATATTCATATATATTTCAAAATTCTCAATATGGGTTTAACACTCGCTCTTTATATTAGCAAACTATACACTCTTAACTACCAGCAACTTAGGCACAATAATAACACAACAACTATCACACTTTGATTATCACTACAAGAAATCATGTGTGTTGCATCACTTATAAAGTGTCAAATAAACAACTGATGCATATTAAAATCACATATTTAAAAATGACACTAATTATTTGAATTCACTAATTATTGACACAAAGTATTAGAGTCACCACTTCCAAAGTCATTTATACAAATGATGGAAATACATTTACATCATTGAAAAAATGATAGAAACAACAAAAATAAATTATGCAACACACATGATTTCTTGTAGTGTATACTCTTACCAAGATAGTATATAATTGTTCCAAAATAAATCTAAACCGAATAATGAAAATATTTTCGATAAATTAAGAAAAACTATACCACAAGTCTTTTCTTCCCATATGAGAGACCACCGTTTATGGCTGCGTATAAGAAGTAACTTACAGGCCAACATTTTGTTTTTTCTGGTTACAAATAACAGTTATGAAAATCTCATAATAATGCATATAAAGATAGCCAAAAATAAAAGAGCCAAACTTCTAGAAACTTCTAGAATTTCTGAAGAACGACAGAGTTGGCGAGACCAGCTTGTTCAATGGTCTGAGTGAGATCAGTCAACGGCTTAGGTGGGAACCCCATTGTCTGAAGCTGGTAGTTCACCGGAGCTCCAGGTCGAGAAGAGTCGATGAAACCGCGAATGTCGTTCACCGTGTGATGGTGATTGAACTTGGCCACAAGACGTGTCCCATCCACTAGCCTAATCTGTATCGATGTGGTTGGAACGGTTTCATCAATCACAAGACTCGCAGACGGTGCTGGTGCTGGTACTGGTGCTGCGGAAGGTGGAGCCGTTGGTGAGCTGGTTCCGCTGATGTCGATGTTACCACTTAAAGTCCTTCCGACACCTTGAAACGAAACCCTACGCGGCTTCTCTCGTTCCTACAACAAGAAACAAGACTCAGGAACTCGATTACTCATTACATTTTTGGTGATGATGCAATAAAGAGGACTCACAGGGCATTTCTCTTCCCTTCGCATCAGATTGACATGTACAGGAGCTCTTCTATCCGCAGGCTCGAGCTCTTTCGGGCACTCAGACTTTCGAATGCTCTGCAAGAGACACAAATCAATAACTCAAAAACAGAGTTTATACTTTTTTACAATGGTACTGATTCGTTTATTTTACCTCGAGAAACGATGCATTCTCTGGATCATCCAACTTCCTCAAAGGACCATCGTCTATGGTGAATCCATTAGACCAGAAAACAATGTTGTGAACGACAGGCTCAGGCTGTTGAAGGCCAGTGGGGACACTCTCTCCTGAGAGCAATCTCCCAGTTCCGGTGAAGCTCCTCGAGCTTGATGGAGTCTCGAGAGGTCCTTCCACAGCTCCTAGCTGTCTAGCTTGGTTGAATATCTCATCAACATCATCTTTTTTCGAAGGATCCTGCACAAGCATACCACTGCAAAAAAAAAAAAGGAAATCAAATGTAAAAAAAAAAAACATTTTAGTAGACGGTTTCAGTATTTACATGAACCCTAAACTGAGATACTGAGCTAGATTTACAAGAACTCTTATTAAATCCTCATCCAGAGTGTTATCATTAATTTTGATATAATTGAACAATCAATATTGAGACACTGAGCTAGATTACAGTAAATCATGAAATTTAATATTTTTCTTGAACCTCGATCTAGAGTGGTATCATCAAATTTTGATCCAATTAAGCAATTTAAAGCTGTTTAATGATAGCGCAATTAGTGAAATTAATAATCTAATTCGAGAATTCCAGATCCAAACATGACCAATGACGATCGTCTCACTTATATCACTAATAATCAGTATCAGTCAAATGAATCAATGGATAACTGAAACCAGAGTAAAAGTTTTAAGAGTACCGACCTTTTCTCGCCGCCGGTGTAGTATTCCTGAGGTGCGTCGTCGGAATCACTGTCGGAGTCAGGTCCAGACCTACGATTGAGATCGGAAAGAGTGCGGATTTTACCAGCACGACTACTTGACGGTCTCGCCGGTTTCTTATCCTTCGAAGACATTTTCTCTCTCCGCTGCCGCAGAACAGAAAACGATTTTCAGAGAGAGAGAGAGAAGAGAGTTGAGCTTTGAGAGAGAGCTTTGAGAGAGAGAAGAAATCGAGGAATTTATTTATCAAGATATCGAACGAACGCTAGGGAGACGCTCACTAGTCACTTTTTATAATACGCGCTAGTTAAGCGCGTGGCGTTTTACTACGTGACCTCTTCTCAAATAAATCCACGCGCGCGCGTGTGGGGATGTGGTAAGCTGTCAATGAGTTTTTAACTAAAAGAGTACGAGACTTGAGATTTTTGGTACTTTGTTGGTTTTGACATATTTGGCAAGGTTACTTTGTATGACGTTTCGCTCTATTTTAATGCATGTTTTATTTTATTCTTATAAACGACTGTACTATGCCGACCCAAAAACAAAACATTATTTAGTTTGGTGGTTCAATGGAGTGAAAATAGATAACCTTCTATAATATTTTTGGTTTTCTCAAGAAATTTGTTTGTGTCAAAGAATTTTCAGGATCAGTTTATAAATGAATATGAACAAGAAATTGAAGCATAGTTTAATCGATCTTTAATAAGATTGTCTAGACACTAAAACAAAAGGAGTATTAAAATATTAAATGAACTGAAACTAGTGTCGGCTGACCCGACCAAATTCAGTTCAGACCGGGGGATTTGAAAGAAATATCCTAAGTTGTTGTTGTCCGTTTTGTATAGGATTTGGACCAGACCGGTCAAACGAATAATTTTCTTCTATTTCACCGTCAACACTCAACATCAAATTAATTTGCTCAAAAAAACCCACAGAATTGGACCAGACATGACCTTGCCCTGTAAAAAACCGGACCGGTATCAGCCTACCGACGTCTCTAGACAAGAGAGATCACATGCTTCTTGGAACAAGAGACATGGACGGTAAAAAAGTCTCGGAATAATTCAAAATTTTGGATTAGAACTTGTAAGAAAAGGAAACTTCTGTTGGGGCAATATCTGTGTGGTCTCTAACAAAAGGAGTTTAAGTCACCGTTGCTTTTAGTTTTCTAGAAAAGTTTTGAACAGTAAAAAAAGAGAGCATACTACTTGTCACCCCCAAAGGCCTCAACCAAAGATCATCATCACCTCTTCTTCTTTGGCTCTCCTGCTCCTCCTGAGTACTTTTTGATTAAGGCTTCAACATCTTTCCAGAATAAACCCTCAACAAGAACTCCATCTTTAGTCAGCCTGAATATACATAGACAAAATAAAACAAATTAGGCTATGAGACGGATATGGCTTGAGCTCGTGTTTGAACAATGCAGAGAGATAGAGAGAGAGACCATTGAGTGACACTTTTGGTTAACTGGACTGACTTCCCAGCTGAGATTGATTTTGGATCAGCACTTTCGATGGTGAGAGTGTACTGATCGGAGAATCTCGGTAACTTGGAAGATACAACCAAACCAGTGCTGGTGAATGATCCCTGCGTATTAACAAATTCGAATTTTAAGTCAGGAAATGATGGATGAAACAACCAGATAAGACATGTTTGAACTGTAACAGCCAAATGAATAATCTGTTAAGCAATTTATCATTGCAACTGAAATGGCAAAACAAAATGTTGATCTCTTTGATACCTATCTCTGACCTAACCAATGACTACTCCAATCACAGTTACATGCTCGGTATAATTGTTTTCCTTTGTCTAGAGGAGTAAAATTTCGGACAAGGTTTGGTGGAGTCTGAACTCTGAAAGGGAAAATGGAGCTCCCTCTAAAGCTCAAATACCAAACCCTAAGACTTACAACACATGTGAAGCTAGCAGAAGCCCAATTCTTGTATTAACCGTATTAAGTATTTAACTATCCGAATTTCAAGTCAGGAAATGATGAGCAAAATGACCAAATAAAACATCTTCAAATTCATAACAGCAAAACAATATGGATATCTCTTTGTTGCCTATCCTGACCTAACCAATGAGTACTCTAATCACATGTTCGGTAAAACGTATACAAATTAACTGAGAAGAGTGAATTTGTCCAGATGCTGGGACAAGGAAGGAAACTACCAAGGCACCAAAACAAACATTACATTCCAGAATCATCTTGAAAAAGTATGTCACATAAGACAAGACATCACCAATCACAAATACCGAAAGATACAAGAACTTGCACAGTCCGAATAATCAAGACTTCAATAAATCAAATAACGCACTGAGGAAAAGTTGGGACGCCAAACACTAACATCTACAACAAATGTGAACCTAGCAGAAGCACAATTCTCATTCTTTACGACAGAAGGAAACCACAATACAGCTCTAGATATGAAGAAGTAAATGCGGGGAAGTATGTTCATTAACATCAAAATCACATAAACTACAGCCATTGCGTTACAGAAAAAGAAAAACAATGTAACCCAACACAGCCTGCAAAGATCAATAAATTCTGAAAGAACATGTTTTTTTCTCAATAGTCAGAAGACAAACCTCAAGAGGATATGTGAACAATATCGCATTCTTCTCCTTAACGAACATTATCAGCTGCATTACCGCAGTCAACACTACATACTTGCCAGAGTCAAGAAACAACTAAATCTCACATTTTATTCTACTAATAAAAAAAGAGGCCAAAGATAATGGAATTGAGCAGTTTATATGATCACACATTCATATTTTTTCTTAAGCCAAAACACAAAAAGCTAATCGATCTATATTCACCGAAATTGCAATTGTCATTTCCCAATTCTCACTAAATTCAATTTCATCTTAACCCTAGAAACCGCAAACTGCGAGGAGAATCAAATTGGAATCAAGCAGGAAAGCAAATCCGAAGCAATAATTTGACACACACGAAGATAAAGAAGGATATAATCCGATGCAGCAGATCAAAAAGTCTCTGTTCTCAGGGAACTTCTTGTTGTAGAATTGGGCAACGAGAGCAACGACGATGATAATCGTTCCTAGCAGCAATTTCGCGTTGCTTAGCCTCACATCCTCCTTGTAGCCTCGGCTCTTAACGATCTAAGCAGCCAAAAAGGATAAAAACGAATCCAATATCAGAGAAAATTGTAGAAATCGGGGGGAAATTTTTTGTATGAAATGATTTTTGTCAGGCTTACATCGGAGACGGATTCGTCGAGGATGTTCTTGACAGAGTTGTGATCTAAGAGATTAGCCTTCTTAACGTTCTTAGTCGTAGATTCTGTCTTTTTCTCATCTTCCATGGCGTATAGATCCCGATCGAGAACAATATCAAATCTCTCTACGTTTCTTCGTAAATTCTTACGAAAGCAGGACTGAGATATTGACAGAGAGCGCAAAGAAGAGACGTTTCCGGTCAAATGACTCGATTATAGCTTTGATACGATGTCGTTTAGTAGATAATAAAAATGGGCCTTTCTTGGGCTTTTTATAAATTTTTATCAATTGAAATAAGAGTCCAAATTTGAAAATATCGTCCAGTTGGGAAATTATTTGGTGTACGACATGCATGATATGAGATAAAATATAGTTGGTGCCAATGAAGTCACTTTGTCATCCATATGGTCTATAATTGGACGAGGACGACTTTGACTTAATTAGTTTTCACTGATTAATGATACAATGATACACCACAACGTACAGTGACCAGTCCCGCGTGTGCCTCAGGAATGAATCTTCTTGGTAGAGCTTGGGGGAGAATGCTCACATCGGCGGTAAAAATTATAATTACATCTACGACTTATTGGCTTGTAACTAAGACTCTTCCGCGACTTGCTCCCTGGAGTTGCAATTTTAGAGTCTCCGAGTCCGAGTCCATTGTCTTCCAAGTTCCTCCTCACGGTCATTGACTCTTTTGCCCCACCAACACATGACATACAAGAGAGTCAAGCCTTTTAGTAATAGAGCTGGTAAAGTAAGACGGTAAATGAGTTAAAACTACTCTCCATATATAGGTAGAAGACTCACTGAGTTTGCGGTGTTCCATTTGAGCAGCAAAGGCTTCTACATGTACACAATGTGAAAGTATGACTAAAAGAAGAAAGTAAATGATGGAAGAGACAATAGACCTCACCATCATCGTAATACTGAATAGAGAAGAGAAAGTAAATGGTGATCACTTTGATTACATTTCAAGCATCTATATAGAGTAAAGAAGAGAGAGGAGTTGAAGGCTTGAAGCTATCCGATTTAGCTTTTGTGGTCTTCGCTTGGCAATTGGCATGTCTTTGTGCGTTTACTCCGGTCAAAAAGGTTTCCCGCGTTATTTACGTAGGCCCACTTTGTATTTTTCTTTATTTTCAAACCTTTCCAGTAATAATTGTATATGTAATTCTGTAATTGCTACTACAAGACAAAAAAAGACTTCCCGATAGTGGTGCTTAACTCGTATTTCATAAACGGATTTTAAACAGAACTTTTGGATCTAAAGATTTAAAGAACAAAACAGTTCAAGCTTTTGTTTGTCCCTATATCAAGATTGTAGCAAATTTATTTTCATTAATGTATTTTATTAGTAAGGGTATAACATTATTAATCTGAATATAAAGTATAGTTGCCCAAAGTTCAAATCAAAAGGTTTAGACCAGAAGAGTATTATAGTTAAATCATCTTTCTTTTCCAATTGTCCTTTAATTATACGAAGACGATGAGGCTTTTAATTAATTGGGAGATCCAGATCAAGGGCATCTCTCGTTCTGACCAGGACCGCCAAAAAAGAAATGACTCCCCCAAGAAGTTCCACCATCTCCTTCCTTAATGCTGTAACAGTTACCATTAGAAACATATGGTGTAAGTCCTTGTGGTTCTATCAGAGTATTGGTTTCATCAACTATCATAATATTCCTGAAATAGCTCGCTTTCTTGTATCCTTCGTCTGCAAAATGCCCACTTCCCATATCCGTTGTTGTGTGTTTTCCATCGGTCATTTTGTTTACAATTTCACCGCCCCATTTAACTGCGGTGGCTCCATTTCCTAGAGAAGTGAACAAATTGCCAGGCCAGTACCCGACATTCTCGTCGCCGATCTTTAGCCACCAGTTCTCACCGTCCTAAATAAAAATAATGGACAAAGCCATTTCACGTTTAGATGCAAGTATAATAACTTTGGGAATAGTTTCTAGGGAAAATTTGCAAACACATAATAATATTTTTGTAAATATTGCGTGTTTCTAAATTATATTACGTAAAACAGCGTCTCACAAAATATAAAAATAACATGACATTTCAGTATTTCACAGGTAAAGTTTTTTTTTATTTTATTTTCACAGGTCAAAAACAATAGATTTTTCAGTACGTTAACTGCCCTTATGGGTAATTAAAGATTATTTTTTTAATTAGGTTGGTACCTTCCATATAAGCATGAGGCGCTCTTGTTGATCTCCGTCGTATTGTGACACGGGATTTAAGGATCCACTTACACTGATAACATTGCTCGTCTGAACAAAACCATGATCTGGACATTTCAGGTTGTAGCACTGATCTCCTAGGTATCCATTGTTCTATTTCCGTGGATGCACATAAGTAAAAGAGAACAAAGAAATTTAGTTGGTTTAAGCATTCAGAGATTAATAATACTAATTATTAAATGGCTTTGGTGGTAGTATATGTGTTCTCGGATTGTGAACAGGTCAAATGAAAAACAAACTTTGTTTATTATATTCAGAATCCAATAAACTTGTGACGGTCTAAATTACGTTTCTCAAATGATAGTCTAAAGTTTTTATTGAGGATTCACGCATAAATTTTCAAGAAAATAGGAATTTACCGTCCAGAAAACGAATAATCTAGTATTGGTGTCATCATACATATCTTGATAAACCTATAAAATTATAGCAAACAAAAATAGTGTTAATACGATGGTTTGCATATGAGGAAAATGTACTTAAGAATAGAGGAGATTTGAGCTACAAGACCTGCCAACCAGCTTCAATGCTGTTAAGATTAGGGCCTTCTCCAGATACAAGCCAAGTCTGAGCCAAGCTGAATTCTTCGGAATCTTGGACATTTGGATTCCATAAATTTATTACAAATTCGGTCCCGAAGAACTTTCCGTTATTCAACTCCATGGCCGCGTACTAAAGCGTAGGAAAGAGGTAAATTAAGCCACAACAGAGTAATTAATATTAACTCAAGGAAAATTCAGAAAGAGGTGTACCTCATGGCCTGTACTTGGACTTTGGTATTCAGGGATGCTTTGATGAGTTTTTTTCCGGAAACTCTCAGCCGATGCTCGTAAGATATCTTCTTTCTTTGTTCTTCTGATAGGTACAGTGTTTCTCGGACACTCTCCATTCTTGTTCCACACTTGATTCATAGCCTTTGCCTTTTTCTTGGTGTACTTAGAATCAACTTTCGGGATAAAACTCGGTCTCAACTACGCGCGAAAAGAAACACCCAATTTCAACAAAAATCTTGCATGCATGTAACAAACAAAAGAGAGACCGAAGATGAGAGGCAAACCTGGATGGTGTGGTTCTTAAGTAGAGGATGATCAAATGCTGGTTGATTAGTAATTAAAACACAATCTATTATATCTCCATCTTCACTCTGCAAGAAAGATTAAAGCAAAAAAAAGTTAATATCAAGAAGTTTTCGTCCGCGAATATTAAAAGCACGTCGATTTTATGCATGCAAATAACATTTGTATAACATATATACCTTAATAGATTTAAGAGCAGGCTTGTTGAACCGTTTCAAAAGTCTTTGTACATCGATATCTTGGTGATTAGAGCTCCCTTTTCCATAGACACAAGGAGAGATTATCACCACTATCATCATCAGAGCTACCATGAAGCCGGCCATTCTCATCATGGTTACTTAATAATTATAAACCTTTAGATACTACCCTTTGGAGTTTTTTTATTATTTTTGTATCAACTACTCTTAGAATTGATAGGAGATGATTGCTCATATGTTATATAGATCAAGAATTTATACAATTACACCATAAAATCAATAAAAAGCTGAGTCAGGACTTACACATCATCACGACTTGTGATGAAACGTATTATTTGGGTAAGACTTTTCTTCGAGCGAGTTTAGGTCATTTCAAGTGCTCCATGTCATGACAATTATGTAAAATTTGCTGCTCGTATATTCTACAAATCGAGAAATCACATCAACTTTTTCGTGGTGACAGTTATACGGTGAAGATCTATAAAAATGGACTCATGACTTCTATAATGATAAACATCATCAGCACAAACTTGTGATGAAGCGTATTAATTATTTGGGTAAGAATTTTTTTTCGAGTGAGTTTAGGTCATTTTAAGTGCTCCATATGTCATGACAATTATATAAAATTTGCTACTAGACTTGCTTTAAGGCTTAGTTAGGGGTTTTACATTGTGATATACAGTCCTCTATAGTCTATTCAGAAAATTTATGGTTGATATTACTTACCGTGTTAGAAATATTCAACTATTTCTTTTTTAAACAAGACTATTCCACTATTTTTGTGATTCAGATTGTGACTAATTTGTTATTAGTTCCATTGATACGTGTTACGTGAACGACTTCAGGAATATCAATGAAGATCAACCCATGACTTAAACATCAGGTCTTCTTGTGATGAAACGTGAAGTTTAGGCAAGTAAATGGTTCGATGGGTTAGAATTGACGGGGGAAGTTTCATTGAAAGAGTTAACCTATTTTCAGCGAATAAGAAAACGAAATTTAAAAAAAAAAACAAAAACAATATATTAAACTAATAACTTTAATTCATAAATCAAAACAAAAATAATTGTTTTATCATTTGGTTTAATTATTTTGTTTTACATTTTTCGGTTAAAATTAAGGCACCGGAATTTGAAAACAATATCATAGAGCATATTTGACTTCGATTCAAAATTCGATTTTGAAGATCGTACGTGATCCGTAAGCATGGTTTTTCGATGATGTTACCATTTTATTGTTCAAGCATTATTCATCTTCATCATACTGTATCTCAAATATATATATAATTTTTAAAATCTACTGTATGGAAATGAATATAACTATAAATTTTGACTATTTTGTTATTTAGGTTTTATACGTGCGAGGAATGTTGTGTCCTTCTTACTCATAATATGTTTACTAGGGAGAGTACTTTTCATAGCTAAAAAATGGTTACATTGTAATATCATGTGTATGATTTATGAACTTTTATGATTCAAATGAATGATTCATTCTAAAAAGCATCTGCAGATTCTGCACCACAAGTATATCATCTTTGAGAATGTATATCATTAATTATGGAGCATGCTGGATACATCACAAAAACTTTCACCAAAAGAACCATCTTTTCGTGGTAGAAGAAGCTTTTGGGGTTTGCTCATGTTGTTCATCCTTCTTCCTATTCTCCATTCCCTGCTTCAGTGACTCCAGTCTTTTTCTGTAACATCCACACAAACACACACAAAAGATCTTAGCTTTAAGCTAAGAAGCAGATCCAAATCAAACAGACTTTACCACATAAAGGGTATTATAATGCTAACAGTCAATAGCTTGAGGAAGTTTATGTCAATATACAGCAATTTGATAAGGATTATTATGGGTTCAAATCTCATGCAGCACAATAATTTCATGATAATGTATATGATTATGAAGATTGCTAATCTATAAGGTTAGATTTTGTTACAGTACTTGGTATCTGTCATCCGACCGTGCAAGCTCCATCTCCGACGAAATCCTTCAATTCCTTCAGCTCCACTCGCTAGAATCAAGTGCCTGATTAATAAACAACAAATTTAACTAGTTCTAGTCATCATTTGGATTAAGAACAGAGTTTGTGAGGATTCAAATCTGAATCAGTGCAATGTTTAAGAAAGAGTACCTCTCTAGTGATGTGGCTTCAGCTTCAAGCTGAGTAATCCTTTCCTTAGCGAGATCAATAGGCATAGACGAACCTAGCTTGTGTTCGCTCTCTTGAAGTCTCACTCTTAATACCTTGTCCTAAAGAAGGATTATAAGAATAACGAAAAACTTCAGGAAAATGGATATGAGATATGAAAAAAGCTATACAACAATATAATCTGAGCATTACCCTGTTCTCAGCACATTGTCGATACAAGGCAAGCTCGTCTTGGCAAAATGGTTCGATATCATTGATTTGCAAACCTAAAAACCAGACAGAAGAAAAGGTATGATACAAACTAAACCGAGGATACATAGACTTGAACATGATGATTGAAAAACAGAGACTTACATAAGAAGAGGTTCCTCAAGATCCCATCACACAATTCAACACCTTCAAGGACATGAGCAGCGATTTCAGGAGGGATGACAGGAGATGGAGGACCCATCATTAGGTCGTCACCGACCAATATGGTCTCCTCCATCATTGGCTGCGAGTCAACTGTAAATTTGAAATCACCAATGTTACAACTTTTCATATACAATTCATACAGCAAAGAAACTTAACATCACTAGGCGACCTCAAATTCAATTATCCTAGAAACTAAAGGATTCCATTTCCATGCACAGATGGTGATGCAAATTTGGATTTTTGACATCATATGAACAAAAAATGCAACAAAAGCAACTCAAACAGCCTAAGCGTTTGTAAGATTGAGTTTCATTTCAGCTGCCACACAATATCAGTTTTCCTCATTCTTCATTCTAAATTCACCAATCCGTAAAATGCAACACAAAGATAGGTAAAGAAAGGGCCTTTTAAAACAGATTCACAATTGTTCAATTTCACTTACCATCCATGACTGCTCCGGTATCAAAACAGTTTCAAGAACTGAAGAAGAGACTAAACTTGAGAGCCCTGAAAATTAAAACGAAAAAAAAATTGTAAGAAAAAATAAAAAGTCTCACTTAAGCATTTCGTCGAACAGTTTCTATGCTTAACAAGTACATACCTGTTCGAAAACCTTTACTCCGCAAACTGAGAGGAGATTCAAATGAGAATCAAACAGAGGAGCAACTAGCGAATTCGAAGAAGCAATTTGACAATAAAGGATATAAATTTGACGAAGCCGATCAAAAAGTTCCTCTCTTCTCAGGGAACTTTTTCACCGTCTCTCTGAGTTCCCGAGTACTGTTGTTTGCGAGGAGACTCAAATCTAGTTTACAAATACGATATCGTTTCGTGTATGACAGAAAAAAAAAAAAAAAACACTAGAAAAAGCAAAGAGACTGTAAAAAGAAAAGTACTGATATAGAGTGAATTAATTACATGTGAATTGTGATAATAGTGGTTTTTAGGGTTCATGGGATTTTCGATTTGATTTTATAAGGAAAATGATATGAGAATGCAGTAGATACGATATTAGCAGGTAAAAGAGCTTTTACAGTTTTACTCCAATTTCACATAATCTTCTTCTGTAACAACATCCTCAAGCTTTGACCTTGACTAAAAAAGTCAAACTCAAAGAAACAGAAGAGTCTTCTCTCTTCTGTATGTACAACAAGCGTAACTGTCCGTAAGTATCAAATAAATAACAATGTCACTCAAAATCTAGCAGTGGTTTCTTGGAACGAGAAGCCAAACTCTGTTCCCTCTGCTCTACAACACTAAGAAGAGCCTTGCGCCTTGATTCAGCGCTTTCCAAGTACTCTTGTATCGGAGGAAGAGTGACTCTTTGTTGTTCTTCTCCACTTGCTTTAGCTCGACGAATCAACTATATATCCATCCAACAACACAAAAGGTCAGTCAATTTGCAGTCCTGTGACATTTTAGCTATGAGTGTGGAATATGAATGAATATTCGGTTTAAAACTAACCTTTGAAGCCCATGTTCGTTCTGCTCCTTGACATACATCTCTAATATCCCTTCCTGACATTCTGCATAACCAATCAAAACCGGAAACAACAAACAAAATGTCGGTTTAGATTCATTACAAACTAATCAGGAGGCAGTTTCAAGCTTTTAGCATAAAGAAAGAAACTTTACGCTTCTGTGGCCTGAGCAAGCTGGACTAGCTCAGGCTTTGAGAGTTGTTTTGCGTATTGAGCGATGATTTCTTGACGGGTTTGCAAGTCCGGTAAGCCAAACATGATCATAGAATCGAACCGGCTAAAAGATATACCAGATAGAGAGAAAACATTAGGGAAACTTGTCAGGATGCTGCAGCCACAGAGTTAAACCGGTTTTATTTATTGCGTACCTGATCAAAGCGGGATCAAGATCTTGTTTCCTATTAGTTGCAGCAATCACAACCACTTTCTTGTCCTGCTCAAATCCATCAATCTGCAGGTACATAGTAAAAGCAGATTCATCATAAGCAACAGCTAGTATCTTGTAGATAATGTGTTGTTGCGTCATACCTGTCTTAGTAGTACTGATAAGACTCTACGTGTTGCTTCATGCATCTCACTATCACGAGATATAGCAAAGGCATCGATCTTGAATGTGAGTTTCACAAGTAAAATTTTAGTTCATAGTCAAATTGTGCAAAGGTAAAAAAATTTAAAAAGGACAAGAATCTTTATTTACCTCATCAAGAAATATAATGGCACCATCAGAGAGCTCATTTGCTTGTGAAAACACAGCTCCAAGAAGCCGCTCGCTTTCGCCATAGTACTTCGACATTACAGCTTCAAGCGGCACATAAAGCAACGGTATGCCCTGCCAAAGAAATTGTAAAAACGTTAAAGAGCTCAACATTCAAAGCCACACAAAATCCTTAAACTGATTTAGCAAACTCACCGCTTGATTAGCAATAACACGCGCACAAGATGTCTTCCCAGTTCCTGAGTAATAATCAGATCAAAAACTTGTTTCTACAAAGAAGGAACGAATTGTAAAATGCACTCTTCTTTGCTCTAACCTGGTGGGCCCTCAAACAGCACAGCTCGGGGTCGGTTTGATTCAAATTTGGACCGTGTGCCACGTACTATATCATCATACACTTCAGGACTATGAAGCGCCATCAATATTGTATCTTCAATCTCTCTACATCATGATAAAAAGCTCAATAGAGCCAACTTTATTATGTGACAAAAGAGAAAGATGTTCATGTAACTAAAAGCTTACCGCTTTTGCTGATCATATCCAGCAATATTGTCCCATGATATCTCATCCACAGAATCATCCCCAATAGGTTTGTTAACTCCATAGATTCTCACTCCCATTGATTCAAGCTGAGAAACGGTTTTGTCTGTCGATGTTTCACGCGCGCTACCTCCTTTGTTCTGTCCAGCTTTTGTTCCGGCTACTTGCAAAGCTGAAACAAAAGCCTCAAGTTCTTCAGTGGTCAAGCTTCCCTTCTTTATAAACTCAACTTCCTAAAAACAGTTTGTAGCATCATTAAGATATCAGATACAATAAATAACACTAAACAACATTGGAAGAGAAATTGAAACTTACAACTTTATCAGAGGTAATTAAGGAACCAAAGATAAGAATGCACAAGTCTTCATCTGAATCATCCTCACTTGCTTTTGGCTCCTTCTTGTTTTCCACACTTCTAAGTGTTATTTGCCACGCCACTGGACTGAAGTAAACAAGAAACTAATATCCCATCAGGCTCACAAAACTGCTTCATTGGACAAACTTTTGTAGAAGAAGACAACTACTTACTTGTCCCAAGAACGCAATATCATGTCTGAACCACCAGTTTGATCTGAGACTTTCACACCAAGTTGTGATCCAATGTTTGCTATTAATTGCGCAACTTCACAAGTAGAAGGAACTTGAAACTTCAACGTAATCTACAACAACAAAACACACTTCCTAATCACAATTACCATCAAAACAAGAGAGAGATGACTTCAAAAAGATCACTGCAGAAACCTTTTGGCCCCTGACAGCAACATTGAACCGTGGGTAAGCACCAGTTCGAGCTCCTTTACTCTGTATTAGTTCTTCGATTCGAGCTCGTTCTTTCTTGGCAACGTCTACATAGTTTGGTGGAGGATCTATGGGGACAGATGACTTCTCAGTTGCCTGCAAGATGGAAACTTTTAAACCAGAATCAGCAAAAGTTTCAAACTTTTTTGTTATATATGTGACTGATTCATCTATCAGAAAAAATGACTATTTGTAAACCTCTTCAGAATCAGCATAAGCTACTCCTATTGCTCCAAAGCTGAAGAAGAGAGCACCCAAAACTGCAGGAGACATGGAAAAGCATGGAGAATCGTTGAAAGTGCTGCAAGATCTCAAGACTTGATTAACTTTTGAATTACTCTGCTCGAAGGTTCCTGCAAAATCAAAATTTAGCTGCTCATGCTCTCAATTCCTCAAAAAGTCCTCATTTTTAAACCAATGAAATGAATTCGAACGAAACCCATCAAGTAATCAAAAGGATCAACGCCAAATTGTAAGAAATTCAATGCAGTGAAGCGTACCGTGATGGACACATCGACGAAGCTCTCCTCCCCGTGAATTCGACGGAATTATGGATTTAGGGTGAGAGAGAGATCCGCGACATACTCGAGATGCTCGAAACAATCGGTGTAGAACCGTCATTGCAGAAACTTCTCGAACTTAAATCTGTTAAAAGCTTCTTCTTCAAGGGTTTTTGAGGTTTTTCTTCAGGATCATCTTCCGACCGTACAAACAAAGTGTAGTGATTTGTTCTCGGAGAAACCTTCTTCCAGAGAAAACCAACCGGTTATATTGAAGAGACCGGTTTAGGAAGTGTGTCATATATTTTTTTTGGTGCCAATTAGCTAATTTTAAAAGAAATCATATAAAACAAACATTTTTCTTTTTTTTGCATTTGCATTTGCATTATAAGAAATGGGAGAGCCTGCCCAAAATCCATAACAACTACATGAAATTTAGTGAATTTTCCCTTGAGGGATTCTTCTATTAACATAGGCCATATAAAGCCAAAGTGATTACAACAGATCTACATAATTAGGGATATACAAAGTTGATTAACAGAATATCTAAACTATATCCCTATAATCTATCACCCTCCCTCAGTTGCAGCGTCGGGATTCTTGACGGTGAGACTGGATCGAAACTCATTGAAGAGACTTGTTGGTAATCCCTTGGTGAAGATATCTGCATACTGAAACGAGGAAGGAACATGAATGACCTTTACTTCTCCAATGGCTACTTTCTCACGAACAAAGTGAATATCCAATTCCACATGTTTTGTCCGTTGATGTTTGACTGGATTTGAAGCAAGATAAACCGAACTAATGTTGTCACAGTACACAATGGACGCTTTGGTGATGTTACAATGTAGCTCCAACATGAGATTTCTCAGCCAACAAAGTTCAGCAACTGTGTTAGCAACACCTTTGTATTCAGCTTCGGAGCTCGAACGGGACACCGTAGGCTGTCGCTTTGCGGACCATGAAACCAGATTTGGACCAAGAAACACACAATAACCTGATGTAGATCTTCTTGTGTCAGGACAGCCACCCCAGTCAGCGTCCGAGTAAGCCGTAAAACCACTTATATCCCCTTTAACCAGTTGCAATCCATGTGAGAGAGTGCCCTTGAGATACCGTATAATGCGTCGCAGAGCATTCAAATGTGGCTGTTTTGGATCATGCATATACAAACAGACTTGATGAACTGCATAGCAGATGTCTGGCCGCGTAAAGGTCAAGTATTGCAGTGCTCCTGCAAGGCTTCTATAAGCTGTCGGATCCTTGACTGGTTCACCAATGTCGTTAGAGAGCTTCGACTTTAAGTCCACCGGTGTTGCACATGGTTTACATTCACTCATTCCAGCCCGATGAATGATGTCTCGAGCATAAGTCGTTTGGCTCAAAAACATCCCCTTATCATTATAATCAGCCTTAATGCCAAGAAAGTGTTTTACCTTGCCCATATCAGTCATCGGAAACTCTGTTTTGAGGGAATCAATTATTTGTCGCAACAGAGTAGTAGAAGAAGCTGTTAAGAGAATGTCATCCATATAAAGTAAGATGTAAGCAAGCTCTCCTCCTTTCCTTAAAATAAATAACGACGCATCTGCCCTACTTGTCACAAACCCCAAATGGTTTATAAACTTTGCAAATCTGGAATTCCAAGCCCTTGGTGATTGCTTTAAGCCATAAATAGGTCTCTGCAATTTGCAAACATAGTTAGGGTAATTTTTGTCCACAAATCCAGGAGGCTGATGCATATACACTGTTTCTTCTAGTTCCCCATGTAAAAATGCATTCTTTACATCTAATTGATGTATCGGCCATTCTCGAGCAACTCCGATATTCAAAACCGTGCGTATTGTTGCAGGTTTTACAACAGGACTGAAAGTTTCTGTAAAGTCAACACCTGCTTCCTGCGATTTTCCATTGGCTACCAATCTCGACTTGTGACATTTTAGAGCCCCATCTGCATCATGTTTATGAGTATACAACCACATAGATCTCACAATATTAACATTTAGAGGCCTTGGTACAAGTTTCCAACTCTTGGTCTTAATCATAGCATCATACTCATCAGTCATTGATGGTGTCCAATTTGGATCAGAAAGAGCTTGAATATAGCTTTTTGGAAGTGGAGATTTTGTCTGAGCTAGAAGAGAGAAAACTGTTTTTGGCTTTCGGATTCCAGCCTTGCTCCTTGTCGTCATAGTGTGACGAAGTGGAGGTGGAGGAGCCGATGATTGTGGCTGGATATCGTGATCAGGAATGAACGGCTCTGGATTTTGGATAGTGTTTGTGGGAGAAGGGAGAAGTGGTGTTTGAAGTATTGATTTAAACAGAGGAGAGGTTTCATCAAAGTTGGATAAGAAACGATACGCAGTGTCCGAATTTTGGTGTTTGACAGCTGCTGGGAATTTTTCCTCATCGAAATAAACATGTCTAGAGATGATTATCTTGTTTGTTTTGAGATCTAGTCATCTATATCCACGATGTTGTGACGGATATCCCAAGAATAAGCAAGGAGTGGAGCGTGGGGCTAATTTGTGAAGATTATAGTGGTTAAGATTTGGGAAACACAAACATCCAAACACACGCAAATGATCATATGTTGGACGTTTGTTGAACAAGATATTGAAAAGAATTTGATTTTGGACAACAGTTGAAGGAAGAATGTTTAAGATATGAACAGCAACATTCAGAGCTTCGACCCAATATGACGGTGATAGTTGAGCTTGAAAAAGGAGAGCTCTTACGATGTTGTTTATTGTTCTTATCATCCGTTCAGATTTTCCATTTTGTTGGGATGTATGTGGACAAGAAAAACGAAAGACTATCCCATTGGAATCAAAGTAACGTTGGAATTGAGTATTATTGTACTCTCCTCCATTGTCACATTGAAAGGATTTGATTTGAGCCTGGAATTGATTTTTGACATAAGCGATAAAGTGAAGAAATTTTGAAAAAACATCACTTTTCCGTCTCAGAGGATAAACCCACAGAAATTGTGAATAATGATCCAGAAACAACACGTAATACTTAATCCCACTGATGCTTGGTATTGGAGATGTCCAAACATCGGAATGAATGATTTCAAAAGGCTTTGTTATTTCAGATTGAGAATGATGAAAAGGAAGTTTATTCTGTTTTCCTAAGAGACATGGCTCACAAGCAAGAGGGAACTCGTCCTTATTACATGATAAAGAATTGGAATTTAAAACTGAACGGAGAACAACATCGTTTGTATGGCCAAGACGTTTGTGCCATAGATTTGGAGTCGAAGCAAGAAGAGCTGTAGAACTGGAGGAAGTGGAGGGCTTTTTGAGTGAAGCTGGAAGAGGATAAAGGTCACCGGAACTTTCACATCGGAGCAGAGTTGTCCGAGTTTGTAGATCCTTCACAGAGAAACCAAAAGGATCAAATTCAACGGTACACCAATTATCTTTTGTAAATTGTCGAACAGAAATAAGATTTTTGGGAACGACAAGCACATTTAAAAGAGATAAAGGGCGAGAATTGGTTCGAAGGGAAGAAGAACCAATCGAAGTGACAGGAATTTCGGATCCGTTACCAACAATGACTGAGTGCTTGATATTATGATTAAAACTAGAGTTGAGAATACCTGCAGAGGCGGAGAGATGGGCAGTGGCGCCGGTATCCATATACCAATCTGCACCTACACCAGACATATCAAGCAGCTGTGATGTCGTGTAGGCTTGAGAAAACTCTGTTGGTTTAATCTCCACCAGATTAGCTTGATGAGTAGATGGTGTTGTCGGATACGGCACAGAAGGAGGAGGACCACGATACATCGGCACTTGATAATGTGGGTTCCAGTTTGGGAACTGATTTGGCCATGGAGGGAATGGGCCTGGCCAATTGTTTTGTGGAGCCCAATAAGGAAAATTAGGTCGATATGGAAATTGGTAATTGTTTCTACCTCTTCCACGATAATTGTTCTTCTTGTTGCCGCGATAGTTGGTGAACTTCTGGTGTTGTTGGATTGGCCGTGGTGACCAGTGGGGCTGAGACAGTGAGAGCAGTTGAGGATGAGGAGTGATCCGTATGTGTTGCAGCAGGCCGATGTGCCTTCTTGAGTCTTGATTCTTCCATCTCCAGTATGGATTTTGCCGATTCAAAGGTGGGAAAGGGTTCCTTGTGCCTGATTACGTTCATAATGGAATCATATTTCTCATTGAGACCATTAAGAAGGTAAATTACCAGATTTCTGTCGGTTACAGGTGCTTCCACATTGGCAAGGCGGTCAGACAAAGATTTCAGTTTTTGACAGTACTGCTGAATTGTCATGTCGCCAATCTCCATTGTTCGCAGTTCATTGTCAAGCTGAATTGCACGAGCCTCCTTGTTGTTCCGAAATTGGTTTTCAATTCGGGTCCATACATCTCGTGCTGTCCCCCCTGCTGCAAAGGAAGAGCGAAACAATGGTTGAGCAAGAGTCCCATAGATCCATAGTTTCACTAATCCATCACGCTTGAACCATGGAGCATCGGCATCATCGGCGGGAAGTAGAGTGCCATCAAGGTGGCCGAGAACATCAAAAGTGAGGCAATGGGTCATAAACAGCTCTCTCCACGCATCGTAATTGTGGTCATCCAAATCAAGAATGAGAGAGGGATATGAGATTTGATGTTGGTCACACCAAATGCTTCGTTCTATAGCCGCGTTGGCAGCTACGGCAGCATCGGCAGCCATGAAGAAATGAAAAGAAAAGAGAAAAGAAAGAAGACTTATTGAAGAGAAGAAGAAGAGAAAAGGTTCAGGAGCTGTGGCTCTGATACCATGAAATTTGGTGAATTTTCCCTTGAGGGATTCTTCTATTAACATAGGCTATATAAAGCCAAAGTGGTTACAACAGATCTACATAATCAGGGATATACAAAGTTGATTAACATAATATCTAAACTATATCCCTATAATCTATCACTACAATCCTACTGATTAAACTGAAAATAGTTACACAGACTCTGGAGAGAAAAATATATAAATATGAATTATGTTATGCATCATCTCATGGTAAAATGAAGGAATTAAGTAAACGCTGAGGAGGAAGTGATCCAGATTACACAATTTAATGGCAGAGATAAGGCATGGATCACAGAAGCTACACAAATAGAATTTGAATAGCGACAGTGCTATAGATGATACACTCTTGCTCAACGGAAAGAGATTTTATTAAAAGAAACGGATACAAAAAATGTTCTCAAAGAATTTGCAAAGCTTGAGAAAACAAAGGAAGCCAAGTCCCATGAAAAGATAATACGGAGTTTAAGGGTTTAATAATTAAAAATGTGAGAATAGTAAGCAGGATGATGGATTGGATGACACACTGCCGAAATAAACTTAAATATCTTCACGGTAAGAATTGGATGATGGACGACGAATGCCTCGAACTCAGCAGAGGCAAAAATAGTGCGTTGATGGGTTTTGATAACTTTCAAGGCGGCATCACTGAGGGCATTATCAGAAGGGTTTTCAGAGAGCGCAAGAACTTTAAGAGCATTGGAAGAGTTAAGAGATGATATAAGCACGTTTCTGCATAGGTCGCCCAGATGCGGAATCTCATATTCCGCGGCTGCACGATAGAGTGACACAGCGTGTTGCTTGGCATTCTCTGAGAGCATAGAACCGTCGCTATAGATGAACTCAACGAAAGCCACTAACTCTTCATGTTTCAGATCCGAGACAGTGACTGTCTCCATCATGGACGAAGCCTTGAATTTGTCTGACTCAAACATCATCTTAAACGCCTTTGATCTTGTATCTTAAACTAAAAAATATATTCCACATGTATGTCAATGAAAGAACAATTCACGTAAGAGCATTTATAGAACAATTAAGATAATGATAATAATAAGCAAAATTAAGGAGTGGAAGAAGAAGAAGTAAATACCAGAATAATCTTATGGGCAGAGATAGCTGCCTCCTCATCTTTGTCACATGCTTTTAGCCGTACATCGGCTTGCTGTTCCTTGAAAATATTTACTATTCCACCCCAGAAAAGCTCTTTGTTTGTTTGTGTCGCCATAGCTTTTATCTTGTAGAAGAGATTTTATCTGTCAAACAATTGTAAGCTTGTAGGTTTTATATATATATAGAGAGAATGAGAGAGAGAAAATGTGATAAATTTGGAAATCATGGAGACATTAATTTCATAAACATTTGCGTTTTTGCATTATCGACCGTATAAAAATCATGGAAATATTGAAGATCAAGAAAGATCTAGAAGGTTATAGTCTTATATAGATGGTTATCAATATCTTATAGTTTAGGAAATGTATCTAAGTATTTATGAATGTATTATTCTCATAAGTGCATGTATTTGAATTTTGAAGAAGATTGCGACTGTAGGAAAAAGAAAATCTTTTGGAAACTTTTGTGTACGTGCATATATTAACTACTAGGGTTTGACCCGTGCCCAGCACGGGGTGATAGTTTCTGAATTTGTATTTTTATTAAAAATTCTTTATTTAAATATTTCGACATTTTATGCGAGAGATTTTTAATCTTTGTTATTCGTTTATAGTATGAAAATTAGACATTTTAATCCATTTAAAAAAAAATAAATTAAAGCATTGATCGTAACCACATATTAAATATGATAGATTTAACCGAGATACATAAAACTCAAATAACTATAATATAATAAGATAGTTTAAAGAAAAAAAATTGAAAATAAAACATTATTCTTTAGAAAAATTATACATCATGTATTTCATAAGATAAAAAGTTTTAGCTGTGTGGACACGGATTAGAACTAATTTTTTTCTTTCTTTCAAAACTAAAACATGCTTTATTATAATTTCAAAACAATCCAACCAATCAGAAAATAATATGCAGAATCCAAATTGTCAAAACAGCAAAAATATAATTAATTTTGTATAGAAAGTTGAAACAGATAGAGTAATATTCAAAAGTTTAATCAAAATAAAATATTTATAAAAAGAACTTTTTTATTCGATTTATTATAGATTTTAATTAAAAAACCATATTAAATGAAAAAAAAATTACATTTGGATACCTACTAAATGAGGTTATATACGAAACAATTTATATTATTTTGTTTTTAAAAATTCAAATCATAACATGTACAGAAAAAGTTTTAGATTTTTTTGATAGATTTTTTATATTGTGATTCAAATTATTTTATTAAATAAATTTAAACAAAGATGTATACTGATTTTAAAAGAAATTATTATGATGGAATTAAATTGAATCTCATATCTTCCTTATTTACTAATTTTCGTAGTTGCCAATTAAGGAAAGAGAATGATAAATTTAATTTCATTATTTGGTTGTAAGCATAATATGCAATGGCATATATTGTAATTTGTCTAGTAAAGCTTGTCTTAATTAGAAACTAGAGTTTGACCCGCGCCCAGCACGGGGAGATGGTTTCTGAATTTGTATTTTTTAATTAAAAATGTATATTTAACTATTTCAAAATTTTATGTGACAGATTTTTTTACCTTGTTAAGGTTTTTATCTTCGTTTATAATGTGGAAATTAAACATTTTAAAAATTATAAACAAATTAAAACATTGATCATAGATTAAATATGCTAGACTATAGATTAAATATGCTAGACTTCAGCAAAATACATAAAACTCAAATGAGTGTATTTTATAAGATAAGAAGTTTTAGGTGTTTACACGGATTAGAACTAACTTTTTTTATTTCTTTTAAAACTAAAACATGTTTTATTATAATTCCAAAACAATCCAACCAATAAAAGATAATCTTGCAAAATCCAAATTGTCAAAATAACAAAAGTATAAGTAATTTTGTACTGAAAAATTGAAACAAATGGAGCAATATTCAAATTTTTGATCAAAATTAAATACATTTATAAAAAATATTATTTTATTTGATTTCATTATACAGTTTAACTAAAAAATCATATAAAATATTTTTAAAAAAAATTACATTTAGATACCTACTCTCCTACTTACATGGTTGCATATCATCTATTTTTTATAATATATTTTTACACCTACACACAACAACATATTGGGAATTTTAATAGTTTTAGTGATTATTTTGTTTTTAAAAATTCAAATCATAGCATATATAGAAAAAGTTTTAGATTTTATTTATTAGATTTTTTGTATTGTGTCAATTTTTTATTTTATAAAATAAAGTTAAACAAAGATGAAAGGAGATATAGAATGATTTAAAAAAAATATAATGATAGCATTAAATTGAATCTCATATTTTCCTTATTTACTAATTTTCGTAATTGCCAATTAAGGAAAGAGAATGATGATTCTTTTATTAATAATTTCATATATGATTAATCTAACTATACATATTTGATTCTCTAACCAAAAATATGAATGGCAATGTTTGTAATTAGTCTAAAAACTAATCTTATTTTATAAACATAACTAGAAGCTCCCTAATGATGACACATCAGCATGCATTCTTGTTAATAACACATCAACTAAAGGTTATTTTTAAAGTGTTTTCTCTTTTAATATATTAGGGATGAGCCCTATGTGGTTGTATGTCCAAAACAAAACAAAACACGATCCGCAAGCTTTGACCTTGACAAAAAGAGCACTTAATATTCCATTAGGCTTAGGGCATCTTCAACCCACACATCAAATTTGGTGTTGATCCCACACCAAATTTGGTGTTTTGGTGTTCAACTTTTTTTTTCATCTCCAACCACAAACACTAAAACTCACACTAAATGAAATATTATATTATTAAAATCAACTTTTTATTTTTTAATAGTTTTGATAAATATTAATTATCCTTAAAACGAATTAATTATAAAATTAATATAGAATTACAATTCAATATGAAATTGTAACTCTATAATTTTAATTTTTAGTTGAATCTTAATTTACATTTTAATTAGAATCTGTAAAATATTGGTTAAAATTATAACTTTCATATTATTAAAACTGAAAATTATAAAAAAGTTTATATTATATCTATTTTTAAATTTTAAACAGTTGATAAACACCTAGCTAATTAAAAAAATAGATGTAAAACAAATAAAAAAATAATTTAAATTTTAGTGTTTTATGAACAGTGTCACACCAAATCTGGTGCAACACTGTTCACAAAACAATAAAAATACCAATTTGCCATGAGTTTTGCAGTTGGATTGGAGATGATTTTGCATCATATATGGTGTTATGCCGTTCGGTTGGAGTTGGTCTTACAAAACTGCTTTATGGACGAAATCCTATAGAACAACTACAAGAAAATTAACTACTTGTCCCAACTAATGTAGAACCGTCATTGCAGAAACTAACTGCAGTCTGCTAAGTTAGAAAGCGACAGTGCTATTGATGGCATGGTCTTAATTCTGAAAGTCATATATTATTTCCTCTTTTTTCAATTGCATTCCCATAATTTTCCAGTTTTATTCAAAAGAACAGAGAATATCTTGCTAAATAAATTTTGGTATTATCAATTTGGATGAATTTTCGATCCGTATTTGAAAACTTGAAAAGCTCTTGTCACATTGAAAGATTAACTATCAATTAAATTGTTGTTATTTGTATTATTTTCTCAAAGCTATGCTAATCGAATTCCATTTCTTAACGGTCGATAAATGACATATAAATCATTGAGTTCAATTATTCATAACAATAACACATAAAACTCCAAGTTTCTTTTGCGAAGTAATAACAAGCTAAGGATAACAATAACATTGCCGCATCTTCGTCCAATTCCATATCATCCACCTCTTATTTGAAAGAATCAAGTCAAAAATCATAATCATGATCTACTTCTATCCGAGCAACTTCATTCCACTCCAAATTGCCGCATAAAAAACTTCAAACTATAATGTATAAAAATCATATAAAGATTAACTAAAACCACCTACATCTGTGATGTGTAAGCACACTTACATCTGTGTAAGTATCTTTCAAATACCAAAAACCTCGAAGTTCCAGTTTCAAATCAGTCAACAATGAGGAACGAGCTAGATTTGGGCAAATTTTCAGACTTGAGAAGCGACAAGCATCATTGTTTTCACATAAACATAATCTTTTCACACTAATATTCGAAGAGGTCGAAAGGTAATGACTGAACGTCGTAATTCCATACCTTGTGCGGGCTCGGACACAAATAGTGCTAACTTTATCAAAATCCCATGGTGCAACAATCAGTTAGCCAACACAATTGATATTAGTATAAAAATAAAAAAGAAAATAAACATTTTAATATTGAAATTATTTCAGAAGGTATAAGACATTGGAGTTGTAATCGCAAAAGAATACGAACACAATGGACCTATAAAAGCTTCAGTTCTCAAATTAATAACCAACCAAGCACAAAGACATAAATCATAATTGTAGTTCATTCATCTTATAAGTGAGTTCTTAAATGAGCTCTTATGCGTTGCTAAGTCTACTTAAATCAATGTTCTCATTACGTGTTCTCATAACGTGTTCTCATAAGTCTACTAAAATCAATGTTATCAATGTTTTAAAATATTTAGCACTTCTCCCTGGTTTTTTTTTTTTTTTTTTTTTTTTTTGCCAAAGAAGTCTTTTTGCACTTGAAGGCTGAAGCATGTAATTAAACATTTGTTTTTGGTAATATAATTCACATTTTATCCAAAAAAAAACTCTCATAAGCGTGAGAACAACCAAAGATGTAATTTATTTTGTGATGCTTTATTTAATTTTTTTTTTTAAAATAATATTATGAAAAAGTTTGGAATTGTTTTCATTTTGATTAGCAAAATCATGTTCAAGTTTTATTCTGTTGCATTTTATTTGACTGGTGTTAAAAATAAAATTAAAAAACTCAAATTCATGAATAGTTTACCCTGTTTTTACTCAAATTCATGAATAGACATTGCGTGGGATTAAAACTATATTAAATTTTAAATTTTATTGATTTAATTTTTAACTGTAATTATTTTTATTTAATTTTAAATTTCATATTATTATACTAATGATCTACACTATTAGTTTGTAATTTGTATAGTGATTTTTTTTTTAAATATTGATTTTAACTAGGAGCTTTTTTCTCCATTATCACCTATCCTAAATTTTATAAATATCTTTTAAATACTATTTTCTTATATATGAACTATCTTTACTCGATTTTTACCTGCTACAATTCTATCATTTAGACACATAATGTTCTAGCATATTTCTATATATAAGAAAATGAACAAAATTTAATATACAAATTTGTAAATAAATTTCATAAATATTTAGTTACTATTATTTTTCTTTCGATCTTGGAGCACTAAATTTCTTTTTGTTTTATACTCGGAATTATTATTTAAACATGACATTTCTAGAATCAACTAAAATTGCTGATCTGTCACAGTTCTTGAGAGAATTATTCTTTTATTATAATATAGAATTATTCATTGCGACGGCTACCAAGGCGGCTGATGTATTCAATATTTGCATATTTTTAGCATCATAATTTGCATGGTTTTGTATGTCTTTGAGTCTCATTTCATACCATTTAGTGTAAGTTTCATCTCCTTAGGAACATTTAGCTTTTAAATAGCATTTTGCATTTTCCATTGCATTTGGAGTGTTTTCCTAGGTGTTTGAGGCGTTTAGCGAGTTGGGGTAGTGACTGGAGCAAGACAGAGAAGCTAGAAGCTGATCAGAGCTCAGAAGTGTTCAAGAAATTCGCAGACCAGAGGACTTGAGCAAGAAGAACAAAGCACTTGAGAAGTTTGCTCAAGACCGTCATAAAGGACAAAGTCAACAGGGACGGAGTTGACCAAGGGTTCACTTATCTTTTACTATAAATAGCTGAAGACCTAATTTTATTAGGCATCTTGGATCTTTTCCTTGATCAAAAACCTCTCTCTTTGCCTCCTTTCTTTTATTTTCGTTTTTGTAAGATCTTGGTTTGATTTTAATGATTTTGAAAGTACTTCTTCTTTGAATCTTTCTTATTTATCTTAGTTTATCATAATCATCATCTTGTTTCTCTTAATTTCGAATTTCTCATGTCTTTTGAGTAGTTCTCTTTAGGCTCATGGGATGAGTTAGATTTAGGGAGATTTGATGGTCAACCTTGATGTTTAGGACTTGATTTGCTTAATCCTTCTTTATTTGGTGGTCTTAATGCTAGATCTTCTCTGATCAAGTTGATTCTAGATCTTAGGCATTTCATGCACCAGAAGTGTTTGATGAAATGCTTGAACCAACCATCTAAAGGATTTACATTCCTAGCTCATGAGAGTGATTGTCTAGGGTGTTTATTGGCTTTCTAGAACTGAATCTTATGCTTGCTTTTAATCAATTTCACTAATGAGAATTAGTTCTTGAAATTGGTAATTAGCAAAGTGATTAGTACCATGAGAGTGGATTAGTCTTGTTAATGAGTTCTTTGCCTAAGGATTAGCAATCATTAAACTGTTTGAGCATCATAAACTGACTTGAGAATCTCCCAAGGTCAATGACCCTCATCCCAAGTGCCTCCATTTGCATTTCTTTCATCTCTTGCATTTTTATCTTATGCTTTATGTTCATTTAGGTTGTTAAAACAAAACCATTTCGAATTTGCTTAGCTCACTTATGTTTCATGCATTCTTGATGTCTCTATCTTGACCTTACTGGATTTGACAAAGAACCCCAAGCTATACTTCAATTGATTAAAAAGGGGGTTCATTTGTAAAGAGTATACAAAAATCTCTCTTTCAAATTGGCGCGTTGCCATTAGGGTCTTGTTTTGGAGCTTTAAGACTTTGATTCTTTGTGTGACTAAGCTTTGCTACTAATCTCTTGGTTGTCTAGAATCTCTTGTAGGTACTATACAAGTGCAAAGGAAAGCATGAACAAGAGATTTGATATGCAAAACGGTTATGGTCCTTATGCTGGCCACTTTGGTGATGATTTTGAGTATGAATCATGGGGTAGGAGCCACGGTTTTCGTCAACCAACACCTTCTGCTCCACAAGGTTATCATCACCATGACTTCTCAGCACAAAGTCCAAGCCACGTCCCCTTTACTCAAGACAATGAGTTGAAGAGTATGCTTCAGCAACTTTTACAAGGGCAAGCTGACTGTGCATTTGAGATAAATCAGCCACTGGACCAGATGAGCACCATATTTGATGCTTGGGAAAGTCCCCAAGAGTATGCTTCTCAAGATTATCATCACCATGGCTTCTCAACACAAGATTCAAGCCATGACCCTTCTGATCAAGACAATGAGTTGAAGAGTATGCTTCAACAACTTTTAAAAGGGCAAGATGATTATGCATTGGAGATGAATCAGCAAATGGACCCGCTGATTAGCAAATTAGATGCTTGGGTGAGTCCACAAGAGAACACAGAGAGCATTGCCTCTACTTCAAGGCCAGAAGATACACTCCCTACTCAACAAGACATGGATCCTAAGGAGTGCTACAATGAATGGTCTGTTGACAACACTATTCAAGAAGAGCAAGAGGACGCCTATGATACTGTTGAGCCTGAGTTTGAGCTGGAATTAGAGCACCTCTTCCTTGAAGTAGATGATGCTTATACTTCTCCCAAGATACAACATACTAGTCTCAATGTGGACATTGAGGAGCTAAAGGAGAGGGGTGAGCAGAAATTTTCTGAGATGAGAGTTGTCAACAATGAGAAGAGAGAGGCTCCTTTTGAGAAGAAAGAATATCTCTATGTGCCTCCACCTTATGAGCCATACTTTCTATTTGCTGGTCTGATCTCTCCTAATGAAGTCAGTCTTGAGGACCCAATGAAGCTATCCTTTGAGGCGATAAGGATGAAAGAGTTTAGGGGATGGTTCTATGATGAGTATGATCCTGGTGATTCAAGGCTTCAATGAATGAACCTCATCAGGTTTCCTCCCTAGAATCAAAGCTTAAGTGGAAAAGTTGAGCAGATTGAGAGCCCTGCTCAAGACGAACTTCTGGAGAGTCCTGCTCAAGACAAACCTCTGGAAACAAAGTGTCTCTAAAGAACTTGGGGAGAGTACTGCTCAAGACGATCCCCATCTTGCTCTCAACCTCTCTGGATGATACCACATCATCCTCCTCAAGCGAGTAAAGGTATACACTTCAACATTGTAAATAGCATGCACATTTCTTCTTTTTATTTGTCTTTTGCTTTGATCTCTCTTCTCTACCTTTTTATCACACAAGGGACTGTGTGAATTAAGTGTGGGGGAGAGGGTCAATGGTACTTGACGAAGTGTTTTGTGTTCTTATTTTCTTTTAGCATCCTTGAGTCTCATGCATTTGCATCATATAGAAAATCATATAAAATTTTCAAAAATTGCATATAAAACTAAAAAACAGAGCATGTAGTTTAGGATCATTTAGCTTTGCATTTGAGCATTCTTTGGTTGAGCAGACTGATTGAGTTGCGAAATTGATTCAATGCCCTAGTTCTAAGTTGTTTGGCGCATGTGATTGAACTTGAAGTTAAGATAGAACCACACCAATAAAGAGCATCATGATCATCTTGGTAAAACCGAATGCATTGCTTTGATCTGAATCCACTCCTTGCTCAAGAGAACCTAAATTTGAATTTAAATTATCATGCTCATGCTGGTTAAGTCTGCTTGTGGATTATACATACTTGAATCATCTTTGCACATTGTTTATCCATCTCTGTTGATTCAAGTAGAACTCCCCTCCCTTGACCAATCCTTTCCTTCAAGCCAAATGTTATTCTTGTGTGTTGTGAGACCTCTTGGTGAAAGCTTGGCATAAAGTGTTAGGTCTTGAACCGACAAGGATAGGTGATCATGTAGACTCTAGTCCACGCCTTTTTGGACTAGACTAGGCTAGGATGGGGCTTGGGAATTCATCTTTGGGTTGGGGTCTTGAGGAAGAAAAAGAAAGTCTTGAGCAGAGAGAAAAGCAGCAAGAGTGAAAGAGGTTATAAGGGCTTGGTCTTAGTTTGTATAAGTTTAGCCCCCATCTAAAAAAAAAAAGAAGAAAGAAAACAGAAAAGAAAAGAAAAAGTAAAAGAAAGATGGGTTAGGGCAGAAAAGAAAAGATCTAGACCAAGTCTTGTGAGTAAAGTTAAAAGCCTTAGGAAAAATTCCTCTTAGCTGCCCAAGCGAAAAGCTCCTGAAGAAAGCAAGAAAAAGAAAGTCAAAAACCAAAGGGAAAAGGGTAGAAATAGGAGGGCTTTGAGTTGTTCTTTTTGAGGTTTAGGATTCGGTTGAGGTACAAAGGGTAGATGGTCATTTATCCTTGTACACATCAGTTGGTTCTAGCCTTTAGCATTATGTCAAAGCTCTTTCACATTCTTTTGAGAGAACCCCTTTTCCTGATCTTGATTGACTTGAGCGCATATTATTCATACTTGCTCATTCTTTTCTCAGCCAAACAAGCATCCTTGACCTGCATGAGTTTTGATCCATGGTTACATGTTTTTAATGAATGTTAAAAGGAGTGGAGGATTTGAATGCATGTTTAGGTTGAGCTAGATCTCATTGATTGTAATTGAAGGGTGTGGCTAAGATTTTTGAAGTAGAGCACTTCACTTGCGCTTTAGACCTTGGAACTAGGTTGTTGACTTGATTTCTCTTCTCTGCATTTGCTTGACCAATTTGCTCAAGTCGGCATCTCTCCATTTTTTTCTGTTTGCTTGAGGGCAAGCAAAGACTAAGTGTGGGGGTGTTGATGTACTCAATATTTGCATACATTTAGCATCATAATTTGCATGGTTTTGTATGTCTTTGAGTCTCATTTCATACCATTTAGTGTAAGGTTTCATCTCCTTAGGAACATTTAGCTTTTAAATAGCATTTTGCATTTTCCATTGCATTTGGAGTGTTTTCCTAGGTGTTTGAGGCGTTTAGCAAGTTGGGGTAGTGACTGGAGCAAGACAGAGAAGCTAGAAGCTGATCAGAGCTCAGAAGTGTTCAAGAAATTCGCAGACCAGAGGACTTGAGCAAGAAGAACAAAGCACTTGAGAAGTTTGCTCAAGACCGTCATAAAGGACAAAGTCAACAGGGACGGAGTTGACCAAGGGTTCACTTATCTTTTACTATAAATAGCTGAAGACCTAATTTTATTAGGCATCTTGGATCTTTTCCTTGATCAAAAACTCTCTCTTTGCCTCCTTTCTTTTATTTTCGTTTTTGTAAGATCTTGGTTTGATTTTATGATTTTGAAAGTACTTCTTCTTTGAATCTTTCTTATTTATCTTAGTTTATCATAATCATCATCTTGTTTCTCTTAATTTCGAATTTCTCATGTCTTTTGAGTAGTTCTCTTTAGGCTCATGGGATGAGTTAGATTTAGGGAGATTTGATGGTCAACCTTGATGTTTAGGACTTGATTTGCTTAATCCTTCTTTATTTGGTGGTCTTAATGCTAGATCTTCTCTGATCAAGTTGATTCTAGATCTTAGGCATTTCATGCACCAGAAGTGTTTGATGAAATGCTTGAACCAACCATCTAAAGGATTTACATTCCTAGCTCATGAGAGTGATTGTCTAGGGTGTTTATTGGCTTTCTAGAACTGAATCTTATGCTTGCTTTTAATCAATTTCACTAATGAGAATTAGTTCTTGAAATTGGTAATTAGCAAAGTGATTAGTACCATGAGAGTGGATTAGTCTTGTTAATGAGTTCTTTGCCTAAGGATTAGCAATCATTAAACTGTTTGAGCATCATAAACTGACTTGAGAATCTCCCAAGGTCAATGACCCTCATCCCAAGTGCCTCCATTTGCATTTCTTTCATCTCTTGCATTTTTATCTTATGCTTTATGTTCATTTAGGTTGTTAAAACAAAACCATTTCGAATTTGCTTAGCTCACTTATGTTTCATGCATTCTTGATGTCTCTATCTTGACCTTACTGGATTTGACAAAGAACCCCAAGCTATACTTCAATTGATTAAAAAGGGGGTTCATTTGTAAAGAGTATACAAAAATCTCTCTTTCAGCGGCTCCGGCTGCGATGAATGGACGACGGCGACCGAAGCTTGATGTGCATCTGTCACTGTAGAACCCGACGATTGGTTGAACAATAATACCGGAAATGGTTGCAATGTATACATTTCCTGAAGACTTTCGGTTCAGCTTTTCTATACATTAATTATGATTGTCAAGATAATTGTCAAAAAAAAATGACAAAAGTTAGCATTACCTAAGCAATTTCTATGCAAAATATTAGTTAAATATAAGCAAAACATAATAAATATAACAATATTATCATACTAATATATACTCTTTTTAAAATCATATGCTTGTTGAAACTGAGAGAACTATATGATTGGTTTATAAAAATCTTACATCTAGCAACAAAAAATGTGTTATTAGTTTATCTTATAAAAAACTAATACATGTTAAAAATTCAAAATTTAGAATAGTTTATGATTATTAATATTGACGATGAAGTTGAAGACAGAATATCTTGGAATTACAATAATAATACTTTTTATGTGTTTAATAATGTGTTTTATTAGTTTAGTGGAGGACTATCTATATAAAAATAATCCTGATAATAGTTTTAATGATATATAACTAAGTGTGTTTTGATTTCAAAGTCAAACTAATTGAATTTTTTTATGGCTATTTTTTTTGTTCAAGACTCATGAAGTAATGTCAATGCCAAAATTCTTTTAGATAATACAACTATTCATTATGTTTTCCTAGATAAAAAAAACTGCCATAGTTATTATCCGGAAATCCTATTTGACCAAAGCAAAAACATGAATAGTTTACCCTGTTAATGAAAGCTTTTTAAATACAAAAACCAATAACAGTTGATTTTGTAAGAGGAACTAAAAATTGTTATTGAATAACTGTGGATTTTGGTTGGATTTAAAATTTGGCCCATAATATATGATGATAGATCGTGATAAAACAGTACAATGGACAACAGTAACTAATATAATAAGATGAATAAAAAAAAAAAAATTCGACCCAAATTGAATCCCACTTTTCCATTGCTTCTTCCGTTTTCTCTTACGAACACCAACCATCTCTCTGTATCGTCTCCTTCTTTCTTTGGAATTGAACTGTTCTCTCCTTCTTCTTCAGTTTCCGTGCGAAGTTCCAGATCTTGGTCGACGCTTGTTCAGCTACTACCGATTTGGAGATGGTCGAGATTCAGTTTCTAATTTGCAATTCACCCATGTTTACCTCAACTTAGGTCTCCAGCTCAGGTTCTAATACCAATTCATGCTCAATCTCTCTTCTAATTAATCACTTTCGACCATTGCTGCTTCTCGATCTAAAAACAACACACTTGTTTCTTCTCTAAATTATCTTTTGGTGTTGGATTCTGATCAAAATAGCCTAGTTAATTTACGTTGAGATGGTAAGATTCTCAGTGTAACTAATTGGGCTATTGTTTTAGGCATTTAGGCAAATTCTTTCAAAGATGTTGGAGGCAACAAAGCAATGCCAGAAGGTCACAAAGCTTGTTGTTGACTCCGGTGAATTGGAGTTTATGTGCGTTTGAGTGATGAGAGATGAATCCCATCATTTTGTGAATAAGGTTTGTGCACTAACTCCTCTCTTTTTTTCTCTTAAAACACAATTACCAACTTTAGAAAAGGTTAATGGACTGAAAGAGTGTATAATTTTGCTTTGATTCTGCTAATTTAAATAGATATAAAGTCTAAAGCAATATAAGGAAGCAAAACTAAACACATTAATGAAACGAATGTATAAGTTTGCTGGTACCTCTCCTCGTTACTCTACTGAAAGTTGGTTTGTTTGATATTGTTTTGTTCCATATAGAAGATGTCTCTTGTTCCAGTGTTACGGTCATCTTCAAGGTTGATGTATGAAATGCTATCATCTCTTGATGCAAGCCTGAAATATACGAATTGATATACGTGTATTAATTGTGTGATTAAAAAAGCATTTACAAATTACATTTTTTCTTGCCCTATGCCTGCCTAATCCTCTTGTTTTTTTTTTTTTTTTTTTTTTTTTATTGCGTATGGAATCATGGGAATCGTATAGAACTTACCTTTTAACTCGATAGGTTGGTAGCATGATCTTTATCAATGCGTATCGGCTGTGAATAAAATCCATTATCCTTCTTGATCTCTCTTTTCAGGTTCCTCCATCTTTGTTCCCTACACGTCGAAGAACAATTTGGGTTCATCTTAGCCATATCAGATTATATTCAATAAGCATTTTTTCCAAGGTTTTTATTCAAGCAAGATACTTAGCAAATTACCTCAATGTCAGATAGAATCATCTCTAGTGTTTTTCCTTGATGAAAATTGCCTATTGCTTCCATGTGAGCAGGACTTTCACTTGAACTCTCCACTGGCTCCGCGTTCTTGCAACGAGTGATTCGAAGAGCAGGAAATTTTTTGGTTTAAGATTTCATTGCTGAAAGCTATTCAGGTATGTAATTCTCTTTGATCTTGCACCATGTATATATAGTCTTATTTACAATGGATGATGATTAGGTTATTAGGTTTGAATATACGTTCTCCAAAGACACCCGTAACCTAAACCATCCTAATTCTGTGATAACCTAAACCATATTATTTCTGTGATAGTAATAACTAATAACTGTCCCGAATCTTAAAGTAATTGATATATTTTTTCGATTTGCAATTGAACAAGGAGAATGTGTGAGCACGATTGCAACTGTTGCGCGAAATCCTCCTGTGAGGAAGTGATTTCTCCCGAGGAAGGTCTCTTGGTGTATTGTAAACCTGTTCGTTTTTACAGCATTCTTCACATACGCTCTCTAACCAACGTAAAATTAATCTCTCTCTCTCTCTCTCTCTCTCTCTCTCTCTGTTCAATTGATAGTTGTGTTTTTCATTAAGCTGATCCGGTTCTGTGCTTCTTTTGTTTACGCAGCGATCGTTTCTTGCAAGAAACTTGAAGTATAGAATTAGAGCAAAGGCCGAGAACAGGTATGAGTTTTCACTGTGTTGAACTTATAGATATGGAATTGGTGAATTGGTTTCTTCTCTGTTTCATGCTATAATTTTCTCTCACACTTTTTATCTTGTGTTTTTGGATAGGTTAAGAACTACTAAGAGTATTGTTTTCAAGTATAAGGATTGTAACAACGCAGTACAGAAAACTGAAGGTGAGTCTTTTTTTTTTTTTTTTTTTTTCTCTTCTTTCCACAATTCCATGTTTTTTTCTCCTCTATAGATTGTTTATAATTCACTATTTTTTTTTTTTTTTTTTTTGCTCTCTATTGTCATGCAGTTAGGGATAATTTCTCTTGTCCCTTTTGTTATATGCTGTGTGGTAGCTTCAAGGTATGCAAAACTATTCCCTTAACCGAGGTTTCTTGGGTTGCATATTTTGTGTTTCGTTTAATCTTTACAATCCATTGTCTTTGTGTGTTAATGTTAAATGCAGGGCCTGCAACTTCATTTGAATTCATCTCATGAGTTCTTTGAATTTGAATTCGAGGTATGTGATCTAATGACTTCTTTGAATTTGCCTTCTCATTTATGGAATAGTTTGAAAGGGTCTTTCCTATTGTAGATTTCAGAAGGATCCCCGACAGTTAACATCTCTTTCAAACTTGAGGTCAGTTACTTCAAACATGGTAAAAACCTATATAAATGGTGAATATGTATTCTCATATTCCATTGTGTTCTTTATTTACCAGGAAGAAGGAAGTCATGAAGGGAAATTTGAGCCCGTGTATTTTCGGTAACTTTCACAAGCCCTTAATAATATCTGCAACTCCTTTGCTTTGCTTGTCCATAAACCCCAAACACAATGTTTTGCAGCATGAGAGCTCGCCAGCTGAGGCAAAAAAATCCTACAAAGAAAAATGCCAAGCGGCTTAAAGTCTCCTTTTTGCCGATGGATTTGCCCAGCTTAGCAAATGGAACCGTAACAGAGCTTGAGATGGCTAGCAGTAGCAACCCTCCAGCAGCACCAGCTCAGTCTGCTATGTCAACGACCGAAGCTGTGGTCCCTGCTACTGCTACTGCTACTAAGACAAGGAAGTTATCTGCTGAGCGGTCTGAGGCTAGAAGGTTTGTTCACCTTTCTCGGTATTACACAATTGAATAACTCTGTTTACCATGCTGCTGTATTAACCTCGGAAACATTTCTTACAGCAACCAACTTCTCCAGAAACGCCAGTTCTACCATTCTCACACATTTCAGGTGATTCAAGTTCCATATTCTTTGTATACTTGGCTTGATTGTTCTCGTTGACTAACCAAAAACTGCATGTTTGTATGACAAAGCCAATGTCACTTGAGCAAGTAATGTCTGGCCCAGATAGCGAAGATGAACTCGATGATGAGGTTGCCGATTTTGAAGATCGCCGGGTATGTCAATGATGGAAAAATGTTATAAGACCATGTAACTGTGCTGAATTCTAATGGCTTTTGAAACCTGGAAAAAAAAACTGCAGATGCTTGATGATTTTGTGGATGTGAGCAAAGACGAAAAGAGATTCATGCATCTTTGGAACTCTTTTGTAAGAAAGCAAAGGTACACTAACTTTTCTTCCTTGCTTAATGTATTAAAATTATCCACCACTAGTGATAACATTCCGTATCTTTTGTAGCAAAATCGTATTTATGATTTTATTTCTTTGGGGTTTGCAGGATTCTCGCTGATGGTCATGTTCCTTGGGGTTGTGAAGCATTTACAAAATTTCACAAGGAAGAATTCCTCAATTCCCCAGCACTCTCGAGGTAGATCTCTCTCTCTCAGAATTATATCAATTACACCACATAGTGTGTTTACATACGTCATACGTACTCATTTAAGCTATGGAATCAGGTGCTGGAGAATATTTCTGATTAAGCTATTGCAACTTGGACTTGTCGACCCGAGGACCATGAACAACTGCAACCTCATGCTCGAGAATCCCTTTAACAACTCAGACGATGATACCAACAACAATAACAGTGTGGATGACATAAACAAGAAGAAGACTGACGAGGAGGACAAAAACAAGGGAGACGAGCAACCTCCGATATAAACGACACTGTTTATCGGATTGCATCTTCTTCTAATTGTTTTAGGATAATTATTTTTGTAGTCTGCAACTCATTTCATTCTCAGTTTTTTTAATTTTTACCTCATTTCTTAATTCTTATCCTTCTAATTAGGAGAAATAAATAAAAACCACATTTCTGAATTCTCTCTTATTTTATCTAAGTCTCTTAATTAGCCTCCATATATACAAGTACTTTACACTTGTAAATTAATGTGGGTATCTAACCTTCAAAAATCATAATCTCGCAAAGCCAATCTCTATTTTTTCCGTCAATATTTGTTTTACTTGTTGGAGAAGGAATCTGTTTTTGTTGTTCATTTTAGAATTTGTATTTTATATATGTTTCCATCAATGGGAACGAGATTTTATTAAAAGAACCGGATAAAAAATGTTCTCAAAGAATTGGGAAAACAAAGGAAGTCAGTTACCATGAAATATAACACAGAGTTTAAGGGTTTGTCAAAAGTGATGAAACAAACGAAACTAAACAGTGGTTTTTCTGTTCTACGAAAAATCACATGACTTACATTTCTGACAATGGACACAAGGCTTTCGCTTCAACGAAATAGCCTTCATTATCTTCACGGTAAGAACTGGATGGAGGACGGCGAATTCCTTGAACGCAGCAGAGGTAGAAATAGTGCTTTTATGGGTTTTGATAACTTTCAAGGCGGCATCACAGAGGGCATCATCAGAAGGGATTTCAGAGAGCGCAAGAACTTTGAGAGCATTACAAGATCTAAGAGATGATATAAGCACATATCTGCATAGGTCTCCCAGATGCGGAATCTCATATTTGTGGGCTGCACGATAGAGTGACACAACGTGTTTCTTCGCTTTCCCTGAGAGAATAGCGCCGTCGCTATAGAGGAACTCAACGAAAGCCACTAACTCTTCGTGATTTAGATCCTCGACAGTGACTGTCTCCATCATGGACGAAGCCTTGAATTTGTCTGATTCAAAGATCATCTTAAACACCTTTGATCTTGCAGACTATATCAAAAATATTCCACATATATATGTCAATGAAAGAACAGTTCAGATAATAATAATAAGAAGCAAAATTAAGTAGTAGAAGAAGTAAAGTACCAGGAGAATCTTATGGGCAAAGATAGCTGCCTCCTCATCTTTGTCGTCACATGGTTTTAGCCGTACATCTGCTTGCTTTTCCGTAAAAATCTTTGCGATTCCATCCCAGAAAAGCTCTTTGTTTGTTAGTGTCGTCGCCATAGCTTTATCTTATAAAAGAGATTTGATCTGTCAAAGAGATTCGCCATAGCTTGAAGGTTATATATAGAGCATAAAATAAATTTGGAAATCATGGGAACATTAATTTCCTTAATTATTTGCGTTTTTCTGTTATCGGAAGATGGATAAAATCGACCGTCTAAAAATCATGGAAATATTGAAGATCAAGAAAGATCTTGAAGGTTATTGATGGTTATCAATATCTTAGTTTAGGATATTATCTAATTGTATTTATGAATGTATTTGAATTTTGAAGAAGATTTTGAGTTAAGGAAAAACAAAATCTTTCGGAAAATTTCGAGTACGTGTATACTTAATTATGAGCCCTATGTCCGGAAAAAAAAAGAAGAAGAAAAAACATGAGCCCTAACTAAAAAAATCGTTTAACACATCAGTTGAAGTAGTTTTCAGCCTACAAATTGAGATCCGCAACATCAGCAAATAATTAATTAAAAAAACAAATCATTTTTTATATAAAAAAAAATTATATATAACGCAATTTGGAAAACCTTTTGGAGAATCAAACAAAAAAAAAAAACGTAATTAGGGGAATCACAAGTCACAACATACAATGCAAAACATACCAATGGAGGAAGAGGTCGGAGCCAATCGAAATATATATACTGTGAATAAACAGAACGTGTGTTGCCTTTGTGAATCAAAACATCAAACATATTTACTACTTATACAATACCTAAGTCGGTCATTAACCAACTAGTATTTATCTGACTATACAACAGATAAATACAACTAAACAAGACTTATCTCTAAGTCGTATATATAACCTACTAAAATCAAGTATATCCTAACTTAGCCTAAAGCTTCATTACATCTCCACATTGAGGAGCTTCGACCAATCTCGTACCAACGTTCGGACCATTCTTATTATCGAAGGATCCAACGCTCCGGGGGTCTCATAATCGTCGATATACCACTAATGCATTTCCTCTCTTACAACTTTTGACATTTAGTCCAAATCATATAACACTATGGACAGTCATAAGGACCGTATATGCGAGCACTTGTATTTAATCAGCAATGAATACTGATTAGACTGGAATCATCGGATTACTTAGCCTGAAGCTTTATTACATCTCCACATCCAGAAGCTTCGACCAATCCCGTGCCAACGTTAGAATAATAGGATCACTCTTATCGAAGGATCCAACGTTTCAGTAATTCTCATAATCATCGATATGTCAACAATGCATCAATCAATAGTATTAAAACATGAGCACATTTCTAACCAACTTTTATTCATGTGTGATACATGTATACTTTTGCTAGAATTTCATTAAGGATAATGTTATAGTACTATTTAAATCTGTTTCCCAACAATGCATGTTAAACTAATGTCCAAATGAGCCCGAAGTACACTAAATTAAATCGGCCAAAGTGGGCGCCATAATATTGGTAATACAGATTGTGGTTACGAGGCGGGAAACCCCTAAAAATAAAAATAAAAAATCGCAAAAGTAACTCAGGCAGCCGCAGAGAATGGAGATGATGAAAACAACCAAGGCAGAGGAGTTGGTGCAGAGTCAGATGCGCCGGGAGATCAAGAGTTTCGATGATGAAGACGTAGGTTAATTAATTTCATGAAGTAGTGATTATCCGGTTTTATTTACATGTTTCTCTCCGGTTTTCGATTTTGCAAGCTTTGGGAAGAATTTCACCAGGAGGAAATTGATAGGGTCCTGAGTGGTGAAATCGAACCCAAGACCTTGATCACCAGTTATGGTTTCCAATTTACTGTAAGACACAAAGCAGTTATATATATTATTGTTAATCACTTGCAAATCACGGCACTTTGTTAAACATATGTGTCTCTTGTCAGCGAGTTCCTCAGAGGGGAGCTTTGATTGCATGGGAGATGCTCTCGGTGTGCCCGAATTCTAGTGACTCTAACTGGGAGTTCGGGAGTCCATACTCGTTAAAAGAGGTCATAGTAATAGACTAATAGTACTGTTTCAAGATTATGAATTTTTTTTTCTTTTTTTGTTTTAACTTTCTTTTTAGCTTCTAAACGAGTTTGTTTATTTGATGGATCTTTGCAGGTCATAGGAAGAGCGAAAGAGAGTGGTTGTACATCTCTCGTTATCGCTTCTAATAACGTAGCATGACATGGTCCGTGCTTATACTCGGATCTTCCTATATACTAGTGTAAAACCTCTGGTTTCATGTATATAATTTTGGTGTTGCAGATTGTATACGTATCCTAAGCTTGTTGAATGGTGCTCGCGCTTACTTCAGGGTTCTTGATCTCATCCCACTGGAGGATATACCGGTTCTAGCCTTTCTTTGTCTCTCTGTACATTACTCCAGTAATCTGCCTCCGTTAGCTCCATATACTTTTTTGATTGATGTTGGTTTGTCTTGCAGGATCAAGCAAGTCCCGCTGGCCGCCCCTATCCGGAGCTTCACATGGATCATTTTACATCTCCGGCCAGTGTTGGCACAGCCAGGTTCAAAACTAGTTCACTCTAGCTAGTTACACTAAGCTTTTTGTACCTCACATCTTAATGTCATGGGTATTGTTATATATATATATTTTTTCAGATTGATACAATCACTTTTCCCCAAGGCCACTCATCCCCCTCGAAAGAATATTGCGTATTTCCAGAACCAAAATGGTCATATCTATTACCGACATGATTGGTAAATCATTTTTTTTTTTCTATGAAGATAAAATAAAAATGACTCTTTTTAAGTTGTATATTCATCCATGCATGCACTCTCGTGTTCAGGCTCCACGTTGAGAAAGCAGCCCTTGAAGGAGGAAGGCCAAAGGTTACCAGAAAGGTTGTGTACTTTGTCATGTATCTTTTTCTGTTTGCTGAGCTTGTGTTGGAGATGTATTTACTATTTAGCTTAGGCTTAGCTAGCTTTCTTGTTTTTTTTTATTTGGCAGGAATGTGGACCTCGATTCGCACTCAGGCTAACGGGTCTTACGAAGGTAGCACTTGACACGGGAAAGGAGAAAATAATTTTCATGGTAAATATTCACTGTAAATCCACCTTGATCAATATACTGGTTTCTCTTGACAAAGCCCTAACACAACACATTGTTTCTCTTTTGTTTTTTGTTTTGGAATCGCAGCCGCCGCTTGATTATTGACGACCTCCTCTTGTAATGGTGAATCAGTGTGCGTGTATTTACTTAGTCTAATATGCTCGTCCTTATCGACTCGCAAATAAGTTCTTCTTTCCTCAGGAGCCCTTCTGTTTCTTTTTTCTGTCAAAATTTGTTTTACGTGCTGGAGAAGGAATCGTTTTGTTTTGTTTTTTTGTATTTGAACCGTTTGTTTATGTTTCCATCAATGGGAAGAGATTTCAGTAAACCGAAACGGATCAAAAAAGAAAACGAAACAACTTTTTCAAAGATTTGCAAGCATGAGAAAACAAAGAAAGCCAAATCCTATAAAAATGATAATACGAGTTTAAAGGTTTAATAAGGAGGACAGCAAATGATAATACGGAGTTTGTCACACAGCACATTTCACCATTGCTTACAATAGACACATCAGTGCGAAAGATTATTTCAGCAAACCGAAAGCGGCACAAAAAAAAACTGAGACAAAACGTACACCCAAAAATAGAATAAAAAATCTGCACGGTAAGAAGGGGGTGATCGACGACGAAGCTTTGGAATTCAGTAGATCTAGCAATCCTTGATTTATTGGATCCGATAACTTTGAGGGCGGCATCATTGAGGGCTTTATCAAAAGGGGTTTCAGCGAGTGCAAGAACTTTAAGAGCATTCGGAAATTCAAGAGTTTCTATAAGCTCATTTAAGAGCATCATTGATGGCCCAACAGTTCCCGCTCAAGATTTGTCATTCTCATCCTCCTGTGTTTATGCAGCGGTCGACACATTCTCAGCCCGATTATATCCAAATCTACCAGATCTAGCTTCTCCGACCTCACCAACCTGCTCGTCTCTCTCCGACACAACAACACCACTGTCAAACTCTTCCCACCACTACCTCCCTTCACTGCTGTGTTTTCATTGGCCAAAATCGTCCATCATCGCTCTGAAGTCTTTCCCGGAGTCGATTTGCAGTTTAACCTCCGAGCTCTGCTCAATCTATGGGCTGAGCTCATCATTTCCCGCTCAAGCTCCACCTTATTCATGCTTTTGTGTAGCGGTCGACACGTTTTCATGCTATTCACTGTCACATCTACCGGATTATCTGCCGGGTTATCATCAGATTATTCCGACTTGGGTTCAAAAGTACTCCTAACTTGCTGGCGTATCTCTAATCCTACATCGGTCGTTCAAGAGTATCACCAATCTACTGGAGTACCTTTGAACTTGCCTCTTTCCATTATGGAGATCGACTCTAAACGCTTAACAGCCTTGACGGCGTCACCACGAGCTATTCATCTTGTTCACCCGCTTTCAATAGCAAACGAACTGGAGATTGTTTTCAAAACGATCATTAAAGCTTTTTTGAAGAAGCTTCCCGTTTTTATCATTGATCTAAACTGTCTAACCTATCCTTTTATTGCTTTGTATTTTATTTCTGCATCAAGTTGTTTTTACTTTTTGGCAAAGAATTTTCAGCTTCCTTCTGTAATCGCTGTTTAAGTTTAATTTAATGAAAAGTTGTTCAAAAAAAAAGGTCACGTAGATGCGGAATCTCATGAGCATTTGAACCAGTTTATCTAAAGATTTGCAAGCGTGAGAAAGCAAAAGAAGACAACTCAAATCCCATGAAATGATGATACAGAGTTTGAGGGTTTCAGAGAGCGCAAGAACTTAAGAGCGTTCGAAGATTCAAGAGTTGCTATGTATAAAATCATTTGTGCATAGGTCCCATAGATGCGGAATCTCATATGTAGCCTAAAGTTTCATTTCATCTCTACATGTTGGAGCTTCGACCAATCTTGTGCCAACGTCATAATTAGTCTTTACACTTTCGTTTTCCAAGACTTTCGGAAATGATGGAGACATTCATAATTTGATATTTCCTTTAATATACTAAAAACTCCTGAATTCCAGTCTCCGTTAAGAAAAATCATTTTTTCTAACAAGTACGTACTTAACCATCGACATTTTTACATGAATAAATAAGTAACATTTAGATATGGACGGTGACAATTTTTTCTGTAATGGATAAGGTAGAAACCTTCGAGCCATGATTAAACTGCTAATTTACGCCGTATTGGATCATGATGGAAATTCACTTTTAAAAAATTTAATTTTGATTCTTTTGTTGTTTATTATAACTATATATGAAAGCAAAAAATGGTGTTGAGCTGACACGTTTTGGTAACTTGGAGGATGCTTACAAATCACAAAGGTGACTTCAGTTTGTATAAATGACAATATCCGAAAAAATTTAGCTAATCTTTTTTTTTTTTTTTTTTTTTGACCATAAAGGCAAATTTAGCTAATCTTTATTTTATCTTTATGCATAATTGAAGCATTTTTCATGCAGGTGCATGGAGGAGCCTATTTCCATATGCATAAATTAGTAACACTAAGAAATTATTTAATTTTCAATTCTATGATTTTTGTTTGTTTTATACACTCTTCAAAACGTTACGTGGTTGTGTGCCCACAAAACGAAAGGAGAACTTGTGGAGCATGTTTTGTGCATTCAGGAGGAGAACATAGTCAAATCAATAAAGAACATAGTGAGAAATTGGCTTTAAATGAATATCCAAAATGCATCACTTCTTTATGTTTTCTCCTTCAAGACCAAACCAATGTTTACATTGGCTACCAATGTTTACAATCATCAAATCCTCCCTCATCATGAGATTCAGCATCATCAGCTCATCCCTCATCCATATCCAAAAATTGGGCTGGATTTATTAGACGATCCCACATGACTTGATTAAGCCCATCATCAGCTCCTCCCTCATCCATTTCTGGAAAGAGGGCTTGATCGACCAGAAGATCCGACATGGCTTGATTAAGCCCATTCACCACTTGTCAACAACAAACAATGCCCGCAATTAGATAGTTTATTATTATTTTATTAAGAAAAATATAGAAGAAAAAGATAATTACTAGTTTATCTGGATCTCCACATCGCGTCTAAACAAAAAAATTGTTGGAGGTCTATATTGCAACATTACTAGACTAATGATGTGTATCATACATGGTCGGCCCTTGTCATTTGTATAGGACCTTTCTTACAAACCTAAAATGGAAAATCCTTATATGCTTAAGGGATGTCAACAATGCATTATCTCTTACAACATTTGACACTCCCAATAATAAAACACGATGTACCGTACTTCTAAACTCATTACACGCAAATCATTTCTTCTTTAATAAACTTCCTCGCGAGCCCAACTATTTAAGGGTTTGTGAAAGTACGTACTGATGAAACAACGAAACTATTTGCATATATGACAAGTAGAACAGTAATAGCCTTAAAAATAACTATGAAGGCGGCATCACTGTATTATTTAGAGCTTGAATAATCTTGTGTTTTGGATTTTCTTACTAAACATACCAACAGAGGAAGCGGCAATGGCGGAGTCACAACCAAAGGTCTAGAACCGAGCATTAATTATTTCACCGGAACCATCGAAGTTAGTCTTAATTAAGATCAATCCCTTGCCAACGTTAAGATCAATCTTATCGAAGGACCAAACGTTTCAGGGATTCTCATAATCGCCATTATGTCATAAATGCATTATTATCTCATCCAATATTCGATAGTCCAATCAAATCAATAGATTATGGTCGTGATAAGGACCGTACATGAGAGCACTTATAGATGCGAATACTATTAACCTTCTAAAATCACAATCTCGCAAAGCCAATCTTTTTCTCGTCGACATTTGTTTTACTTGCTGGAGAAGGAATCTGGTTTTTTCTTTTAGTATTTTTATTATTTGTTCATGTTTCCAACAGTGGGAAATTAATTTTCTTAACCAGAACGGATAAAAAAAAATGAAAACAACTTATTCAAAGATTTGCATGAAACGAGAATACGAAGGTTAATGGTTTGAGAATGTGATGAAACAACGAAACTAAACAGTGGTTTTCCAATTCTATCAGTAACGACCACAACTAGGTTACTTATCCTTCGCCGAAATAGCCTTCACAATCTCCACGGTAAGATTGGGATGATTGACGACGAAAACCTTGAACTAAGCAGAGTTAGAAATCGTAAGTTTAAATCCGCATTAGACTTACTCAAAGTCACTCGAGCTGAAAAAGCCTTGTGACTTGCCAGGTGGTGTCTATCCAGAAAGAGATTCACGGTAGAGATACAAAGATGGAAGATTAATGGAAGATGAGAAGATAATCTGATATTAGCCCAAGGTGGAGATTGTTAAGCTATGGTCTGATATTCAGATTGGGATAAGGATTAAAAGAGACTCCATGTTAGCTTAGGATTCCTAAACTGGTTTGGTTTTGTGTATCCTAGTTCAAGTTGGTTTTGTAAGTCCTTGGCTATAAAAGGACAAGTCATCAGGTCTCTTAGAACATCACAAAAACTATTACGTTGTCTTCCACAAGAAAAAATTGTAAAAACATAGCACGTTAGAACTATAATTTTTTTTTTGTTAAACATAGAGGTTTTACAGGGACGAATACTGATTAGCATATATTTTCCCAAAATCAAGATTTTGAAATAGGGGATCGGCCAGTAAAACAAAAAAACATAGTAATAGTAGTGAATGTGTATTAGTTGACAGAATATGGTGATTTTAAAAAATTCCAACATTTAATTATTATGTGACTGTCTGTACGTTAGTGGAGCTGACAAATCTAAATGGGGATGTGTATTATAGATGCTTTACTTTTCGTCGCAAAAGCCTTCTTCCAAGCTCTTCTGAAAATTTGTTTGCTTGCTTAGTATATTTAGATGCAAGTATATTTCATAAACACTGCTATAAAAACCAATTAATAAATATCGATTAAAACTAATAATTAAGTCCACATCCATAAAAATGATAAAAGGATTACGTGGTTTGTTGTCATAGAGAAACAACAAAAGCTACGTACAGAGTGGTTCTTCTACCAACGTGCACAGCTAATAACAGTACGAGTATCCGTTGTTGCTGCTACTCCGACGAAAAGAAGCCTTGATTATCTCTACTGAAAGGTTTGGGTTACTGGCTGCAAACAACTTGAACTCATCTGTGCTAGCAATCTTCGTTATATTCGTTTTGATACAACCCAGGGCAGCCTCGTTAAGGGCGTTTTCGAAAGGGATTTGGGCAAGCTCCAAAATATCAAGAGCATTAGACTCATTCAGAGAAGAGATTAGCTGCTTTCTGCATAGATCTCGTAGATGAGGAATCTCATATTTGCCAGCTGCGAGATAGAGTGAACGAGCATGCACTCCACAACAAGGCATGGAGTCATCACTGTACATGAACTCAACCAAAGCCTTTACCTCCTCGTGTTTCATCTCTGAGAGAGTGATTGTCTCCATTCCAAACGAAGCCTTGAACTCTTCATGTTCCAGCATCTTCCTAAACACCTTAGATCTTGCGGCCTATTCAAACTCCCACATAATTAGAAAGAAACATCATTAACCATGAAAAGTAATTTCAAGGAAGAAAAGAGAGTATATAAAAAAAAAAAGCATTATAGCGTTTTGATGAACATGAATAAATAAGAAGAAGAAAATAGAGACCAGAACAAGTTTGTGGGCGGAGATAGTTGCACCCTCATCACTGTCTCCTGCCTTGAGCTGCAAATCGACTTGCCATTGTTCTTCCAAGACATTTGCAAATCCACCAGAGAAAATGCCTAGGCTGGTCTGTTTTTCCATAGCAATGTGATATTATTGATAACTTGAATATGATTGAGTTATATATATATAGAGAGAGAGTCCAGAGATGATGGTCAAAATGACTTGTATTTTTCCATTTTATTCTGTATATCAAAAATATACTTGGGGAATGAAGAAGAGACATTAATAATTGGGTTAATAATTTAATACTCCACTTGAACTTCCAAATCCTAACTACATTCAATCTACACCTCTTGGGAATCTAATGCATATCCTACTTCTAGTTTATCACATTTATATGAAACCAAAATAAGAGGACCAAAAAAAAAAAAAAAAAAAAAACAAAATAAGAGGACCAGTCAGAAGTGATTGTTTTTTCCTTTTTGAAAATAAGAATTTCTCAGATCTAGATAACAAGGATTTTCTCGTTGTGTTTCTCGAATCAATCCATTTTTTTTTTTTAAACAATCCTACCAACGCAACTACAAGAAACACATTTCCCATAGCAAAACGTATTTAAAGCATTCATACGAAACCAATAGTATTATGCTTATAACAAGTCCAAAAGCTTATGTAATTAAAAGTTCTTAACAAGTAGAGATTCATAGAAATAGGTGTTACGAACATCTACGTACGATACTTTCGGGAGTTGTTATTTGTTCAACTCTCCTCTGTCTTTTTCTTATGAACATCAATCTCAAATCATTTTGAATTTGGTGACAACATAAAGCTTTTCTTTTCTTTTCTATTTTGCATTTGAATAAAGCTCTAAATATAGAGCTTGAATAATCTTGTGTTTTTGGATTATCTTACAAAACATACTAACAGAGGAAGCGGGTATGGCGGAGTCACAACCAAAGGTCTAGAACCGAGCATTAATTATTTGACCGGAACCATCGAACTTACTCTTAATTAAGCCTCATTAAATCTCTATTTTGAGGAACTCCAACGAATCCCATGCCAACATTAAGATCAATCTTATCGAAGGAGCAAACATACTTCAGGGATTCTCATAACGCAGTTATACTTATATCATAAATGCATAATTATCTCATCCAATATTCGACAGTCCAATTAAACAATAGAGTATGGTCGTGAAGGACCGTACATGAGAGCACTTGTAGATCCGAATACTATTAAACCTTCTAAAATCATATCTCGCAAAGCCTGTCTATTTTTTACGTCGGCATTTGTGTTACTTGCTGGAGAAGGTATTTGTTCATGTTTCCATCAATGGGAAATTGAATTTCCTAAACAGAACGGATCAAAAACAAAAAAAAAAACAAAAACAACTTATTCAAATAATTGCAAGATTGAGTAAACAGAAGAAGTCAATCCCATAAAACGAGAACATAAAGGTTAAGGGTTTGAGAAAATGATGAAACAACGAAACTAAACAGTGGTTTTTCAATTATATCAGTAACGACCACAACTAGGTTACTTATCCTTCGCCGAAATAGCCTTCACAATCTCCACGGTAAGATTTGGGTGATTGACGACGAAATCCTTGAACTCAGCCGAGTTAGAAATCGTAACTTTATTATTTTTGATAGCAGCTAAGGCGGCATTACTGAGGGCGTAGTCATAAGGGACTTGGGCGAACTCAAGAAATTTAAGAGCATTCCAAGAGTTAAGAGATGATATAATCTCATTTCTGCATAGGTCGCCTAGATGCGGAATCTTATATTTCTCGGCAACACGATAGATGGACATAACATGTGACTTCGCTAACTCATTAAGCTTAGAGCCATCGCTATAGATGAAGTCAACGAAAGCCAGCAATCCTTCGTGTGTCAGCTCCGAGATAGTGATTGTCTCCAGTGTGGACGTAGCCTTGCATATGTCTGGTTGTAAAAACTTCTTAAATACCTCTGATCTTGCAGACTATAAAAATTCCACATAGATGTGAGAAAAACAAGAACAGAAGTTTTTTACTGAATCAGATAATGATAAGGAAAATAAACAAAAAAAAAGGAATCTAATCAAGAAGAAGAAGCCAGAACCAGAATAAGCTTATGTGCAGCTACGTCCCTCTCACTGCTCAGTGACTTCAGTCGTACATCGGCTTGTTGTTCTTTTAAAACCTTTAAAGGTCCACCCAAGAAAAGCTCTTTGTTTTCTGATGTCTCCATAGTTTATAAGTTCTATAACCTGGATTTGATCTGGAAAACGATTGTACGTTATATATATATATATATATTGAAAGCCTAGACGGTCAAAATTACTCTTTGCTTTTACTTTCCTTTCCCAAGACTTTGGGAAATAAGAGGACCATTAATATACACTAGACTTCTTAAGTTAAGTTATTTGCGTCTTCTATTGGTAATAAATTTACTAAACAAAACAAATGTTTTCAGAAAATATGACACTTTCTCCATTAGCCTCAGAAAAATACGGTAGAATTTAGTGGAATCAGGCCTCGACATTTTCTCCATTAGCCTCGACTTGCTTTTCCCTGTAGTTTTCAACCGCTGCTTTGATTGCGTCTTCTGCAAGCATACTGTAATGTAGCTTTACTGGTGGCAAAGACAGATGCTTTGCGATTTGAGTGCTAACAAAATTAACAAATTGAGAATTTTCCAAAAACAAAACTGTCAAAATTTATCAATAATTGTCAAGAGTCCTTATGCAATTACGTACACTAACATGTATCATCATCATCATATCATTCAGTTTTTAAAAATGGCACGTACGAGTTCTTTATGGTCAAGGATTCTTCCATAGATTTTCCCTTGACCCATTTAGTACCCCCATTCTTAAGTCATGCATTTTTCCTCTTCTTTAAATTCATTTCCATAATTTCGAGTTTTATTGAAGACAACTCAGAGAAATGATTTTGAATATTTGTAATCAACACACTGAAATCCCTTGTGTTGCTCCAGGAGTTGACACCTAGGATTTTCCATGTTTTCATGTGTTAGACACATCATTTAAAACAGATAGCCAATCAAAATATTTTAAATAATCTTAGTCAGCATATGTTTCGGTTTACTTGCCACGATTTTAACTCGGTTTGGTTTCATTGGCCATTCGATTTGTTCAATTGTTTTGGTACTATTTAGAGCAATCGGAGATGTTAATCGGGAGATCCCGAAGCTTGAGACCCGTAATGGAAGGTCCCCATCTAGACGAAGAAGGAGTAGGAGGGAATATGGGAGAATGTAAGCGACTCGGGTCGGGTCTAGGTCACTGGGTCAAGGGACAGCTCTCTCGTGCTCCGTCGGTCGCTGCGATAGCTGCTTACCGGAGGAATGATCTGAGAGTTCTCCTCGGAGTTATGGGAGATCCTCTTGCTCCGATTCATAATCTCTTCCTCCGATCCTCTCCCTCATCTTAGCATCAAAAATACCCCAATCGTTAGTTTCTCTCTCACTCGAGCTCAGATTATTTGTTAATGTCATAATTTTTTTTCCAGAATTTTTAAGTTCATGAAACACAAATCCGTACATTGATACTCAAGATCTCAGTCTCTCGGTTTTGTTTTTCTTCTTCCTCTCTATACAAATTTATGATCTTCAAATCTCAGTGGTTGTTTAAAAAAAAGGAATCGAATTTCTTTCTTCGGAATGTTTTCATTTGGTCGTTTGTTGGTGGAAATTGACGTCATTTTCTTTGGTGGGATTTGATGTTTTATGACCGATCCTCCTCCTTTTCTAATGTTGAAGATAAGAAACAGCTTTATTGTATTATAGTAGGTTTGAAATGGTCACACCAAGATTCTGAAACAAAGATAGCTTACTTTTCTTGACTTTGAGTTATTGTACTTTTCGGTGACTGCCATATCCGCTCTGCAGTTTGTTCTTCAAGAAGACTTCAAGGCAACTGAGATTGAGGTATCAGTTGACCACTCTCTATACTAGAGTTTGTGAAACTCCGTATAAATATTCTTTTTTCTTGGCCATTGTTGTTTTCGCAGGTGGGAGTTGTGAGAGCTGATAACCCTATCTTCCGTTCCCTGAATACTGAGGAGATCAAGGAGTATTTGACGGCCATTAGTGAACGCTACTGATCACTTTCCGATGTAACTTTTGCTGCTCTTCCGTTTGCTTCCAAATCTTTCTTAAAGTCATTAACATTCCAGAGAAACTTGTTTCCATCAGTCTTATGAATCGTGTAGTTTCCATTTGAATCATCTGTTTTTTACTCAAGTCCTCTTAATGTAAGTTGCATGTAAGGTGTCAAATTAAGGTCTAATGACCAAAGCACAGAGCTAAGAGATGATAAACCAATCAACAACATATTTACATATACGTATTACACAGATGATACTGAAAAATAATAAACCGATCAACAACTTGTAGATTCGCCATAGATATAGTCCAGAAGAGCAATTACTCCAAAAACAAAAGTTATAATGAAAAAAGGTCATGAAAAAAGAAAAAAATTAAATCTAAGGAATGGAATTATTTATGAAAATTATTTTCCACCATTTCAAATAATATCTCTGTCCAAAATTTAATTACACCAAACATAACAACCAACAAAATACATTTCAATAAGTTACTATTACAAAAAACAATGAATAAAACAAAGTATAATATTCTACTCAAATTAGATAATATAAAAATAAAATAAAAATTAAAAGTATAATTCGAGTTTATCTAAATGAAATAAAAAATCAGAAATAAAAACATAAACATTACTATAGCGCGGATCCAGATCTAGTTTAGATAAATTTTAGTCGCTTGGAAACTGTTGTTGAATGTGTTTGCCCATTCATTTCATATAATCTTCATTGTCTGCAAACTCTATCTTCTTTCTAATTATACGCATTCTTTACTAAAAATTATTTTGTGAGATAATTTAGTCACACATTATTTTGGTAGTGTATCTATCCTCCTAATAAGATAAACTTCTTCCACACATTCATAATCGTACTCGGTTTCTTGCTAAACCTGTTGGGGAGCAATCTCAGTTTCTTATCTTCTCACTCCTCTAGATCCTGGTCGATTGAAGACTGGATTAAATCCCACAAGCAATGCCCAATTAGTTTATGATAATCATAATATAATTATTTTATACAAAGAGAGAAATATAGTTACTAATTCATTTCTATCTAGGTTCTTGCATTGGCCAGCTTAGAGCATGTGCAATGGAGAGCTCCATATGGAGCTCTTTAAACTTATTTTATAATAAAAGTATTAATTTTTTAAGTGTAGAGTTTTGGTAAGGATTTTCAAAATTTAAACACCACAATGGAGAACTCATTGTTGTTTCTTTAAAAAAAAACTTTTACTAATTGAAATTCTATACATTACAAAATTCTCCTCTCATATACCATCTTCAACGACCACTTCAATTCATGTCATGTTTGCAGGAGCTTTTCTGAGTGGAACAACCTATAATACCAATGAAACAAGACAATACTTTAGATCAAAAAAACTCGTCATATTCGGTGATATGAAAATCATTAAATTAGTGGGAGAAGTTACCTGATCAGTACCCGACGAAGGTGATGATACGTTCATCACTGTCTTCATCTTCTTGGAGCTTCCGTTCTCGCCTTTCGTTACTTCGTTGACAAAGTTCTGATCAGATATATCTGCTTTTGAAGAAAACACAAAACACTATCAGTTCTACAAACTTACAAAAGAAAACAAAACTTCACAAGAGAGGAATAACACTAAGTAATATTACCTTCTCCGATGCTGATTTGATCGCGGTCACGCGAATGGGACCATCCTTCCCATAATATCCCTGAGCTGCAAATGACTATTCCCTTCTTCCCATTCGAGCTAACCACTTGGTTCTCGAGCTCATCCGTTACAAGAATCTCGATTTTCGGCGAAGGCTTGTAGTGCTTGATCCACGGACTCCTAAGAAACTCGTGAGAGCCACCACCACCGCCTCGTCTTCCATTGACGCCGCCGCGGTATTCAGGTTGTTTTACATTCATCTTCTGCCAGAAACCATCACAGAAGAACCTTGAACTAATATAGCAAAAAACACAATATACGACTAAATTCGATGTTCCCGGAGACTAAACTTTGTAAGAAAAAAAACAGAGAGAAAATGTGTCAATACCTGTTCTTCACAAGCTTTTCTACAGCCACCGAGCCGTACATTCTCCTTGTTGGAATTCGAACCGAGCGCGCCGAGGGAATTGTAAAGCTGGTCCACGAATGAAGCTTCCATGGATTTAAGATATAAAATCTGCTTCTCATCAGTCCACTCTTTTCTCACAGAACTACAACAAGAAACATGTTTATAGGAAATCAATTATTAGAAAAACATTTGTGAATCAAATGAAAACTTATCTCTATGTCGCTATTAAAGGAAAACTTATCATAAATCATTCATTTCCCAATGGTAAATTATGAACTAAATTCATCAGTAAGACTACAATTGAAAATGGATAGAAATCTAATGCTTATATATGAGAGACTCTTCACTATCTCACTTAACAATCAACACCGGAAAGTTTAAACGAACCAACATCGCAACAGATTTTCTCTTCCAAAACAGAAAATTGGCGTCAAAATCAAATTTCTCACCGGAGTCCGACATCATGCATGTAACTTCCAGACTCTCTCGAACATCGATCTCCATTCCAGAACCTTTCCGAATCGATTCCGCCGTGGATCCAGAGGAGATTCTGATTTTTCTCTTCGCTTTAACTCTTCCGCGCGCTCGATCTCGATTCTAGTTTCGTTCTGATTCTGATTCCGCCGGTCGGAGAGACTGCCTCGCCGGAATGGATTGATTGTGGCAGATTAACGAAGTAATCGAAGAGAAGAAGAAAGCTGGATTGATTGATGAGGAGAAGACGAAGACGAAGAAAGAAGGAAGAAAGAAAGAAAAAAAATCTCGTCAAAAAAATTATCGCGAGTTTTGTCATCGCGACACGTGAAGAGTAGAACCGTCTCCACAGTCTCTGCCGGGAGAGACATATCTGGGCTTTGAACTCGCCACATAGGCGTGTGCTCTTAGCAACACCAAATGCTAACTCGTCAAGTGAAAAAGACGAATAAAGATCGGGAATTGATAGAATGATAGATACAGTAATTTGGTAAGTTGGTAGTTACTTTATCTTAAAATAAAATAAGGTTCTCTATTACGGTCACGGAGCCCACAACCCGAGTCAAGTCAAGTCAACGCAACTCTGATAAATGAAACTTCACCGGAAAGATCCCAGAAAACAAGATACTTATGAAGTCGCCGTCGGTGAGCGGCGACCCCTTTATTTCTTCTTTAATTCGAGTCTCAGAATCAGAATCTCAGTCGTTGAGCTATTGTTCTTCATCCTAGGCATCTCTTCATGGCTCATTCTTCTTCCTCCTCCTCTTCTCGAAATTGGGTATACGACGTCTTCCCTAGCTTCAGCGGCGAAGATGTCCGGAAAACATTCCTCAGCCACTTTCTCAAGGAGCTAGATCGGAAATTGATAATTGCTTTCAGAGACAACGAGATCGAGAGAAGCCAATCCCTCGATCCGGAGCTCAAACGAGCGATTCGGGATTCGAGGATCGCCGTCGTCATCTTTTCCAAAAACTAGGCATCTTCAATCTATTGCTTGAACGAGCTGCTTGAGATCCTTAAACGCAGAGAAGAAACCGGTCGATTTGTGATCCCGATTTTCTACGGATTGGATCCTTCTCAGGTTAGGAAACAGAAGGGCGATTTTGGGAAAGTCTTTGAGAAGACTTGCCAGGAAAACACAAAAGATGAGCAAATTCTGTGGAGGAGAGCTTTAACTGATGTAGCTAATATGCTCGGATTTCACTCTTCGAACTGGTACCATCATTTGCATATTTGATTCATTCTTTCATTCATACTTGCTTGTGTATTGATATTTTTTTGTTTTGCTATTGTTAGGGATAATGAATCGAAAATGATAGAAGAAATCGCCAATGATGTTTTGTTTAAACTGAATTTGACTCCGTCAAATGGTTTTGAGGACTTTGTTGGCATCGAAGATCATATAGCAGAGAGGAGTTTCTTGCTGCGTTTGGAATCAGATGAAGTGAGGATGGTTGGGATCTGGGGCTCTTCAGGAATTGGCAAAACCACCATTGCTAGAGCTCTATTTAGCAGACTCTCTCGCCTATTTCAAGGTAGCATCTTCATAGACAGGGCTTTCATATCAAAGTGCAGGAAAAACTACAACGAAGCCAACTCCGATGACTATAACCTGAAGTTGCATTTGCAGAAAACTTTCATGTCTGAGATTTTTGGGAAAAGGGAGGTAAAGATTGATCATATTGGTGCAATGGGAGAGAGGCTAAAGCACCAGAGACTTGTTATCGTTCTTGATGATTTGGATGAACAAGTTGTTCTTGATGCCTTGGCTGGTCGAGCTCAATGGTTTGGTTGCGGGAGCAGAATCATTGCGGTAACAAAGGATAAGCATCTTTTGAGAGCTCATGGGATTACTTGTATTTACAAGGTTGGTCTCCCATCTGAAAAGCAAGCTCTGCAGATGTTTTGCCGATTTGCTTTCAGGCAAGACTCTCCACCTGATGGTTTCTTGGGACTTGCTTCTGAAGTGGTGAAGCGTGCGGGTGGTCTTCCTTTGGGGCTTAACGTTTTGGGTTCGTATTTGCGAGGGAGGAACAAAGAGGATTGGATGGATATGATGCCTAGGCTTCGTACTAGGCTGGATGGAAACATTGAGAGAGCATTAAGAGTCAGCTATGATGGGTTAGGTAGCAAAGAAGATAAAGCGATATTTCGTCACCTCGCGTGTCTCTTCAACGGTGCGGTAATCGATTACATCAAACTGGTCCTCGCAGATGCTGATTTGGATGTCAATGCAGGGCTGAAAAACCTAGCTGATAAATCCCTCATACAAGTAAGAGGGGATAGTGTGGAGATGCACTGTTTGGTACAAGAAATGGGTGAAGAGATCGTTCGCTCACAATCTAACGAACCAGGGGAACGTGAATTCTTGTTGGATTCGAAGGATATTTGCGATGTTCTTGAGGATAACACTGTAAGTGCTCTTTTGATCACACACTCTATTTGGTTATAGTCAGTTTTGAAAAGATAGTGAATTTGTCAAATTTGATATTTACAGGGCACTAGAAAAGTCTTAGGTATATCACTGGATATGTCGGGGATTGATGAGTTGCACATACATAAGAGAGCCTTTGAAAAGATGCGTAGTCTGTTTTATCTAAAGATTAACAAGAAACCATATGAAGAAGTCAGATGGCACATACAAGAAGGCTTCAACTACTTGCCACCTAAACTCAAAATACTTAGCTGGAGTGGATACCCATTAAGATGTCTGCCTTCAAACTTCTGTCCTCAACATCTGGTAAAGCTCAAAATGCAGAACAACAAGCTCGAGAAGCTGTGGGAAGGAGTTCATGTGAGTTTTGAGATAAAAGCGTTATACTCTTTGGGTTAAAATCTTTTCTTGTTGATGTGTAACTTATTTTTTTGTTTTGCTCTGTCTTTGTTTAGCCCCTCAGATCCCTCAAACGTATGGATTTGTCAGGAGCTAAAAACCTGAAAGAAATCCCAGATCTTTCGATGGCAACCAATCTTGAGAAATTGTTGCTAAGAAGCTGCTCGAGCTTGGTGGAGATTACTTCTTCTATACGGCACCTCCATAAAATGTTGGTGTTGGACATGAGTAGGTGCACAAGACTTGAGGCACTTCCATCAGGAATCAATCTCAAATCTCTCGATAAACTCGAGCTCAGTGGATGCTCACGACTGAGAAGTTTTCCTAATATCTCAAGTAACATTTCCAAGCTTGATCTAAGCCGAACAAGTATCGAGGAATTCCCCTCTAAGCTTCGTCTAGAGAAGCTCAATACCCTTCAAATGAAAGAAATCAAGAGTCGTAAACTGTGGGAAGGAGTGCAGGTAATGGTATCTATCTCCACTTTTTATTACTAATGTATAAAAAGACTTTATATATCGTCACGCTTTGACTTTCTCCTTGGTTTGGTTTTTATGTTCAGCCACTTACAAGCCTCAAGTCGTTAGATTTGTCCGGATCTGAAAAGCTGAAAGAAATCCCAGATTTTTCGTTGGCAACCAATCTTGAGTGGATGCACCTCAAGGGTTGCACAAGTTTGGTGGAGATTCCTTCTTCGTCTATTCAGAATCTTAAGAAGTTGAGTTATTTGAGCATGGAAGATTGCAGAGAGCTGGAGGCACTTCCAAGCGGTATCGACCTTGAATCTCTCGATTCTCTCAATCTCGGTGGATGCTCATGCCTAAGGATTTTTCCTGATATCTCACGCAACATTTTCTTCTCATTCTAAACCAAACAGCGATTGAAGTAGTTCCTTGGTGGATCCGAGACTTCTACAGGCTCAAGTGCCTACGTATGAAGGCATGCAACAATTTAAATTATATATCCCCGAATATTTCTAAGATGAAACATCTTATAGAAGTTGAGTTTTCAAACACTTTATGTAACACTTATTGGGCCCGACTGAAGCATTAGTTGATAAGAACATCACCAACAGTTATAAAGGGGATCTATTGTTTCTACTTTCTACCCAAAAAGGACTTGTTAAAGAGGATTAAGAAACTTGTTTGAGCTATCTAATGCCAAGATGATTAAGGATTCAATTACCGAGAGATTCAGGCGATTCTTGTTAATGAGCATTAGTATAAATATTACTGGGGATACACGTTAAGTTTATTCAAAATACAGTATGAGTTTCCATGTACGCTGTTATTCAAATCGAGGACCAACTATTGATAGTTGCAGAAACCTTGCGTCAAATGGAGGTATACATGTCTCCTCGGATTGAGTTTCTCAACACAAACAATCTTCTTGCTAGCAGTAAATGTACAAGTTTGTTGGTAAATGATATATATTTGTCTTTTCTAATGAATGCAAATGTAGGAAGACATGGGATGTCTTAAGAAAACAGTAGACGAGAGCTGTCCTAAGAAGCCAGACTCAACAGAGACACCTCTGCTACTCGAGGATTCACCAAATTTGAAGACACTAGAAGAAGTGAATGAGGGGAAGAAGAAGATAAACCAGATCACAGAGTCACCTCAAAACAGAGAAAAGGGCAAGAAACATGATGGAGAAGAACAACAACGATCACCACTCTCACTTATAAGCAACACTGGTTTCAGAATATGCAGGCCTGTGGCGAGTTTCTCATGGCCCAAACTGCCTGCTCTTGCAGATACTGCTGGTGATACTGCTCCTGGTAATAATGCGGAGTTTGCTTCTTTGCCAAGTCACGGACCATCTTCTACTGCGCATTCTTATCCAGTGAAGCTACTTGCAGCTAAGCGTCCTCTCGTCTTGCCTTTTCCCTTCACCATAAATTCCCCACAAATCCGTGAGATCAGAGATGATGGATTAGCTAGCCTGAAAAGGTACAAAACCAACTTTATATCTAATTGGTTATATCATCTTATATAAGATTTGATACTCATGTCTGTGTTTTGGTCTTGAGCAGAGAATTTGAGAGACTCGCTTTCAAAGAAGGAAGAGGAGGAGAAGAGGAGGAGCTTATTGTCATGACTACGCCTAATTCTTGTGTCTCTAGTCAGAACGATAAGCTGAAGACTCCAGCCAAGGTAAAGAGCTCGAAGCAATATTAAATGATTTATATATCCTGTGATCATACTGTTTAATGCTACATCTCTGCTGTTTCAACTCAGGAAATGCACCCTCATTTGATGAAGAAGAAATGCAAAATTGAGGATTATGGTGAAGATAAGGGGGAAGCTAAAAATTCAAAGTTGGCCGCACGGGAGAAAATTCTCTCATCGCATGACAAGACCGAGTGGAGTAAGTTTCTTTAATTTCTGTTTATATAAAACATTATTTCTATTTCTACTCATAATTCTATTAAAACTACGACAAGGATAACATTATTTCTAATAAAAACTGTTGTTTTACTTAGAAATAACTAATTTCCTTAGATTGTTTCTTGCTCAAGCTTTGGAATTTTTTTCTTTTTGATGTTACGTAGGTGTAGTGGTTTCTCCTCGTCGCTATGTCCGAGTTGGGGCGGATGAAGAGAGCATACTCGCTATCACGGACTTCAACGTCGACCACAACTACCGCCTGACAACAAGATGCGGTATGATGATGGGCGAGCTCCAAATTGTGAGGTGTACGTCGGTTGACACACGTCGAGTTCATAGTCGGCTCTCTCAACACCATCACCCGGCCGCATCTTCACCCGGTTGTTTCCATTTTCTTGTCAGAGCCATTCAGCCTGGGCCATTCCGGCTATTCAGCTATCCGGCTTGTTGGCTCCAAATACAAACTCCAGCCACAGCCACAACCACCACCGGTGAAGGGAAATACTTAGACTGAAAATACTATCTTCTTCTCCTCATGAATGCCCAAAATATGCTCCATAAGATTTCCTCTCGTTTCTTTATCACACAACCATGTACCGTTTTTAAGATGGATTAAACAAACAAAAACCATCAAATGATTTGCCACTAAATTGAAAATTAAACAATTTCATAGTGAGAATAACTTATTAATTTATGCATGTGGAAATAGCCTCCTCCATGCACCCGCATGAAAAAAATGCTTCAAATATGCATAAAGATAAGATATTAGATTAGCTACGTTTTTTCAGATATTGCCATTTATATAAACTAAAGTCATTTACCTTTGTGATGTGTAAGCAACTAAGCATCTTTCAAGTTAAGTGCCAACTCACCACCATTCTCTGCTTTCTTATATAGTTATAAACAAAAAAAAATATCAAAAGTAAACTTTAAAAAAGTCGTAACTTGAAAAAATTGTCACCGTCCATATTTAAATATTATTGATTTATTTATGTAAAAATGTCAATCGTGAAGTATTTGGTAGAAAAAGAGAAGTCATTTAGGAAATTGCGAAACTAACATATCATGAGTCATCAATCATATGCCTATTCAAGTTTCACGATGATAAATAACATGAGTTACACATTGATCATCCTATTGGTTCACTTTACTCACGGTAACTTTCTTACAAACATTTCACAGCAAAGACAAAAACAACAACAACAAAGTATGTGAGTGAATCTGACAGTAACCAAAATTCTTTACGCTTGAGCCCCAAGTTCAAGCAGTAAGGTGTGGTTTATCGCATCAGATCCTGGTCCCTTAAACTGAATTGGACCTGACAACAAGAGAAAGAATTGAGAGTTAACATGAAAAAACTCAAATGAAAGAAATCAATTACTATACTACTACTTTATATATGCATGAGGCATATGTAATGTATGTGAACAAACCAGGACTAATGTATCGATTCTTCAACGCCCATTCTTTCCTCTGTGACGCAAATTTCTTAAACGGTGCGCCTGAAAATTGATCAGAAGCGATAAAAATAGTGAGCGGCCGTAAAAAGAAAAAGAAAAACGTTTTGAGCTAAAAGACTTAACCTTCAAGTTCAACCATAGCTTTCTTGATAACCGGCTTAAATTTACCTTCAAAATAAAAGGATAAATGTTTAGTTTGATAATCAAAGATTTCACAGTTGTATTACATCCGCGTTTATATATATATTACCATGTCTTCTCTCAACATCCATCAATGAAGTTAGCGGTGTACCACCAACAGTCCATTCTTCAACAGGAGCAGCTAAATTCCCAACCTGCAAAAGGATCACAAGCGAGTATATAAATAATCTTGAAATGATGAAACCAGTTTGTGATATTTTCAAGAAATGAAAACATAAAAAGTTTTTAAACCGAGGAAATGAGTCCGGTCTTCCCGCTCTGGAGAAGTGATCCAGCACCGTAACCTAATGCGTAACAGTACGTTGCATCGAAATTCGTAGGTAATCCACATCTTCCCTCATACCTTAAACATTATCAGAAGAACATATGTTGAGCTTATTATTATGAACATATATGTTTTTATGTTTTAGGCTAATTTGTTACCCAAAGAAGTGTGATTGTCCCATGAATTCGCGCTTGTATGTACCGTCCTTCTTCTTTCTGTCAAGCTCGGTTTCAACCATTTGAATCAGCATTTTCTCTGTCTCTATTTTAGCCACCTGATTTATAATATACAAATGCAAGATAAAATAAAACCGGTTTTTAAGCAAAATGCAGTTTCATTTAAAAGATTTTCATACAAATTGAGGTTTGAATAATTTTTTGGTGTCGAGAAACAGACCTGGACATTTCCATGTGGATCTCTCTCAAGCATAAGTTGTTCTTGAATTGTTCTAGGAAGAGACTCAAAAAGCTTTAGAGTCTCTTCTTTAAGATTCTTCTTCCATTGACCTTCTTCATCGACGGTTCCTTGGGCTAGTATTTCGTTAAGTTCTGAAATAAGCTCTTGGATCTACAAAAAAAATGGAAATTTAAAGAACAGAAACATGGAGAAAAGAGAAAGAATTAACCATTATCTTGTTACAGAATCATACCTCAGGGATAAAATCAATTAGACCTTCAGGAACAAGAACCACACCGTAGTTATAACCATCTTCAGCGCGTTTACAGATCACGTCAACAATGTAATCCGTAACGTTTTTCAACGTCAGCTTCTTCTCTGAAACCTACATACATGTTGGTGCTTTATATGTCTCAAACCACATTTAGCAAACCGAAGAAGAGTACGAATAAAGCTTGAGTTACACACAAGGTACCTCTTCTCCAATAATGGTAATGTTTGGATGTGTTTGCAAAGCGCATTCAAGTGTAATATGAGAAGCAGCACGCCCCATTAGACGCACAACTATAGAGATAATCAACAAATGAAATTAAAATCGCAATTTATAACAAGATCGTATAAATTGTAATTTAATCAAAATAGTAGTTTGTATCAAGATTGTAATTCATTTTGCTAAGGGAAAAATAAAACTTACAGTGATAGTATTTTCCCGTGGAACGTGCATCGATCATAACATTTCCAATCATCTCTGAGTATATCTGCATGAACATAATCACACAAAAAATAGAAAACCAATGATATGGTCTTCTAGGAGAAAACCTAATAAGTGAGGCATTTTTGGATATTCATTATGAGTTTACTTGCCTTGCAAGCAGTATCAAACCCGAAACTTGTGGGGACTTCTTTGCTCTTCAAATCTCCATCGATTGTCTTGGGACATCCAATAACCAGAGTTTTCATGTTCTTGACTCTGAAAAATAATTCCAATCAACTAAAGCCAACTCTCACTTATATATTAATGGTCATGACTTTTAAGTAAATACCTGAAGTGTTCAGCGAGAAGACAAGCATTAGTATTGGAGTCATCTCCACCAATAACCACAAGACCATCTAAGTCCATTTTTGTTACTGTCTCTTCAGCTTGTTTAAACTGCAAAGTGTAGGAGACTGATGCTAAACCAAGTCCATCGATGAAAGCCACACACATTCAAGATTTGAGAAGTAAAAAATGTTTAGTACCTGCTCTGGAGTTTCAATCTTGTCTCTTCCACTGCATATCATATCAAATCCACCCTGTGTAAAAGGCACAACAGAAATTATTAAGAAGAAACACAAAGACGACTCTTTAATGCGTAGAGCTTCCAGTCCAGTTTCATCAATCCGAACCAAAACAAAACATAAATGACCGAACCGAAAAGGAATTAACCAAAAAGAAGACCAAGCTAAGGAGACACACAAACCGTTTTAAATTATTTTTAAGCCAAACCAAACCGAAAAGAAATTAAACAGAGTATAAAACCTCAATTTCTTTGAAAATCCTTTAAATCAAAATAAACCAAACGATGGCCGGTTTTAACTCGGTTTTTATGTTTCATAAGCCGAAAAATCCCAAACCAAAAACCGGAAATAAATTAAACGGACTAAAACTTCATTTCCTCTAAAATTCCTGTAAATTAACATAAACCGAATGATGTTCGGTTTCCATTCGGGTTTCTCTATTACATAAACCGAAACAAAATCCAATAACCGGAATGTACTTGGACTAGATTCTATTAAGAAGAAACACAAAGACGACTCTTTAATGCATAGAGCTTCCAATCCAGTTTCATCAATCCGAACCAAACCAAAACTGAACATATATAACCGAGTCGAAAAGGAATTAAACCAAATTAAGACCAAGCTAATTACACACACAAACCGTGTTAAGCCAAGTAGCCAACCAAACCGAAAACAATTAAACAGAGTAAAACCTCAAGTTCTTTGAAAATCCTTTAAGTCGAAATAAACCAAACGATGGCCCGTTTTAATTCGGTTTTTATGTTTCATAAGCCGAAAAATCGCAAACTAAAAACCGGAAAGAAATTAAATGGATTAAAACTTCATTTTCTCTAAATATCTTGTAAATTAACATAAACCGAATGATGGTCGGTTTCAATTCGGGTTTCTCTACACCAAAACCGAAAAAATCCAATCACCGGAATTTACTACCGTTTGACTAGATAGACATAGACCATGTTCAAACCAAACCCAAACAGAGAGAGGCACAAAATCTGGTTTCTGTATTTGCACACAAAAACCGAAACATTTTCGTTTCTTCTCCATTTCTATTACAAACCTGGTTTCTGTAAGGGTGCACAAAATCAGAAGTAAGCTCAACATATTTGCCCTTCATGATTCCAGCTGGACCACCACGAAAACCAAACAGACTACTTCCTTTCGCATATTCCTGCAAATAATCTATCCAACCAACAACAACAACAACAACACAAAATACAATCTCAATTCAATTTTCTTTTAAAACCATGGAAACGAAAAATAATTTGAAGAAAGAACAAGTCTAACCGAAAATTCCACAAATAACATTGTGTCCTCCAGGAGCTTGACCACCAGACAGCACAACACCAATTTTAAGCTTTTGGTCCGATGTAATTGCATTATCAGATTCGTTAGGAACCAATAAAGCCGATGGTTGTCCAAACAGGTTTGGGAATAATTTCGCAATTTCCTCTGTTTCAACAACATCAAAAACCATGACCGATCATCAAAATCAGATTCGAAGCTTTCCAAGAAATAGAACCCGGTTTACTCCAACGGATCCGAAATCGGAAAAACAAAGCAGAAGATTGATTGACCTGGATGCCCGGCGGCGGAGCTCGGTGGACCATCGACGATCTTAAAGGGGGTTTTAAAGACGGAAGGAAGAGGAAGCGAGTGGTCGATACGACTCGCTTGGACTTCGCTGTAGACAGAAGTAACACGGCTAGACGCCGGAGGGTTAACTGAGAATCCGGCGATGTCGTCTCCGGTTGAATCGGACGGTGATGCCATTCGTGAAGTTTTTTATGACACTGTTCCCTAAAAAGTCTCCAAATGTCAGATAGTGTCAGATAGTGTTTGGATAAGTTTCTCAAAGTAGGTAATGAAATTTAGATTTTTCCGAATATTCCCATATCCCAAATTTGATCATTTGTTGTCGTTTTGGCATGTTTTCATTTAAATTATTTTCATCCAATTATTTAATTTCAAGAACTGTACAGTAGAACTCTATAAAACAATACTCGATAAAACAATAAACACTATAAGACAATAATTTTCTCCGGTCCCAACTCGGGCCAATGTAAAAAATAGCATAATGCGATAAGATGATAAGACAATAATATTTTTGAAACTCCTATGTAAAAATATAGTCCCAACAATAACCTAAGATAATAATTATAAAACTAAGGCATATATATCTAAGACAATTTAGTAAAATATGACTCCAATGTAGTTTGTCTTTTCTGAAAGTTGGATTCCCGTTGGAGCTCATCTCGAATTTTTCTTATTGGATCTACAATTTCTGTTGATGTATTCTCAACTTGCAGCCAAAAGTTGTGAAGAGTTCTCGAAGCCACAATTGCTTTAACTACTTGCACATGTTTTCCTCATCATCTTCAACTTCATCTTCACCATTAAGAACATTAGACATAATTTCTTCTAGATTTTGAACTTCTGAGCATGAAATATGTAAATAACAAAGTATAAGGAAAATTTGAATAAAAAAGTGAAAAAATATATGTCTATAAAGTTTCTTGTTTTTGATAGAATATTTCTATAAAATAATAATTATTATTTTATCGATAAAATAATAACTCTATAAGATAATAAAATTTCAAAGTCCCAACATTATTGTTTTATAGAGGTTTTACTGTATTTGATTCTTGATTGTATTTTAGAAACATTGAGATTTTGAAATCTTGTTATTATTAGCACTGTGTCAATTAGTGATGAAAATATTTTTGCATTTTAGTATCATGGGGTTAATATAAGCATCAAATTTGAATTAGGCTGGAGTAGTATCGATCGGGTTGCACACGAGTATAGTGTTAACTGTATAATAATTCTTCTATACTAGTATATGTATAACACTATAACTTGTAGACATAAAACAACTTAAATTTTGAATTGTATATGTTTAACAAATTGAAAACAAATCTCAATACTTTTTTTGTGTGCTACGCCGACACATTGTTTAAACTCTTTGACTTTCTTGTTTTTGATTGGTCCAATTGTTTGGTTCAACGTGCTTCAAATTTGGAATTCTAAGATTAGACATCAATAATCACTTTTATTTATGTAAAAACTTCGGAGTGGTAAGAGCTTGAGACGGAAACATGGTTTTACAATTTTTTAATTAGATAAAGAACCATTTTAGATCAAATGATAAATATAGGTACGGAAGATGTAATAGATAATCATAAACCCTAGAAAGTATGGACCATAATGGCAACATGTGGTTTAACTATCAGCTTAACAAGTTGATAAGGTACTTACTAACTGTATTTCCATCAACTAATCAATTTTTAATTACTAATTGGTTCTTAATGTCAGCTTTTTAGTTTAACAAGTTAATTAAGAAATTCATAATCAAAATTCAAATTCATATGGATACTCTCACATGACAAAATCCCTAAAAGAATCAATTATATAAACTACAAAGAAACGTAAATATCCACAAAGTGATTCCATCCAGCAGTGTAACATCTTTTGGGTTAATCTCCAATTCTTTTTTTTTATGTAAAAGTAACCATTCTTTGAATTGATTATCTTCCCTCATGAATGTACAGAATATGCTCCACAAGTTTTCCTTTTCCTTTCTTGGCCACAAAATCACGTACGGCTTCTTTGGAATTTGTCTCCAATTCTCATATGTTTCAAGTAAATGTATGGTTAATCTCTTTGTAACTCTCTAAAAACTGTATAACCTTGAGTCATAACTGTAACATTTTTGCTATATAAATTGCAAACCTTTTTGTCAAAAAAGAAAAAAATGTATAATCCAAGATCTCTTATTTAAAGATATTTATTTAATATCATATACATGAATAAAAATGAATAGTTTATTTGACATTTATTTAGATAACTTTTTGTTAAAAAGTAAGTGAATAGTTTAAAAATTATGAGGTATATGTACAAGACAGCAAGATGAAGCATGTCTTCTCTCAAAGTAAACAAGAATAATAAGTAACAATTTTATTGAATATTTTGCTATGTAACAATTTTAACCGGTCATTACTTTTAAATAAAGCGTTAAAAAATGCATCATGTAGGTTCTTCAAAATCATATATGCATAACAAACCAACTCTAGCTAAGATGAAGAAGCACCGAAGATTGAGTTGCAGCAGTTGTTTAACAAGGTAACCTATCTTTTTTTTCTTTGCTACTTGAGTCCATTTATTTGGAAGATGAAACTAATTTCTTTTTTCTTTTACAGCGTATTGGCAGATGTTGTCGATGGTTGTGGATATTGTGGACAAAACAACAATTCTGTTCAAGGTTTTACCGTTCAACTTTTGCCTGTACCGGAGTTGTATCCAACGTATGGAGCAACAATTAAATGCCTCTCAGCATTTGACGCCTCTCAGGCCAGGTTCTTCAAAATCATATATGCTTAACAACTATGAACTATTTAAAATTGAATGTTCCCTTTTCGAAAATTGTAAAAAAAACAAACCGACTCTAGCTAGGGTTCATCCATAGCCATGTGAAACCCACAATTAGCTGCTCTTGATCTTTCTTTCTTTTTTTCGTTTCTTGTTTTGTTTTATTTTTGATAAATTTGATATCTATTTTTCATTGGTTCACATCATGTTAGGATTACATATAGATAACTTTCGACATTACCAAAAGCTTTACCAAATAAAGTTTATATATATATCACATCTTCAACAACAACAGAAATAAAGTAGTCATGAAGATGGTCTACATCGCAGCATAATCAAATTAATCACCCTATATTTCCAAAACACACACAAATACATGCATTTAGCTCTCTTTTCGTAGTTTTTCTTTTCGATATATTCAATCATACCTAATCTTCTCTATTATTCCCAGCATTTGATTTGTTATATGTATTGTCAAAGACTTAAAATGTTTCTTTTTCCAATATCTTGTATATCAACAAAATGAGATACTTTACTAATCATTTCTTCTTGAATTAAAATAATGAATCGATTTTCACTGAAAGAACTCTGTTCTTTGATTTTTTTTTAACCATTTTAAGATTGCTTTAAAAAATCGGTTTACAATTCAATCTAAAAAAATCCCGTCTTGGAAAATAAGTCTAAGACTAACACTCCTAAATCTTATATACAAAGTATACAACTCCGTATTACATTGTATATGAACATAAATCGTAGAAATTGATTTGAAAGAATATAAAAAAAAGAATCTCTTTTGCTAAGTTTTCAAGTGAATGAAGATCAAGACATAATCATGATGAAGGTGTCCCACATTCTCAATTTTGCACATAAAAAATATTAAATTAGAAACTCTATTTTATTTGCGTTTACAAACATCCCCCATACTCAAAACCCCTGACTATATTGTGACTCACTCAACATGAAAATCAAAAACAGAGCACAAGAAGAAACAGAAAAAGATAACAAGAAACAGAACAAACAACCACAACACCAAACAAGAGAATCAAGAATCTGTAGAGCTTTGTGTTGCAGCAACAAAGCAAGACTCAGCATCTCTTCATCTTCTTCTTCCTCCTCGGTGGAATCAGAGAAGCGTTCAAGATTTTCAGACCAGCACGGTTCGATCTCTAGCATAACACACTACATGGTTCAAGAGAAGTTAGAGCAGATGATCAGAGAGACACAAGAAGCTACACACCAAGAGAAGATAAGGCAACAAAAGATGAGAAGAAAAAGAAGAAGCAAGAGTAGCATCAGTAGTACTAAGTTCATAGTGATGATGGCGATGGAGAAATGTTCTCATGATCCAAGAGAGGATTTCAGAGAGTCCATGGTCGAGATGATCGTAGCAAACAAGATCAGAGAAACAGATGAACTTAGAAGCCTCTTGGAATACTATCTATCTATGAATCCTCGCGAGTATCGGTCTGAAATTCTCGAGATCTTTTACGAGGTTTGTGCTGATTTGTTCTTGTGTTCGTAACTAAAGATCAGTTGTTTCTTTCATGTGTTTTGTAAGATGATCTCAGTTTGTAACGAACCGGTTTACTGAGTAATAAATTTACACTTGGGAACCTGAAACTGAAACTACAGAAAACCGAACTGAAATTACAGAAATTACAATTTCGGTTTCAATTCGGTATCCATTTGTGACTAGAAGCAAACCAAATTGTTAGACAATCTAATCCGAACCGAACTAATTTCGGTTTAGTTTGAGCATGCTTCACAAACCATAAAAACTCGAACAGAACTGGACCAAAAAGCCGAATGACAACATACAAGATGCAAACCAACCACTTCATTTCCCAACTTTACCAAATCTTAATAATCTGTGCTTAGTGTTGGTATAGCAAAACACTTAACCGGCCGGTTATTAATTACGTATCTTGTGTATACATATTCCGAGAGTAAGATCCATCACAACTCTCCAACAAGTAAACGAAGGTATATAACAGTTACAACAACACTAGTAAACACAGACTTGTGGTTCTATATATATGTCACTATATGGATGTGATGTGAGTAATGATGATTTTAAGGGTTTAAGAGAGAGCTTCCTTCTTTGATGAGCACGAAGATGCTTCCGCCATCGCCTCTGGAGATCCGAAGGTCTTTGTCGAGGTAAGTCGTGAGCAGCCACGACTGCGCTTTATCTCCAGGCAAAGAGAATTTCAACGGTGGTTGGCTTGAAATGGTTTTAGCCACTGAAGAAGCCGTGTCTTGGACCGATGTAAGTAACCCTCTAATGGGGTTGAGATCGATTTTCTGACCAAGAACTTCGACGAACTCCGGGATTTCAATCGAATCCGTTAGCTGAGGAGTTCCAATAATGCCTTGCTCGAACTTGATCTACAAGAAACAAACAGAGAAAACCAATTAGGTTATGTAAAATAAGCATTTTTGAGATTCGCTGGTTTTAGGTGTTGATTGATTGATGAATTCACCTGGACGCGTTTAGGACTTCGGACTTCGAATTTAGCGTTGGTGCTAAAGGATGTTGTGGCAAGTGGACCAGCGAACCGGACAGAGTTTTGGACGGTGAAGCTCTCGGAATCAATGGTCTGTGAGATCTCATCCACTTTAACCAACGGTGAGATTCTGCGTGAGAGCAATGGGAACAGACTCACGAACGATGTGTAGCTGCACGAGATTGCCATTGAACATATAATAAGTTCTTGATTCACAACAAGAGCATGACGTAAAGATCGACTTTAACGGCTAAATATAAAAAGAGACTCATTTGATTCACACACTTAATCCAATGTCATCATTCACAGTGAATGGACGAAGCTAAATCTTCTGAAATCATAAGAACGTTACAGTTTTCTCCAAAATCGAATCAACTATGTGTTCACTGATTTGAATAATTTCTGTGAATCGAATAAGCAAAGAGACGACATCGCAGTCAATATCCTAACAAGTCAAACAACGTGAAGACGAGCTAAAATCGGAATGAATTATATTCCACCGGAAACTTAATGAACGCGAGATAACTTCGACCGGAAAAAAAAAAGCGGAAGCGGAAGGTAACGGAGGAAAAATTTACTTACGCGAGAATCCATTTGCCGTTGAGGAGAAACAGAGCTTCATTAGGGGCTGGGTTAGGGTTCTTCGACTCGAGCTGCGTGATGAGCTCGCTGATCTCCGCTCTCGTCTCGCTCGATGCGCTTAAACCTCGATCTGTTCCGTACAGCGAATCCGCTAGCAATCGCTTAAGCCGCTCCGTCTCCTCCACGGATTCGATGGCTTCGTCTGCTACTTTCTCAGCCACCGATAAATTCGATCCTCTCTCCGCCGAATCAGGACCCCACTCGTCGTCGACGTCCGTGGCTCTGACCTTGAAATCCGGCCGATGAACAGCGATTCCAACATCGGAACGACGATTGATTGAATTCATGGGGAGTAGAATCGGGGATTTCGACTGGCATTTAGAGTTCGATGAGCTTGGAACTAGGGATTTGCAGGGAAATTGGCTGAACAAAGGTACCGTCGCCATTTTCGTCTTCTCTTTTTGTTTTTCTTCTACACAGCAAATGAATGAGAGAAACAAACTCAAACCTCACAGGAAAATAAGAAATTCCAAGTCGTATTTTATAATCGTTTTGGCGTGATTTAAATGACATATATACCCTCCAAATAAACACTGATAAAACAATCACGGAAGGGATAGTATAGGTATTTAACACAACGGATGAAATTAAGCTACGTTATTGACACGTGGTGATTAACGTGACCGTTAAATAATCGACCTGGCCTCGTGTGAAGCGAGGATTATTTTAGGTTTTTTGACCTGAAATTGCCGACTTTAAGAAAAAAATTAATAAATTTGTGGAGTAGAAAATAATTTTGAAATATATTCAGATTTTGTCCCAATATTTGTGTGGGAGGATAATTTGTTTGGTTTGAGAAACGCCATGCAAATGGCATGATGAATCTAGAAGTTTTCGAAGTGTACTATGCTTTTTGGCCGTTTTTTGGTGATGTTCGATCGTCGGTTTTATGGACGGTCGAGATTCGTCATAACGCTAAAATATCTAGATAGCGTTTGGAATCGTTGTCAATTATCGCGTTTGGCGTTAAAAGGCTAATGGGCCAATCGTATGAGCCTTTGTTAACCCAACAGGTCTACTCACTCGGTTTTTGGGTCCGGGTTCAGTTTTTCTGGCTTTGACTTTCAGGTTTTGAAATTTGAAGGGGAACTGTTTAAAAATTTATAGTCAGTTCATTTGGCTTTGGATAAAAAGTTAAAAGCATATACTACTAACGAAAAGAAATTCAATACACTAAAGTTTTAATTGATCTTCAGGAATTCCAACTTCCAATACGGGAAACATAGACACCGTAATTAAATTTCGTATGTAACAGTCTCGTGAATCTCTAGGCACCACCACTACTAGTCTACACTGAAGTCACGTGCAACCGGAGTTCTATCAGCCGTGCGATTACATTCAATAAATGTCAAGGATCTCGACAATCGGACGGTTACAGAGAGGACACGAGCCTCGATTAAGCCACACCTCTCGAGAGCAAACTCTGCAAAAAGTGTGTCCACATGGGATAAACGCCGCGCCTTTCTTCCTTCCCATGCACACGCAACACACCGAATCATTACCTCTAACCGTCGACGCCGTTAACCTCTCCGTTTCCCTCCCTTCCACGACGACTCTATCCGCCGTTTCCTCCAGCAATCTCATCAACGATACTCTTAACGGCGTCAAACTCCCAGATGCCGTTTCCTCCGTCAGGTCTCTTCGGTAATGTCTCTCCGCCGCTAACGCCGTCGCGAGGTTCATACCCGGATTTAACGTACCCGTTACATTACCCGACCCGGACACGAACCCGGATTCAAATGGTTCGTCTTCGTCTCTTGCGCGAGTGTTATTGGTTAATCGGAGACCCCATGTTGGTCCACAGCATCCGATTCGTCTGAATCCTAGCCGTTCCTTAAGAGTCCGCTTCCTTCTCCTGGTTCGATCGTTGCCGTCCATCTGGAGTTGGAGCAAATCGAGAAATGTCGTCGTCTGTGGTGTCTCCGGTTGAGGCTGGCGAGTTTCGAGACCGAGTTCGCTCATTATCGAATCAGTTACAGTCGCTCGAAAGAAATTCTCTGATAGAGAAGAGTACTATGAGGAAAAAGAATAAGAATGGATTCCGAAAGCAACCTCCGCCATTGAAGAACCCTATACTATAGAGAGACTGAGAGAGCCGAGATAGAGATAGAGAGAAAGAGAGTGGCTCTGTTTTGGAATTCGTGTCACGCAGGGTTTAAAAAGCTTTTTCAGTTTCTTCGGAATTACGATTGGATTTAATAACACAGATTAATTTGGTAAGCAATTTTGACTAATTTTTAATGTTATACGTTTCAGTAGGAAATATGCACTAAATAACCTTACACTTTCCATTAATTAAAGAAGCCTCAAACTTTTGTTTTTGGTGAACAACCTTGAATTACTAAAAATCTCGAATAATAGCACAAGACTTTAGCAGATGTCACCTTAATGGCTTATTTTATAAAATCAGTTCGTATAAAGATGACATTTCCTCTTTTCTAACCATTTTGTAATCATAATCATTTCCGTAATTGTTTCCTAAATTAGACTACTACCTAGATTGGCCTTAAATTTAATTATTTTCAAAACTGGTGATAATTTTCAGTCAAAACTAAAAGATTCGAATTTTGATAGGTTTTTACAGCAAGAATTTGACGACAAACTTGTTCTACATGATAGCATTTAAAAAGGAGAGACTCGTTCGTACCATCTGATCCATTTTATTTATTTATACTACTTTGGAATAAAAGTTTTTTCTAATATTATTGAATGATCAACATCTCCCATTCTTAATCTAAACTTAAAAACTACTATAACTTCTTTATGGCATTCCAAACACATAAAGTTGTACGTATTGTTCTCTCAGTAATCAATTCGTATACCTCTTGGAACATGAGAAGGTAAGTGGTGAGTGCCTTAGATTGGAGATATCAAAGAGCTCCATGAATCTCTGGTCTGAGATTCTAGCTTTCGCAGCTGCAAATCTCTGGTACTCGTCGAAGATCGATGACAAACACCATCTCTGTATCTTCCTCACACATCCCACAAGACACCCCGTCCGATGCTGCATTGCAACCGAGAGAGAAGAAAATATATTATCATTCTTTCAATCATAAAGGAAAAAAGATCATAAGAAGAGGATTTCAACTTTACCTTTCCACTTTTGCAGTGGATTAATACAGGATGATTCTCTGTAACTGGTTTAAAGAAGGTAACAAGAACGCAAGATTAGATGATTTTGATGATCAAAACATAATGATTTAGAGAGATTAAAAAAAAAGATGTTACCTAGAACTACTTGTAATGCTTTACGGATTACTTCGTCTGGGATATTAACAAAAGGTTCCTGCAAAAGCAGAGAGAAACACCGAATTTCAGTATCAACTCATCATAGGCTAAACAAGATTTAAGCACAAGTTTCCTACAAGAATCATATGAACTCAAGCACAAATACATGATGAAATTCTGATGAGATTCAGAGGTTAAAAATGTAAACTCACTACTATTCAAAGCTTCAAATGCATTGACAAGCATTCACACTAAAGCCGAGAAGAAATCATACCATGGACAAGAAGTAAAGAGAGCAAACAAATATAACAATCAATCAGTATCACACAAATCTCACCTTGCATCTTTCAATTCCAAATTGAAAAACTTGGATCCCATTTGATTTCGCAAATTCTCTATTCACCTCTGGATATGGCTCTGGGCACAAATATCTACACACCAATACCAATAATCAAGTAGATTAGAGACAAACACAGTGGATCGTTTTTGACCATTTCATAAATCTCAGAAACATGCGTGGAGTTTCTTAAAACATCCAATATCTCTATCGCTTGATAAACCCTAGCTCGTATTTCGATTTTCCTAGCTAAGACGGCGGAATCAAAACGAAGCAGGCCTAATTGAGTATCAGAATTGAGGATTAACCGGATGAAATTAGGGAGATTACATGATGGATCGGAGTTGCAGAGACTGTAGGAAGCTGAAACTGACCGGTTCAGGGAAACCTGAACGGAAGATTCCGTTATCGACCATAGCGAAGTTAAGAGGCGGCACGAAAAGCTCACCGCCTCCTCTCTCCTTCTCGCTCTCCATCGCCGTCGGCAGTGAGTTCTCCGATTGCGGTACAGTGTGAACATCGCCGTCGTAGCTCTCCAACGTCATGGTCACAATCACAACGGAAACGAAGAGAGCTTTCGAAATGAGAAAAGTGGATAATAATTTAGAGAGATTTTCAGAAAGGTTTTTGGATTCTTTGAGGAACGTTGAAAAGGATCTCAGAGAATATTCCTCTCTCAACTATTAATGCCAATGAAAAAAAAGTGAAATAATTTCACTAATATTTTTTTTTTTCCCACCAACTTTCCATTTTTATTGTTTGTTTGTTGATGTTGTTCAAAAAAGAAAATTTGTATCGTTGACAAGATTAAACCAAGAGCCAAGATCGAAACTGATTTTAATTTTTTTTACTTTATTCTACAATATATTAAAGATCATACATTTTTGCTGATGTGGCAAGCTCACAGTTTTTTGGACTCATTTTTTAATTATTTAACTAAATTCTTTTTCTCACTCGGTAAAGGACGCGGATCCTTACTCCGGGACGGTTTTTTTTTTAAAAGGCGACAAGTGGCAATATTGAGTCCAACCTCGACGCACTGGGCCTTGCAAAATGTGGAAATTTTATTAGGCTTCAGTATTTAATATCGTTCAGCGTAAATATTTCAGTCCCATCAGATTGCCTTATTCGGAAAAACCGAATTAACGTATCTTCATGACCACGTATATGAAACCTTCCATGAATGTTTTATATTTCGTCACGTTCTTCTTTTCTGGGATACATATAATCAATGCTCATATCAGAGTTTATCAATTATTTCCTAAATTTCATTCCGAATAAACTAAAATTCCTTTCGCATAGTATTCAATAATTACAAAATTATTTGGCGAATATTACTTTCTAAAGTAATGAAATCCGAATAAATTATATGTTTCCAACTCTGATCATTAAAATATTCTCAAAGTGGCTAAACCTAAAGAGCCATAGAATAACCATCCCAGTATTTAAGCTAACCTCCCCACCCCCGAACAAACGTATACCGCATCACCTCATTTCTCTATTTAAGCAAAACTTCTCCATGTTTCCTCCCATCATCCTTCACACGGAGACATTTAGATTTTGGTTATCAAAAACTTTTTGCGAAATGGCAATGATTGTTTATTCCATTGGTGACGTTTCATGGATTTTTTTTTCTCTTTTTTTTTTTTGCAGGTTGGAAATAATTAAGATGCAAAGGGTCATGTTCTTTGCATAATCAGAGCTGTGCAACGATGATGGAAAGTTGAACGACGAAAGGTATCTCTCAGTATATATTCTTTTGTTTATTGTCTTTTAAAGAAATCCAATTGTTTTCTGATTTTTTCCATGGATTGGTATACAATAATCAAAGTGTTACATTAACAGTTTGCAGATATATGGTCGTGCAGAATAATCTTATACATCATGTTGCTTTGATCTGATCAAAACGAAGATCCAGAAGAGCCAAGAGACTATCTAAGACAATAGAGGTAACAACTTAAACATGATTGTTTCTTTTATTATCTTAGTTATCTATAAACTCTTTGATTATTCTAAAAGCCAGAGAATCCTTAGCTTCGAATACACATTCCCTGAAGACACACGGATTTCATCTAAATCCTATCAACTGTTTTGCCATCCCCGAACCGTAAGTCATTTCGTTGACTCGCTTTAACTATCACACAAAAATAACCTTTTTTATGTTAATTATTGTATACAGAATTAGCACTCCAGAGATTAAACAATCATTGCTAATCCAAGGCATAATGTGATGGTGGCTTCAAAAGCCGTCACATTCCTTGATAATCATGACACTGGCTCTACTCAGGTTACTTAAACAATTTCTTATTCCTTTTTCACTCTACATGTTTGCTTTTTTTGTGGTTTTTTTTGTTTTGTTTCCCTTACAAGATCATTGTCCGTTCCCTTCGCACCAGTTTATGTAGATAAAGAAGCTCCTTAAATTAACAATATATAATCTAATTCCTTAGTTTATTAAGATCCCTCCCTAATCCAGGCAATTCATTTGTGTTTATAATCACTTCTACAATTGGGGTATCTCGATTCATGACCAGTTAGGCAGTTAACAGAGCCTCGGGTTAACCTTTTTTTTTCCGTCTCAATATTATTCATTGACTGAGAGGCATTAGGAGATACCACGATATCCGCAGTAGGTCAACAATACGCATTTTTACATGATACGAGTTTATATTATAATATGAATTTGATGAAAGATGTGTCCCATTTATTATGTAAGTCTTATCCCTTTGCGTATAGAATCAGAATTTGATGAAAGATGTGTACGTACGTAATATAGATTTATTCATTCATTATAATTTGATGAAACAGTATATAATAAAGATGAATCAGAATTCATTCATTATAATTTGATGAAACATTATATAATAAAGATGAATCAGAATTCATTCATTATAAGAAATAATATCAAGATGTACGAAAGTAGAAGAGATCAAGATGAAGAAGATATATTAGGAAATAGGGTTCAAGCTCAGATTTTCGGAAACAGTACAATATATATGTATTTTGTGTACTATATGTACTATATTTCTTTGTGTCTTTTTGAAGCACAATCTTATAAATGTTCGCAGGTTTGTCTTCTTTTCGTTCCTTATTTTTTGAAGCACAATTTTATTTTTCTGGCAATTTATCTAACAGGTAACAAAATTTCTGAAATTATTGGTGACCTGGAAGTGATCAACGAGATGGTAGAAAAAGATACTGGCTGACGTCAATGTATTAGAGATGATGATGCAAAGTATAGCATTTAGTTGTTGTTTTCTTTCATTCTTTGCTTCTCTATAAAAATGTTGAGATATGGTTACACAAAAATATCATACTATTTCTGCGTAAATGTTTGGAATCATATTTTTGAGAAAAGAATAATTTGAAATCAGTCTTGCAAAAAAGTCATTGATAT